TTAACATTATTGTTAACTTCTACATCTTATATATATATATATATATACGGAAAGTAAACACTAAACACACATGTTTTAAGGATTTTGTTTAAATGTTGCAGATTACTAACTCTCAATTTTATGTTTTAACAGCCATAAATATATATATTTAACCATTAATCTGAATTATTTTAATTTTTCTAATTTGAAAAAATCGGTTTTCAAAAGAAAAACATCTTAACTAGCTGACTTATGACATACTCCCTCCGTTTTATAATAAGTATCATTTTGACTCTTCACTTACCCAATGTATCTAGATATATATGGATGTATTAATATTCAAAACACATCCAGATACATCAATAAATAGTACACATTCATTTTGTCAGAACGACACTTATTATGAAACAGAGGAAATACCTTTTAGTTATTACTAAAGAAAAAATATTTATTATAAATATATGATTTTATATAGAATTTATATTAAACTGTTAACTAATGTTCTGATAATAACCAAAATTATACATTCAAACTGGTGAATAATATAATAATTTTAATATAAAATATAATCAAAGTTTGAGTCCGTTTAATATAATTTATGTTAAATCGTTATAAATGCATAATATTAGTTATTATCTGAATTTTAATTATTTTAAATCCGAAAATTGAATTAGTTCGATTTAACTGTTAAATACGTATTAGAGAAATGGTTGTTAAAACATAAAATTGAGAGCCAATATTCTGTAACATTTAAACAAAATCATTAAAACTATATATATATATAGATATATAAGATGTAGAAGTTAACAATAATGTCAATGTACGCTAATGGTCATCTTCCTTTTCTTCTTCCCTCGAGAGCAGTGCTTCGAATCAACCGTTTTCCCATTATTGTATCTTTAACATATAAAAACATATGATTCTTGAATTTCTGTTGGTTCGTTAGTTTTGAGTAAGGTTAGCTTGTAATTTACGAGATAAAAATTACGTTAAACGTTTGAAACGATATTTGTTTTCAACTAGAATTTTTTTTGTAGTTAAAATGACGCACATTGAAACTGAAGAAGTATGTATCAGTATTACAATGAATGACAAAGAAACTTTTATTCGTAACAAGCCTTGTTGGTGTTGTTGGAGGAGATATAGAATAATTTAGCAAGAAAGATGTTTTCTATGCCTATCTTGACCAAGTTTCCGAAAATATTAGCACGTGATCGGATCTCGAACTCCAACTTCACGGGAACTCCACCGTCTGAAGCAGCTAAGTCGTCTCCTGCACCGTAAAAAGGTTGATCCTAGACGTGTGATTACTCCCTTTTGCTTTGATGCCGAAGAATGTAGAAGGACTGTGTGTTGTGAACTTGTGATCTCCATTGAACATTTGATGTTCATGATCTTTGTCTGGAACTCTTGTGTTGTCTAAACCTTCCCAGTAGTAAAAAACTATACACATCCACACCCTATTAAGTATTGACACATCATACATGTCAAAAGTTACACACTATATATAGAACTTTAGCTTAGACTTAAGTTGTGATTGTTTCAAAGGCTATCATAAATATTGAATGTTGTTGGTATTATTTGAAAGGAAACACTCTGGTTGTAACTGGTGACTAAGGAAGAGGGGGAATAAGACAATTCCCCTTCATCTATTACTAATAAAAGTTGAGTCTATATGCATTAGAGGGTGTCCACTAGGACTCTAAAACTGTATTTGATTGGACCATGTCATTATTATTAATTTTTTTAATTGAATAATTAATTTTCTAATTAATTTCTTTTTATTCTTATTAGCAAATTTCCCTTTTATACATATTAGCAAATTTCCATTTTTTTAATATCCATATATTTTCTTTTATTCTAATAAGTATTATTACTTTAACATATAACTTTAGTAAATTTCCTATTTTATAAATATTTTATTAATTATATTTTAATAATTTTAATTTTTATATAGATTATCTAATAAGAAATGACATTAGAAGTTGTCTTTTAGTGGAAAATTGATTAAGAAGCTCATACTATATATTATGACACATTCAACCATTCATTTTAATGAAATCTGAGAATTAAACATCTCTATTAACTAGTTTTTCATGGCAAATACACTAAGTAGTTAGACAAATAAATTTTCTTTTTTAACAACAAGGTGTTGTGGTGTAGCAAAAGGAAAATAAGAAATTTAATTTGATCGGTACACATAAGCATCTTAAAAGAATTTCATTTTATTTGTTATTATGATATTTCCTTAATACTCAATTCTATTTTTATTCATATTAAAGTGTTTAGAAAATAGAAAAAAAAATTCTAATGACATAAAAAGGAAAATTACTTCCTATATTTAAAAAAAAAATTGTCTAATGGATGTTTGGAAATTATTAGAAAGATTTGGGGTTGAGAGGATTTGGTATAAATCGTGACCTTCAAAGACATGCAATCTCTAAAATTCTGAAACAAAATGTTTGGTAATGTGCATATAATTAAAGCAAATGAGAGATATGGTGATCCGGGTCGGCCTGAGGTTCTTGGTGGCCTCAAATTTTAAAATATATTATTTTTTCAGTAGATTTATTTAATAGTTAAATAAAAAATAATGATATATTGAACAGTCTATTGCTGAGAAGTTTCAAACCATCCACATTAAGAAGAATGAAAAGCAACAGTGCATATAAGCTAAATGAACATTTAGTAACATGTGGCATTAAAGTTTTATACTCCATGTGTTTCATAATATAACGGGTTTTAAAGTTTTTTTTTGTTTCATAGTATAAGGTGTTTTGAGGTTTCTATGCAAAATTAAATATACTTTAGTTGCTTTTTATTCTTTTAACGATGCAAATTGCTTTTTCATTGGTTGATTTGTATTGGAATTAATGATAAAATGTACTTTATTTTGAAAGCTTAAAAAATTAAATGAGTTCTTAATCTTTGTGTCAAACCCTAAAACCCCTTATAAAATGAAACAAATGGAGTATATCTTTTGTTGGCGTAAATCCTATGTTTACCAGTTTTATGTAGGGCCAAGGGTAATAATATTGATGTAGGATTTATGAATTCGACGAAATTGATTTTCAAGTGAAATTTAATTTTAAATTTTTGAGAAACACTGGCAAAAGAGTCGCATTTATGAATATTCATATTTGCATTTCAAATGTGAAGATAGTGAGTTTATAATTTCACAATAATAACTAATAACTAAACCCATAATGTGACACAACTAACTCTTGAACCAAAAATTGGAGATTTAGTTATATATAATTAGAAAATAAAATTATTAAAAATAAAAATAAAAATTGTAAAGGATTTGTATCAACGATTTTTTAAAAAAAATTGAAAATTAGAAAATTCATAAAAAAAATTAAAGAAAACATAAAAACGGAATCCGCGCGTAGCGCAGATAAAATACCTAGTTCCTTAAAAATTACACCATTTATAAGGAATGTGTATTCCATATTATTCTTTACCATTTCATATTAATTAGGGAATTATAGTGTTAAAATATTCCTTATAAAATATGAGGAGGAATGAGTTTCATATATTTTATTCCTACTCATTCTATTCATTCTCATTCCTTTAGTTCCTTTACATGTCACGAGTTATATTGTAAACGCAAACGCAAACGCAAAATAACCAATCACAAAACCACATATTTTGGCATTTTAAACCATTTTTGTTAATTGTAACCGTAATTACTAATCCAAAATACTTTATGAGAAACGCACAAAAAGTTAGTTCTATAAGAATGTGATTTATTTAAGAAGAAAAAAGGTGTTATCACATGTAAACGCAAATGCATAAAAATAATTAAATTACTGTTTGAAACAAATACATCCTAAGTGATTCCTTCTATAAATTTTCTATGTACATGCACAACAACAACAAAACTGATTTGATATTTGTAAGCGCAATTGCAATTTACACAACTTAATTGGTGCTTGAAACAATCGTAGCCTAAGTGATTCTTGCAATGTAAGTTAAAGATGAAGTAGCGATTAGACGATCGGAGAGAAGGATTGCGAAGCCGCAAAGAGAACGGAACAAGTAAGAAGAAAGAATGTCAATGTCGCAAGACTCGCAACAACTCCCAAGATAAGTCTACGTGTAGCGATTGAGATTCCTCTGTTTTCGTCCCCATATTGGGTTGCTCTTGAATCTTGATACTCACGCAATGTATAGTTCCAGTTACTTGGTAAGTTTTGATTTTTTCAAGAAGTAAATCACCGGTGGTGATTACAAAAGCTTGTATCTGAGTGATGTGCCGTTTGTATTTAGTAGCTGATAGCAGAATTTTTAGGCGTCTCGGACACGAAAGAGTCTGATGTAACATGCAGAAAAAAAGTTTGTCTGTCATCTTTCGAACTAGACCGGGGTTTTTAGACCAGTTTAAACCACTTCGAACTAGACCGAGTCTTTAGACCAGTTCGAACCGATTCTGGATCAAATACAAATTAATTTAACGAAGCAAAATGATTTTTTTTTAGTTTATGCGTTCACGACATTTTATTACCGTGTAAGTTAAGTATTTCAATATTTTTATCTGGATGATACGGTTTGGCAATCTAAATTCAAGATGAATTCAGCTGTGACTTCCACCACTTGGGTTCGAATCCCCTTGGCCATCCGGGCTGCCTTAAATGGTAAGAATACGCGGACTGCCGTGGGCCTCGTGGGATTAGTCTTTGGGCCTAGAAAGCCTTTAGGATCCTCATACATATACAGTATATGCAAAACACTGGATTAGCAAGATTTGCCTTCTTCGGCTCATTACCAAAACAAGTTTGGTAGTGATTTGAAAAATCGATTGATAAATAAGTTTCTCATTACCCATAAACCTTGTTTGCTATTGCCAACAAATACGAAATACAACGGATTTTTTTTTGTTTTTTGACAACCACAAAATGCAACGGCTGATACTTCAACTTTTATGATTTATCAAACAAAAATTCCTTTATTTATTATTTATGCTTGTGCGAGTACCTCCTCTCGTTGAATATGAAACCCTACCGGGTCAACTTTCTAATTCACTGAGAAGCAAAACCAGGAGAGGGAGATAGAGAGAGGTTCTTAAGCTCTTGTTGTGTGCCGTTGAGAAAAGCAGAGTACCAAAGAGCTGAGGTTTTTGGAGTTCTTTTACGTTGAGGATCGCTGAAATTCACATGGTATAAACCGTACGTGTAATTGGCATCGATAACCTCGAACAGATCCATGAACGACCATTGGAAATAGCCTCTTGTGTCTGACCCATTCCTGCATACAGTAGATTGTCGAAAACCGTTTTTAGTATTCATGTTTACAAGGCATAGTCATATTCAAAAAGCACTCTACATTATATATAACACACCTCACTGCATTGAGCACGGCACCGATATAAGCACGAAGGTATTCAACTCTTCCCACGTCGTTAAGCGATGAATCTTGGTGGCTAGGTCGACCTGATTGTGTAATTTAACAGAGTAACTAATGGAAGATCCGTAATGTTCACAAACTTAGTAAAGAACAATAGAGAGAGAGATACCGTTTTCAAGAATGTAGACCGGAGGATTGCCATAGTCTTGCTTTATGTATTCCAAAACTTCTTCAAGACCCCTCGGAAACACATCAAGCTGTGTGGATATACACAAGATTAATAAAGAGAGTTGAGGTGACGGAAACGAGTTTCTTAAATTGGCAATCTTTGGGAACACACCTCGACCGCTGTAGAATTCCCAGTGGCTGTCCAAGAAAATGAAAATAAAGAATCAGCCAGAGAATAAAAAAGATACACACGTTAAAGATCCAAGGAAAGAAAAGCATACGGATTATCAAATCCCTCGTTTCTGAATGTGAAATGTAGAATGTTTGGTAGTGTATGACTCCCACGAACTCGGATGAGTCTTTCACAAGATTTGATTCCTCTTGAGAAAAACTTGGCAATCTTTTGCCCACGATTTTCTTCATCGCATCAGCATAGTCCCCGAAGAAGAGCGGATGAAGAACCCTGGAATTCAGATTTTATGAAAATGTTTTCCCCGTTTCATCAGACTAAAGTTAATTGTGTTAAACAACAAACCAGCCTAATAAGAAATCTTTGGCTCTCTGAGTTGCAATCTTGTCCTCTTCAGAGCTAGTAAAAGGAATCACCCAGAATCCAAAACATGTTATACCTATAGATCCATTCTGCTTATCCTACACCATCACACGAGATACAGAGCGGTAAAATTTAAGCATTCAATAGATGAGGGATATATATATATTTATGTGAGTCTTAAGCTTTTTTTACCTTATACTTTGTCTTATACAATCTCGCGGCAGATGCGTGGGCAAGCAACATGTTATGGAGTGCGATATACGGCGCACTTGAAGAGCTTTCTGTAGAGCAGTTTGCAACCCCAAATGGAGGAGTACAGTTCACAAGAGATCCATAATCGATCAATGCTATAATGTTGGGCTCATTAATTGTAGACCAGAATTTCACTGATTCCCCAAACTCCCTGAAGCAAACGTCTGCAAAAGCCGTGAAGTCATCGCTGCAACAGAAGCTCATATAAGAGGATATAGCAAGAAAAATTATATGAGTAGAATTTATTTAGTTGCAAGAGAAAAAATGGTTGGCTCTTTACATGCTTCTGCGGTCAAGCCATCCTCCATATTCATCTTGAAGAATCTGAGGGAGATCATCGTGAAACAATGTAACATGTGGTTCAATTCCTGTTCAGATTACACAAATTTCATTAACTTCTTCACAAAACATAATCACACCAAATGGTGACGATAGAGAGAAGGCATAATCTCACCATGTCTTTTGAGCTCAGCTATAAAGTTTTTGTAGAACTCTAAACCCTTTGGATTCACAGGACCTCTTCCACCTGAGAAAAACAACCACTTTAAAGAGAGGCAAAGTAACAAATCCGAGTCCTGGGAAAGAAACAAAACGCACCTGGTATAAGCCGAGACCACGAGATGGAGAGTCGAAATGCATCTAAACCCATATCATTAACCAGCTTAACATCCTCCTGCAGCATTTTCACAGTTTCATCTAATATATATTGATCATTAAACAATTTACAGAGGAAAACATGAAGCAGTGACCAACCTTGTACTTGTGATATCCATCAGGTCCACTTGCTGCATCGATAAGCAGACTAATGGTTCAATAAACCCTAAACCCTAGACAATATCTTCAATTCAAACATTGAATTGCTTTGAGAAAGAGCTTACTAGAGTGAAATTTGGTATCCCAGACGCTAGGCGTCCTTCCGTCTTCATCAGCAGCTCCTTCCCACTTTCACAAATCATCGGAAAAAATCCATCCATTCGTAAAACAAAGTTAAAATCCCAAGTGAAGAAGTTAGTTTCGAATTTCCAAACCTGATAAGCAGAAATGGCGGATCCGAAGACGAACCCTTCCGGGAAATCGTTCCTGCTGTAAACATCGCTGCATCTCCCGGAGAAAACGAAACTCGCAAAAATGGTAATCAGAAACAAAACCTGATGTTCCATCCTTCTTCTTTGCCTCTGCAAAGGTCTTGGAAACTGATGATCGAAGTCATCGCCGGTAAATTCTACGCTATGCATTAATGGTTTCCAAATCGAAATCGGAGCTGGTGTGTTTTTTCTAAACCCCAGAAACCTTTTCAAAATCAATGTTTTCAAACGGTTTTTTTTTTTTTTTTCTTTTTAAGAATCTTACAAATTCGTCAAATTGTTTTAATTGTGCTTTTTTCAAACCCCCCAAAAAAAACTTCTTATTTAATTCTTTTTCGTAGCATCTTCAATTCAAACTTAAGATCAGAGTGAGTTTTATAAGGTAATTCTTTTAGTTAAACAATGTTTTACAAGTTGTTCGTTGTATCTTTTCTTAATTAACTCTTTTTGAATAAAGTAGTCCACTATAGTAATAAAATTAGTTATGTGAAAGGTATTGCAAAATTTAACAAAAATAGTAATGAGCAGTGAGCTGATCTTAAAGGGAGTGGAGTTTAATGCCGTGAATAAGTAAAGAAAGCTAAAGAAGAATCGTACAAAGATGGGAAGAATCAGACCAATACCTACTACTTCTCCACGACTGTCGTGCGTCTCCTCCTCCAATGGGTTGGCTAAAGTGTAATGTGGATGGAACTTGGTCTAGAAAACACAATCATTCATGGGTTCTTAGAGATAACAGAGGTAGAGTGTTAAGGATGAGTGCAAGGAAGCTTAGCACCTTCTACTTCTACCTCATCTACCAAAGTATTGTTTTCTATTTTTTGTCTTCCAATATCTATTAGAACAATTCTCAACCAAGCATTGTAAAAATGATATTTTTCTTTTAAATATAATTTAACATTTTATTCAAAAAAAAAAAGGAAGCTTCAGCATCTCATATCCAAAGACCATAATCATTACTACAATGAAAATGCAACATCACGTTTGAAAGTGATTGAAGCGATTTCTAAAGATGATGGCTTCCTTTTTTTCAAAAAATCGTATGAATGAATATGTTCTCTAGACATTAATTAAATCGTATGCTCTCTAGTCTCACGAATCATAGAATAGTCTTTCATTCGGGAGATGGGAGGAAAGAATAGTAATAGACTGTGTAGCGGATTTAATAGCGAGGAAAACTCTTTGTTATGTGAATTATATATGTTCCCATTTCCAAATGTAATATGTGATACTAAATTGGATAAACTCTTTTGTAGAAGTGGATAAATAAAGTTGTAATCTTGCTTTGGATGAATGAAAAGTTGATGTTGGGGCAAAAGACAAAAAGAAAAGTAAAAACGAAACAAAAATAGTAATGTGAGACAAGTTACCTCCTTATTTGTTCAGGACGAGGCGACTATTGGTTCTTGTTCCTAAAATACTATATATATATATATATATATATATATATGTGTGTGTGTACATGTTAGTTTAATTTTGCTCCACTGGATATTTTCTTTGTGAAACAATCGAACTTTCATAACATTTGGAATTTACCATGTGAAAACACGTGTGGAATTTGTGTGGTGTTTTAAAGACCACAAGTGTTTTATATATTGTCGGCAATGTTAATTTATTGGTGAAATAATAACTGAACGTATTTAATTTAATGGATTTTTGTTCTTTTCTGAATGGACCAGATCAAATAAATACTCCTAGATATTTTTTCTTGGACGGATTGGATCACATTTCCAATCGAATTTCGGATTTTAAATATTGTGCCCAGCCAGGCCAAAATTTATTTTAGTACTTCCTTTATATTTTTTTAGAAAAATATAGTTTCAGATAAATATTTCTGTTTTCAGTGTAATTTTTTAAGTTAATAATGAATGATGCATTGTAAATTTTAAGAAAAATAACTGCACTATTGAATTACCACTACGTAAGAAATTGTTAATCACAAAATTGAATTCCCATTCATTTGTCTTCTTTATATAGGTGAGAAATCTTAAAAATTCACATACCAAACTAAAACCTTTTTTTTTGTACAACCAACTGAAATAAAATTGGGAGGTTCTACTTTAGTATAGATTTTGCTAAACGTAAATTAAAACTAAACTGAACTTAGTCGAAAACCAGAATGTCCCTTATGAGTTTTGACTACATCATTCATTTGATTGAGGTTGAATCCCCTATAAAGATACAATGATAATAATAGTACGAACATATGACTAAAATAACATGACTTTTTCCAAAATAACTAATTTAAGTATATGTTTTTTTCTCTCATCATCACTCGTAACTGAGTTAAAATACAATTTATAGAAAATAGGTTCTCTATAGATAACCATCGAGCATTTAAGTTTCAATTCCATATCACGTATGGAAATTTATCGACCGTCGCTTAGATGTCCGCTGAGGGTAAGACAAACCGAGAATATTCCTCAAAGAATTATCATAAGACATGTAAACTTATTACCAAGTAAACACTTTTTTATTTATTCCTCCACCAAATTACATGTACAAATTGTTCCTTGAGAGAAATGTACTATATCTATATGGTCTTCGTTTCGATGTGCACAACGATGAAGTGTTTCAAGTGAAAGAGGTGCCAAACATAAAGAACAATATGCTTCAATTTCTTGTTTTTTATTTATTGCGTATACAAACTGTTAACACCAAAGTTCAAACACTAAAAATACCTTAAAACGGCGGATAAACTTTCAGTCAAAGTAAGAACTTAATTTCTTTTACACAAATTTGTATTTAATCACTCACAATCTCGCATATTCTGAGAGAATGAATCTCCACAATCAAACTAATAAATCTCTAGGTCAATCTATTATTACTTGTTTTATTATGCATAAATCTGCTTTTTTGTGAATTTTATTTACTTTACCTTTCGATGTGAAGTGTATTTAACAAATCGAAGGTATCAAATTGACTACTTAATTTTCTTTTTTGGTCAACAATTGACTACTTAATTAAGTTCTCCAATTTCTTCTTCTTTTAGGATTGTAGGATTTGACATGTTCAAGATAAGAGATAATAAAATTGGGAAAATTCTTATTTCAAACGAAGATCTTAAAATCCGAAGCATGTGAAAAGAAAGAGGAAGGGATCATCAGATAGGAGCGAAAGACTGTGCTGAAGATCTTAATCATATTGATTTTTATCATATGAACTATGCGTTATCAATCATCACTTGATCCCTTCCCTTTCTTCTTTTCTCGTCAAATTATTTTACAACGATTTGTAAATCATAACAAAAAAAAAATCTAAAAGATCTAATTTCAATGAATCAAAATAAGCCTCATAGATTATGAGGTTCAACAATTTTAATTCAGACATATGCTTGTCAAAATTATTTATATCACAGGCCATTACAGTCAAACTATAATCAACCAAAACAGAATCAAACACAGAATTGTCGACGAAACGAAATCGGATTTTGATATTTGCAAAACAATAGGCCTCATAGAGAAGATTAGATATTATCAACAAGGATTAATTCAGACATATGCTTGTCAAAATTTATTTAAATCATCGGCCAAAATCGATTTAAAAAAACAAAAATTGAAGATGGGACTCAGAATATGGGTGGTGATATAACAGAATGGTCGGCAAATCGGATGGTTAAGGCCGATATTACGACGAACGAGACCTTAATATCAATCGTCACTGTCCAAACATAAAAGAAACTTTAAAAACCAGAGGAAGAAAGCAAAATAAAGTAAAAAAAAAAAAAGAGAGAAGAGAAAAGCTAAGTCGGCTGAGAACGATTAACCCTAATACGATGATTTCAATTGTCAAACTTTCTCACGCCTTTTATACAGAAGAAACAAAAACCGAGACGCTGTTTTTGGAGTCTCTCCAGTCCGGACAATATTCATGGGCTCATTGGCCCAATATTATATTGGCCCGTTTTTTGTTACTCAATATAATATTTTTTCCGATAACATTCTCTCGGAGGATAGTCTGGAACTTAAAGCGATCAGTACAAATGTACAATAGTCATAGTTCATGACTTCATGTATTTTTTCGTCACATGCAGCTCATACATTTTCTGTTCATATCCGCTTGAATTAACACAACTTGCTCTGACTGTTAGCAATAAAAGGAGAGTATGACCAGTTAATATTGGTCCGACCACCATCAGTCGCCCAAGCGTCACCGTTCCAGACTCTGGCCTCTACTTGCATGGGCTTTGATGGATAGCTTACGCCTTTTTTTCATTTTTATAGACTCTTATTTTGTTGAGAAGGCGTAGGTGGTTCATCAAAACATTCTCAACTTTGAATCATTTTAGATGTTAACACAAGTTAAGTTTCAGATTTGATAACGAGAGTGATATATGAGATTTTAGAAGCCTAAGCTTCTCACTATCCGTAAATCTCGTTTTGCGACAAACACAGTTACAACGGACGATACTTCCACTTTTATTGAACAAACAAACATTCCTTCATTTATCTATATTTATTTACGCACGTGCGAGACCTCCTCTCGTTGAATAAAGAAAACCAAACCGGGTCAAAAAAGATTTACATCACTGAGAAGCAAAACCAGGAGAAGAAGATACAGAGAGGTTCTTGGACTCTTGCTGTGTCCCGTTGAGAAAAGCAGAGTACCAAAAAGCAGATGTCTTCGGAGTTCTTTTAAGTTGAGGATCGCTGAAATTCACATAGTATAAACCGTATGTGTAATTGGTATCGATAACCTCGAACAAATCCATGAACGACCATTGGAAGTAGCCTCTTGTCTCTGACCCATTCCTGCATACAATAGATTGTCCAAAAACGTTTTTTAGTATTCATGTTTACGAGGCAAAGTCTTTGAAAGAGTATATATTATATAACACACCTCACTGAATTGAGCACGGCAGCGATATAAGCACCAAGGTATTCAACTCTTCCCACGTCGTTAAGCGATGAATCGTGGTTTGTAGGTCGTCCTGATTGTGTAATTTAACGGAGTAACTAATCAAGATCCGTAATGTTCACAAACTTAGTAAAGAAGAAGGGAAAGAGATACCGTTTTCAAGAATGTAGACAGGAGGATTGCCATAGTTTTGCTTTATGTATTCCAAGACTCCTTCAAGACCCCATGGAAGCACATGAAGCTGTTGATATATGACAAGGAAACACATGATTAAAGAGACCTTGAAATTGGTTACGAAAACAGGTTTCTGAAATTGGCAATATTTGGAAACAGACCTTGACCGCTGTAGAATTTCCAATGGCTGTCCAAGAAAATGAAGTAAAGAATCAGCTATGGACTCAGAGATGATATATTAAAGAAAAACACACACATAAAAAAGATCATAGGAAGGAAAAGCATACGGATTATCAAACCACTCATGTCTGAAAGATAATCTTCATGGAGGGAACTGGATGAGTGTTCGATGTACGTTGTTCGGTAGTGTATGAGTCCCAAGAAGTCGGCCGAGTCTTTAACAAGATGTGATTCTTCTTCCGTAAAACTTGGCAATCTTTGTCCCGCGATTCTCTTCATCACATCAGGATAGTCCCCAAAGAAGAGCGGGTGCAGAACCCTGGAATTTAGAGATGAAAATGTCTAATACTTTTAGATAAACGCAAATATTTCGAGATGATTATGTTAAACAACAAACCAGCCTAATAAGAAATCTTTGGCTCTCTGAGTTGCAATCTTGTCCTCTTCAGAGCTAGTAAAAGGAATCACCCAGAATCCAAAACATGTTATACCTATAGATCCATTCTGCTTATCCTACACCATCACAGGAGAGATACAGAGATGTAAAATTTAAGCATTCGAGAGATCATGTGTAAATCTCAGTGTTTTTGTAAGAAATTACCTTATAGTTTGTCTTATACAATCTTGCTGTAGATGCATGCGCAAGCAACATGTTATGGAGTGCGATATATGGCTCTGTTGAAGAGTTTCCTCTAGAGCAGTTGAAAAGCCCAAACGGAGGAGAACAATGCACAGGAGGTCCAGATCCAATGTCATAACCCGCCATTGCTAGCATATTGGGCTCATTAATTGTTGTCCAGAACTTCACTACGTTCCCAAACTCCTTGAAACAAACGTCTGCAAAAGCTGTGAAGTCATCGCTGCAACAGAAGCTCATATAAGATATAGCACACGCTTCACTTTAAATTATACAGCTATGAGTTTAGTTCGAAGAACTTTACATGATTTTTCGGTCAATCCATCCTCCGTACTCATCTTCAAGAACCTGAGGAAGGTCATTGTGATACAATGTAACATGCGGTTCAATTCCTGTTCAGAGAACTCAAATTTATTAATCTTCTTGCAAGAACACACACACCAAATGGTGATGATATAGAGAAAGCATATTGTTACCATGTCTTTTGAGCTCATGTATGAAGCTTTTGTAGAACCGTAAACCCTTTGGATTCACGGGACCTCTTCCACCTAAAATAAACAAAACGCGTTTATAAGACTCAAAGGCAAAGTAACAAAATTCGAGTCCTTACAAAAACAAAACCCACTTGGTATAAGCCGCGGCCAGGAGATGGAGAATCGTAATGCATCTAAACCCATATCATACATGAGCTTTACATCCTCCTAAATCATTATCACAGTTTCAACTATTATTGCTCATTAAACAAATCACAGAGGGAAACATGAAGCAAATGACCAAACCTTATATTTATGATATCCATCACAAGCTATATCTCCATTAGGTCCACCACCTGCATCGTTAAGTTTGACTAATGGTTCCATAAACAATATCTCAATTCAAACGTCAAATTACTTGATGAATTTTTAACTCAATTTTGTTTCGAGAAAGAGCTTACGAGAGTGAGCGAATGTATCCCAAATGCTAGGCGTCCTTCCGTCTTCATCAGCAGCTCCTTCCCACTTTCAGAAACCATCGTAAATCCATTCAAACTTTTGTAACAATTTCCAAAGTAAGATAAACGGAAGAAATCAGTTCGAATTTCCAAACCTGAGAAGCAGAAAAGGCGGATCCGAAAACGAAACCCTCCGGAAAATCGTTTCGGCTGTAATTGTAAACATCGCTGACGCTGCATCTCCCGGAGAAAACGAAACTCGCAAAAATGGTAATCAGAAGCAAAATCTGTTCCATCTTGCTTCTTCGCCTCTCTTAATCGCTGCAAATGTCTCGAAAGCAGACTATGGGATCCTTCAAAACCTACTCGCCAGAGGACGGAGAAGAAAACAGTGATCGGCATCATCGGTAAATTCTACGCTTTGCATTGATGCTTCCAAATCCGAATCCGAGCTTTTTTATTTTATTTTTTACTCACGATTTCGTCAAGTAGTGTTATATGTTAAACCCCCCAAAACCTTATTATTCGATTCTTTTCCGCATCATCTTGTTTTCTCAAACAGTGATTATTTTAGTTAAAACAATGTTTTTGAAGAAAGTAGTCCCTAATGGTAAAACATATCAAAAATAGTAACGTGAGAGAAGTACCTTATTTGTGCAAGATATGACTATTGTTTCTCATCATTCATGGGTCTTCAAATCTAAACCAATCATACACTTCTCTCTCCTTGTTTCTCTGAGCACCCATTCTTTACTGGTATATATAATATAGAAAATTTCAAATACCACAAAAACAAAGTTTGTTTCCCATTCATATCACTACTAGTTTTTTTTTTCATCCATATAATTTTTTCGTTGGTATTATTAAACTTTGAAAGAGATCTATAATTGAAATCTTTGGATTTAGTATTTAGGGTTTAAACAAAAGATACACCTTGAATTAACAACTGATTCATCATTTAAATATTTGTTTTTGTTGTAGGCTTGTTGTTAAGACTTTTTTACTCCAGAAAATCTGAAGCTCAATTTGCCGATTTAACCTGTCTTTTTATCTGAAGCTCAATATTTCTTTTCATATTATCTTAGTTTTTCTTCTAAAGTATGTTCATTAGTCATTAATGGGAAACCTTGGTCATTAACAAGAAGAAGGGAGAAAAAGACACTTGTGTGGTGGACTAGAGTACGTGTTTTGTATAATGTCGGCAATGTAGTTATATGTGGCGTTAATGAACAGAACATGATTAGATAGGTAGGCGCGGTTAGATAAGGTGGGCGAGGTTGGGACCGCCCCGGGGCCATGACATGACATTGGTCCAATTTTCTCATTTCTCATTTCTCATTTAAAAATATATTCTCTATGATCGGTTTCTTTTGGTTTCTCATTTTTTTAGGAATTCAGACTTCCACGGTTTGTAACTTTGGGTTTCGGTTTTTGTGAAACCTATAAAAGTATAAAGTCAATCTGTAAACCTAATTGCCCACTTCGTAGTAGTACCTTTTTTTTATAATAATAATACGGTTTTGAGATTAAAATCCATATTTATTTTGAAGTCTCTTTTAGAAAGAAAAAAAAAAGATACATGCATACTAATTATGGATCTTCTGCAAACCATCATATGATATTTAGAGCATACACAATTATATATATTCTGAGATATGAAATCTAACTTACCTCTCTCAAAAAGAGATAAAAAAACAAAATACCATGGACACATATGATATTTAAGTATTTAACGATCTATTTTTTTCAGTAACATTCTCTAGGAGGAGTTTGGAACTTATTGCGATCAGTACAATAGTCATAGTTCATGTACTTTTGCCTCACATGCTCATACATTTTTTGTTCAGATCCGCTTAATCGTTGATACTTGCCTTCATTCCACCAGAAATTGGAGGACTCACAAGCGGCGACATTGCTACTCCGACCATCTATGTAGCAGCCGGAGAGGCCGGAGAAGTCTTGGAAATGGGCAACAAAAGGAGAGTATGACCAGTTGACCTTGGTCCGACCGCCATCAGTCGCCCAAGTGTCACCGTTCCATAGACTGGCCTCTACTTGCATAGGTTTTGATGGATAGCTTACACCTTTTTCATTTTTGTAGACTCTTATTGGGATGTTGTCCACGTAAAACCTATCAATCAATATCATCATACCATAAATTCAAGAGATCTCTTTTATTGTATAATAACAAAGACTGCGAAATGAGTAAGAAATTGTTAGATGTTTTTTTTGGAGTTTTGTTTTGTTTCAAAATATTGAATTCTTGCATTGGACAAAAATAACGATCATTTTCTCAAGAAAATAAGAATAAGAAAGAAAAAATGTAATAAGTGATAACGTACACAATTTGGTAAGGGTTCCAAAGAATCCCATAAGTGTGGTAGTGTTTGATAGGATTGAACCAAAGCAAGAACCTCTCTTCTCTGTTTCCTTCTCCATTCGCAAACACATTTGTTTGCAACGTTATCGGTCTTCCATCGTTGTTTCCTAAAAACTCGAAGTCAATCTCATCGTGATTGCCTCCCAACGAAGTCAACTGTAATCATTCGACATATACGTTTACAAAATATCAATGAACTTTGGATTAGTGTATGGACTTATGAATATCTATAATCAATCACAAAAAAACGAACGTAGAAAGCAGTGACGACGCCGGCAGAATTTCCTCCGGGCACTTTGATTCTCATTTGAAAGAGACCTGATCCGTAAATGTTCTTGGACTGGAACCCACCACCTACCAAACCAGTGTCACTTTAGTATATTTAATTACACACCATATGATCCTTAAACGACAACGTTTATTGCTAGTAAGTAATAGTATCTTTTAAATTATACAAATTAATGTCTTTGTATCTTCTTTGAAGAAAAAACAAAAAGAGACACTAGACCTGAAGATTGATCCATGGAGAGATCAACTTCTTGACCAGAGTGAAGTTTGGAAACATGACCCCACTTAACAACATAATCCTGACCGAAAGTAACAACATACTTTTCGATTCCTCTCCCTCCAAGAACCCTAGCATCAACCACTATAATCCATAACGCTACTGCAAAAACACCAAAGATTCTCATAATCATCTTGGTGTAAATTTTGTTTTTGAGGTATCTTAGTGTTAGTGCACATATACAAGCTGGTTTAATAAGTTGGAAAAGTGGAAATTAAGCATGAAAGATATGAAGGAGACAAAGAGATTAGAGTCACATCAAATTCTCTATACATCTCCTACACGCCAATTCTTATTATCCCCATGCCCATCACCATTCTCTCTTTCTTTCTTTTTTCCAATATGTAGTAATCGATTTAACTACTCTCTTCTACAATCGCTTATATAAGAAACATTTGATCCGATCGACTATTTGAGTATATAGACAAGAACATATCAAGTAGTATATGTTTTTAGTTTTTGCAAAAGAGTTTTGATGTAATTAGAATACGTACATGAGAAACGTTAGATAAAATGTACTTAACTAACAACATTCGGAGCTCTCTTTTCGGGAGTTTGAATTGTTTAGATGTTTCATTGTAGAGATATAGTTTCCTTCAAAATATTTTTTTTTGTCACGTTCCCACCAAATTTAAAAATGGTTCACATCTTCTCCTTGTGAAGGATTTTTTTTTTTTACTGTCCTGTTGAAATATTTTAGTAAAACTAAGTCGAGCAATAAGCTGAGACACGAAAAGTTGAAGAAAACAAAAAAGTGTAATAAATAAGTTAGATCTCTCGAGTTTACATATCTATATGCTCGTCTCTTCTATTAACCACCAGCGGAGTAAATTGGTAACATCCCGGCGGATATTGTACCGGACACCAAACTGAATCCGCAGGGTTTCCGAACATGGAAAATTCAGAAATTAAGCTGGCAACTGGAGCTTCTTGTTGTTCTTCCAGCTGCAAATATAAAACCAAAAAAAAAGGCAGAATTAGAATTAGTAAAAATAAAGTTATGAACAAGGAGACAATGAAGTAATTGTTTAACCTTAGGAAATAATAGTAGAAGAAGTCGGCATAGAGCAATGTCTGGACAAGCCCTGCGATCCATGCTGCATCGTAGTTTATCACAAAGTTTCAGTTGAAATGTCAGATTCAGAAAGAATAACCAAGACAACTGATATTGAAAAGAAAACATGTGAATAAATGAGAGGGACTGATGCATTCGAATGTTTATGAGAATCAACATGGTTTCTTGTAGATTAGTTGGCAAAGAGTCTACACATGTGTATCTATTGAAATCCAAGTGCTAACTTCAGTGTGCATGGAGCAACGGAGTCAAACAAGTGTAGGAACTAATCCAGTTACTCTTAGCAGGAATATAAACCGATGCTCATGGGCTTAAGTGTGTTGCATTGCATGTACTACATGGCAATGAAGGTTAAGGAAGAGAGAAGGAGAGAGAGAGAGAGAGAAAGAGAGACGTACTTATCCAATGAACAAAGTGTGGCTCAGTGAAGTAACGGTAGATCCAGTTGAGGATGTAAAGTCCCCGGTAACCCCTGTAAAGACGAGGGCAATAACATTGGTTTATATCAATCAAAGTATGAAACTCAGAGAGTAGCTCAGTTTGAAGCCGTGATGGTTTGTCAAGAAAAACAGTAAAATTTTGTAATTAGGGCACAATGTTAATACAGAACAATCTAGATTCGTATAGTACCCAAAAATGAACAGGAATGAAATACTCGAAAATATGAATCCAGTCAAGCAAAGTTCAGGGGAAGAAACGGAATTTATGAAACAAGATCGTACCCAAGGAGAAATATATATTGACCGGTCAAGTTATCGATATTTCTAGTCCTTTGCAGCAAGACAAGCTGAGGTAATATCGCAACAGCCTCCAAGAACAACGAAAACGTCCACAGTACCTGTGACATATTGAAAAAAAGCAGACACCAATTGTAAAATCAGTCTCTTCAAACAAAAGAGGTGAGTAAATTGCAATTTCTCTTTGACAAGACAAACCTCAAGAAAGGTGAACTTTTCGTGAATGAGAAGAGCTAAGAGCAGGCATGGAAGCACAAGGAACCAATGTCGAAACGTATCCTGCTCTCTATCGTACGTCCTGTGAACAGCCTTGTGAGACCTCATGTACCAAACGATCGAAAACGAACTTCCTAAGAACACCAGCTTCATGAATGTGTTGTAGACAGACACGAAACTCGTGAAGATATCCAAATAACGCGTCGCAAAGACGATGGCGTAGAGCTCTTGCGTCTTCAACGAAACACCTGCAAAATAAACCAAAACGCCATTTGAAATTCTCATCTATATGTGACCCAAATCAACGAATCGATATTCAAAGTCATTCAATTCCGTGAAATCAATCAATGAAATTTCCATCAGTATCCTAAAATCGAAACTCGGGAACCGAATTTCACTACCGGAAACTCGAATTAGATCCGTCATTTCTACAATCGACGAGTGAGAAATCAAACGGTCATCGTCGATTTCGAGAGCTCAAATCGGAACAAACATTCGAGAAATGAGGCCTAAAGCTAATCGCAAACTCTGACATAAACGTCACAGATAGATTCTCATCATCAGACGAAATTCGGAGAGAAAAATGTGCATACCGGCGCAGGATTTGATGGTGTGGATCTTGAGAAGCAAGACGAGAACACTGGCCAGGTGAGTCATATCACCTGCTAATCTGAAAATGTTCATCTTCGAGCTAAAATCTGTATCCTCTCTCCTCCTTCAAACGTCTTCGTTGGTCTTCTGATATTGAGGAACGAAGATCTCTAAAGGTTTTATGAAACTCTCTGCTTTATTCGTTCTTCTGCTCTTCTCTACACCGTACTAATGGGGTCCGTTGCTAGATCTCGTCGGTGGCGTTTACACAAATTCTTTCTGTTTTTTTTTTTCTTTCCTCGGAGAACAAAAATGGTAAGAAAATAAATGCAATGTTGACAAAGTGGAAGAAAATGAAAGCCCATGACTTCTCTCGTTGTGGGCCTTGTTTTGGGTAATAAGACCCAACTGGATGCTTATTGGTTTGATTTACAAAACCGGTGTGTATCGAAATCAACCAAAATTAAATCATAACTATCAGACGCTGCTGATTTTGTTGAATCCGACTCAAATCCTGTGGAAAGTTTATTAATTTGAGAGAATGGAAACAAAATGCTGATTGGAGCCAGAATCAACTGGATGAAAAAAGAAGTGTATCCATGTATGGGTAATTTGTCCACTGGCCAACTCAAGGGCTCATTAGAATGCTTCTTCTTCAACTCTTTTACCAACTATAGTTGAAGTATTAAATGGTCTGTTGCAAGGACATGAAAAGACCATCGCTTAATTGTGAATAATTTGATTGATCTGAAGTTTTTTTGTTGGCCTTTCACTGTTCTGGTGAAAATATTGGACCACTTGGTAACAGTAAATAGGAAATGAGTTTTGTTCGCAATGTTGGCTACTAGTAACTAGTAAGTAAGGTTTATCTTAATTTGTCCCGTTAGATCTATTGGTGTTCTTCACAAACATGGCAAGAACACATCTGAGGTTCCCATATAACCTTTTAAAAAATTTATAGGTTGGTTGAAAAACAAAAAAAATTGAAACTTAAATACCATTTCAAAATTTTGGCAAATATTTTTGGGTCAAACTGTTAAAACTTTATGTTTCTTTTGCTAAAATTTCCAAAACAGTTACACCGATCACAAGACAGGTAGAGTTGTTAACCAGTGAAGCTCTCAGTTAGGTGATTGTCGTTAGCCATAAGTGCAGTCGGAAGATTGTTCACGTCTAGCCCGACCACTTATTGTCTCTCGTCCTAACACATCACTCAGACACTGACAGCCAAATTAATTTTTAGAAAAGCACATCAACTTTAATTTTTTTTCTCTCTCTCTCGATGCCAAGTGCAACCTCCTTCCTTAATCTTTCCCATATTTTACATGTAAAGATAAAGTTCGGAATTATGTTACAAACTAATGATCACTTATGAAAATTATTCAAATCTTCAATCACTAATGCCGTTGACCTATATAATCCACATTCTAGTTCAGAGTGGAAATATATTAATTTAGTTGTTCAGACTCTAATCCCATGAGAATTATATAATGGAATTGCAATATAAAATTTACTATAGAGAAAATTAATTAGATTAGCACTAATTTAACAAAATATTAAATACTAAAATTTTTCTCTTTCCTGATTTAAATTTGGATTTATGATACAACAAAGATAGTGGAACAAACACTAATTACTATACTACACACTTCAATTCGAATAGTTCGATTTAGTTCTACTGAAGTATTACTTTGAAGTTGAACTCTTGCACTTTGTCGAGTAGATGTTGATACTTCGATCTAATATTGAAAATACCTTCCACTTCCATGGCGCTTTTCAGTTTTCAATGACACAACACATTACATACAACAACAACAAAGAACACGACCTGAATAAGACAAACTAAAATAAATAATCGAAAAAAAAAGAAGAAGCAGCTAAAAGAGATCAAGAATTTCTAAAATGGTGGTGTTGCAGAGAGGACAGTTTCCTCTTTGCACCCAAAGCTCTCTCGAACACAACCTGCAAAACGTATGGCCACACGGAATAAACGCCGCTCCTTTGCTTCTCACCATACACACACAACAACTTATCTCCGCCGCCACCGCCGCCGTCGTCATCTCCTCCTCCGCCGCCACTCCTCCTCCTCTGTCATCTTCCTCGCCGTCTACGACACTAACGAAACTCATCTGTCCTTCGTTCTCCTCCAGCAACTCCATCAAAGACATCCTCGCCGGCTGAATCTCCGCCGTCACCGACAACGTTTCCTCTTCCCTCGCTGATAACGCTCTCTCCTCCGCCAACACAGCTCCTAACCGGATCCTTCCCTCCGCCGTTGCTCCGTTGAACTCAGAAACCGGCGGTGAGTCACCTCTTGCGTCTCCGGAGCTGGAAAAAAGAAAACCGAGCCGGTTTCTATCGTTATCCCGGTTAAGGATAGGCGTATCCGAGCTCGGGACAGGATTCGACGAGATCCAAACAGTGCCGTTGCGTTTGAGCCGGAGCTTCTCACGGAGAGATTTCCAAGCGGTTTTATCTCGGGGGCGGTGCTCTGTCTGCATTACATCGAGAAGTGTCCGATTCGATTGGTTGTTCCTCGACGTCGGAGGCGGCGCAATTTGCTGTGGCTGCGGCGAGGTTACGTTTTTGTCGGCCATTAGAATGGCTTCTAGAGTCAATCCCGTTAACGAGCTCCGGCTATTCTCCACCGTCGACATTCGATCTAGTAACGTCACTCTCAGCCTATCGCCACCGTCCATTTGAATCATCTTTGACCAAGAATGAGAATGTGAGCTGAAAAAACAAAAATTAAAACAAGAAAGTTGTTATTTTCAAATTTTAAAATTAGAATCGAAGATTTTCTCGAGGGGACTAAACTTAGTATTTCAGCTTCCCTAACTCAGATTTCTAGGAAATCGAAAACCGAAGCTAAAGAATCAGTTTAAGGCTCCTCGATAAACCCCAAAATTTCCCGAGAAAATTCAAAAACTGCTAAAAATAAAAACCTTTTTTTATCCAGGCGACTCATTTACTGTTCTCAGCTTACAAAGAAAACCATAGTTTCTCGAGAAAAATCCAGAGTTTCTCACAGTGAATAGATGCAACACTTTGGCTTCCTGATTGCAGCAGAATCCGAAATCCAAGAGCAGATCTGTAATAAATAGAATCCACTTTTAAAAATAATAAAGATTCTGGCAAAACAGAGAGAGAGAGAGAGAGAGAGAGAGGGAAATTCCGATCTTCTTTTTAAAAAAGAATCAGATGTCAGACAACAATCATATTATTCACAAAAAGAATATATAAAATCTACAGAAATAGCTTTATTTACATATTTTGGTTGATAACTTTGAATTCTTGAACTCTCTTCTCTTCGCTTTCTCTTTATGAGTTTATGTGAAAGAAAGAGATGTGTGTACGAGCAGAAGAGGACCACGATTATTGGTGGTAACGGGTAAGCGTTTTTATTAACAGCGTCCGTGTGGAAAATTACGTATTTACCCATGCATTTATGCGACTTTACTGATCAGATTCTTTTGAGTTTTGACTTTTGGTTGTTACTTTCTTGTGGGCCATAAGGGTATATCAGTATATGTGAGATAAATTAAAATTATTACAGTTTTTGGCTTCGGACAGTAGCGAAACTAATGACGGAGATTCGTTTGTTTTTGTCTTTCAGTTTCTTTAAGGAAACGGGGAAATTTTGTTTAAGCATAAGAGAAAGTGCACTTGATTCTTGTCTTTTTTTACACAACATAAAAAAAAAATTCTAAAGTTTTGGACTCAACATCAAAAGTTATTTCTAAGCGATTTTGTCAAAACAATGTAACATATAAGCGTCTTTAGTCATATGGTTATTCTGGTATAAGTGTATAACATTGAATAAGAGAAAAATAGTCACCAAACAATCACTACCGCAACAACTTGGTTTAGGTTTTTATTTTTGGTAAAAACTTGGGTTAGGTTTAATATTCTGTTTAGGACTAACTAATCCACTAATGAAATAAGAATGGTTCTTGCTTTCCAGATTACATTTGTAATATTGCAAATAAGTATGGTTCATGCCCTCTCCCAGTTACATTTGTAATAAAAAAACTTGGGTTAGGTTGTATAGTATCCCTCACTTCACAAAATAAAAAGATAGTTAACGAGAGAGGGCATTGTTTTGTTGAAACATTTGAGGGCCCAGCACATGTAAGACCATCATGTTTGATTAAGATTCCTAGCCATAATATCATACTGTACCATGATTTTAGTTTCGATTGCCACCATTATGAGAAGTTTTTATGGAGAATGGTTGGTATAGTCTAACTATACTTAGCAATAAATGTCTTTTTCTTTTTTCTTTAACAATTTCTCATAGGGCATTGTTTTGTTGAAACATTTGAGGGCCCAGCACATGTAAGACCATCTTGTTTGATTAAGATTCATAGCCATAATATTATACTGTACCATGATTTTAGTTTCATTGCCACCATTATGAGAAGTTTTTATGGAGAATAATTGAAATAATCTAACTATACTTAACAGTAAATGTGTTATTTTTTTTTCCTATGATTTTTAACCAATGGAGGTCAATACTATTAGTTATTTTTTCTTGAAGTTTACAGTAGTATTAAAAACAGAAAACATTTATTTTTTGAAACAATAGAAGTTGATGAATTTTGGTTTGTTGACTTTTTCGATAAAATAAGGGGAAACTGGCAAAGTACCCCAAAAAAAGACCACTGTTGTCTCTTTACCCATTTTTTTTGACTTTGGCCATTTTTTGCCTTAATTGTCCTTCAATATTGTTAAAACCTCATAATGAATATTTTTTTAAGTGAAGCAAAATTTCTAAAATTCCTAAAAATGATGTCAAGAATGTGTAAAATAGTTGAACATTTTTTAAAATGTTTTGGATGGTTAGAAAATTCTTTGAAGTTTTTGTTCTACAAAGTAAATTATCAAAGCAGAATACGTTTTCTACAAGATATTCGCACGTCTAACCGCCGTAGAATATGATATCTACAACTTCTTCATTCATCTTCCGGATTAGACTTCGATATATACCATATACAATACACTCTACCATTTTGTAGAATTCGCTCCAAATATATTCTACAGAATACACCATCCGCTACTAATCGTAGATTTCAAATTCTATGGTAAACACTGCTATCTACCGGTCCTAGTTTTCGTGTACTACATATTTCATGTTTTTCTGCATGGCGTAGAACCAGTGATCTACTAAAAAGAAGACTTCTACAATCCGCAGTAATCGTGTTTCCACTGGATGTTCTACTAAATAGGTGAGTTCTACATTTTGTAGAGTTCAACTTCTGCCAAAATCGAGAGAATATTGCAACCAAATATTTTTCAAATCTTTGTTTCCTTATTTTCCTCCAACTATCCGAAAATATACCACGACTAATCCTCCATGTTCTTCCTTTCGTCTTCTTCATCCCCTTCCTCCTTTGTAGTCCTCTATCTCTCTATCCTTTCTTAACTAATATGGTTCTATGTAGCTTGTGGTTCATGGAAAATGTTTTAATTTATTTTAAAATAAATAAGGTTCAAATCTATGTAGCTTATGCTTTGATATTTTAGAATTGTAGAACAAAACTTCAAAGAATTTTCTAACCATCCAAAACAATTTTAAAAATATTCAAATATTTTACACATTCTTTAGATCATTTATAGGACTTTTAGAAATTTTATTTATTTTAATTTTAATTTTTGATTTTGTTTTATTTATTTTAATTTTTTTAAATCGAAAAATGTTTAAATTTCTAAAAAAACATTATCAACTCAATTTCAAGGTTAAAAATGGACAAATTGCCAAAAAAAAAGTGTATTGAGACAAAGATCAAATGCAAAAGTGTAATGGGACAAGGAAGCCTTTTTTTGGAGTATTTTGGCAATTTTCTCATAAAATAATACGCTGTGTTACTAAACGAGCGACATGCCTGAAATTTATAAAGTTTAGCCGCAAGTTAGTGCATGTAACTTACAACTACAAAAGCCCGAAAAAGAGCCAAAACAAATAAAACAAGGCCTTGATTCGTCTCCGCAGAGAGCAAAAAAAAAACAGGCCCAGAACTCGGATTCGAAGAGAGAGAGAGTCGCATACTGCGTCGAGGAGAGAGAGAGAGAGAGAGAGACCGAAAAAAACATCACCGAGGAAGAACAATTTTTTTTTTTCTTCTCCCGAGAGGGAAACCAAAATTGAAAAGCAGAAATTGCTGAATTAGGAATCCCGCAAGGCAGAAATTAATGGATTGTATGTCGTCACAGACATCTTGTTTCCCCTGAGAAATTGGTTTCGTGATTTGATTTGAAGCTTAAAGAGGAGGAGGAGGTTTTGTTTGTTCATTCTTAGCAAACCCTAGGAGAGAGAAACTAATTATAGATTGGGTGATTGTGTGCCCTAGCGTTGCGTTCGTCCTGTTCCACGTCCAATTCAGGTACTCTAGCTTGCTTCTCCTTCTCCTTCACTCTTCTTCTCGAACCCTAAAGTCCAGCTTTGCTGGAGTTTCTGTAAATTTTGAACATTTCGGGTATGTTTTACGTTGAGTCTAGAAGGGTATTGATAGTGCTAGTGGTTGTGATCAAGAATGTGAATAGAGCTGTGAAAATTCGTATCTGTAGTTCTTGGTTCCTGCTCGTTTAGCTTCTAAATGTGCCCATAAAGTAGCTTTAGCTGATCATTTCTAAATTAGTTCTTTGTAATCTTTGTTAGTGTCAGGTTTTTGGCTGACCTTAGCTTAGAGATCTTCTCTCATTCTTGAGGCAACATTTCATTTCTTGGCATCTTAGATAAAATCTAACACTGAGCCTGACTTTCGAATATATGGGCGTATCATGAGAACATACATGCACATACGTTTGCCATTGTAATTTGCAGGTCAACATTTAGCTGTAACTAATGAGAGCTTCTTGATTTATTTTCCAGTTAAGTTAGAATTCGGATTAATGAGAGATCCAAGGTGGTGATGCATGGAAGCATTTTAGGACATCTTCTAGTAAATGCTGAGGTTGATTCCATGGGAGGAGTTATCGACAGTGGAGGTGGTATTGCTCTCAAAACATCTCCTCACCGAACAGCAATCGAGAAGGCTCAAGCGGAGCTAAGGTATAGTGTTTCAACTCACTACATTTTGTACAGCTAATCAATCACTTCTAAATGTGTAACAAAGATGCTTATTTCAACAGGCAAGAGTATGATGTCCGTGAGGAAAGGAGGAGAGAGCTGGAGTTCCTGGAGAAAGTATGAATATACCTATTTCCCTGTTCTCTTTGCTTTGAGAAACTTATTATAACACGCCTTTGCTCTTCTATCTGCTTCAGGGCGGTAATCCCTTGGATTTCAAGTTTGGTATTGCAACTTCACACAGCGTCCAATCTACATCACTCACAGATCAGCAAGCAGAGCATTTTCTAAACAGGTAACATTCGTGTTTGTTGTAGTTATCCCACTAAATTTCATGGACCAACTCATCATTCTTTACCCATGACCACCACAGTGAAGTCAAGGATAGTTTTGCTCTGACTGCCTCACCACATGGGGACTCTGTGGAGAGTAGTGGTAGACCCGGAGTTCCTACAGTTTCTGAACCCAATACAGCGGATAATCTTTTACTGTTTGATTCTGAAAGCAAGTCAGTCGAAGGAGAAAGTTTGAGATATCCTAATAGACAAAACAGGGCTGAGTCAGAACGGTCTTGCAAAGCTAATGCCAACAAGAATACCAAAGAAACAGAAGATTCTGCCATCTTTCGCCCGTATGCTCGTAGGAACAGGTCAAAAGTAAATCGGGATCCAGCACGGTCAAGCTCTACGGATATAGTCCAGAATCGTGGTGGTCTTGCAACGTCTGTCTCTATTCGCAGAGGATCAGATTGCATTCCCGAAGCAGCCAGTCAAAAGGATAGGCATACGACTTCTGTATCTTGTCCAGTATTTGCAAATTCAAATGGTACTGTCGCTCCGAAAAATGTAGTTCCCAGCAATCCGTTGAATACTAAGGTGGATGGTGGACTTGTTGTACAAGAGAGTACTGCTGGATCAAAAACTAGTCCATTGAAAGATGAAGCAGACTTTACAATTAGAAAAAGCTCTGCATATTTGCCTTTTGAAGAGACTGTCGAGGAGAAGGCACAATTGGATTTGACTAGTATGGAGATTGATTCTCCCAAAGCTGCGATAATAGCTGGGCAGGACGATAGTTCTACTCAATTGAATGGCCTAAGAGATTCTTCGGGAGAGAAAGAAAGCTTAAAAGATAGAGGAGCTTCAGGGACAAAAGGGTTAGAGTCAGAGTCTTCTCATGTTAACAACTTAGAACTAGATGTAGATACTGAAAGAGATCTTTACAGAGTGGACAAACTTGACTCAGATGATATCTCTATGCATAAGGCTTCAAGAGCAGAAGGGTTGCTGAATCAAACAGCTGGTGAAATGACGAAAACTAAGATTGAGGATGAGACAGGTTGTTCGCCCACCATTATTAGCGAATGTAGTCCTGTGCGTGAAATGCAGATGAATTCAGTTAAAATTGAAAATCAAAGTTACAGAAATACAGCTGAGCTGCAAAACGAAGAGAAATGCTCTGACACTGAGAAAAAGCTTCAGGATGAGTTGGTTGTACCCGAAAATGGCAGGAAAGTTACTAGTGTTTTAGAGGACAATCCTAGTAGCTCTTTGCATCCTGGAAATCCTCAGGCATCTGTAGACGCAAGTTCCTGCATGGTTGGTGATAATGTATTGTCAGGAACTGACATTGAAGCATTAAAGCACCAGCCTAGCTCAGATGGTGGCTCAAAAGTGGTAGATACTGTGAAGGAGGACTCTATCCTTGAGGAGGCACGGGTTATTCAGGTTTTCTTTTTCAACTTGGCCTGATGATCTTAAGCTGAGTGAGTTATATACCTTTTCATTTCTTTATGTGTGACTTAATACACTAACAGGCAAAGAGAAAGAGAATTGCCGAGTTGTCTTGTGGTACGGCACCAGTGGAGGTTCGTGAGAAATCTCAGTGGGATTTTGTCCTCGAAGAAATGGCATGGCTAGCAAATGATTTTGCGCAGGTCTGGACTAGCTGAATCAGCTTTCTAATTTGAATTTGATATATCTGCATGGAAATTGGTGCATTTCGTGGATTGTTTTAATATTAATAACGTTTAGACATTCCTCTGCGTAACTGAGCTTTTCCACTTTTATGTTGCTGGAACAATTTTCCATCGAGTGTGCAGATTGCATTTTGTTGATTCTTACATTTTTCTATTTGTCTTCTAGGAGCGCCTTTGGAAGATGACTGCTGCCGCACAAATTTGCCATCGAGTTGCTTTGACTTCTCAGTTGAGATTTGAGGAACAAATTCAGCACATGAAGATGAAAAAAATTGCTTCAATCCTATCCAATGCGATTCTGCAATTCTGGAGATTGGTGGAGGTTCCTGGGGAGCTGGAGGAGATAAGCTTGGGAACGGAAAAGGTATTTGACTGTCAGACCTCTAATATGGTTCTGGATGACTGTGGTAATCATATGGTATTTTTTTCTTTAAAATCAGAATTATGCATATATATATATATACACTTCTTGGGCTAAAGTATTGAGAACACTGATGTCCTGGAACCATATTATTAAGCTTGTGACCGGACTGTAAGGGACACAATTCTATGGATATTTCCTTTGCTTGAAATGTCTTCCGTGTTTACCTCCAGGAGTCTCTGGTTCTGTTGCTCTTTATGTTACGATTTTTTTAGTTAAAACTTAATGGTATCCTGCTAAGTAACACCGTGATCGTATGCAGGAGACTTGCCAAGAATCTAACTGTGAGAATGGCAGAAAATGTTTAGCTGCGGGTGTCAAGGAGTATGCAAGTAGATTTTTAAAGTATAACAATTCTTCTATCCCCTATCATTCAGCTGTACCATCAACACCCGAAAATCTGTGCGACCCAGAAATATTGGATGTATCTATGGTCGATCAGCTTACAGAAGTAAGAACTTTTTAAAAGTTCTTTGGCACGAAAGCCTCTTTTATTCAGCTTACAGCTCTAATGTATTTGCTGACTGTGCTTTGTTACTTTGCAGGAAAGCCTCTTTTATTCAGTTCCATCTGGTGCAATGGAGTTATACCACAAGTCTATTGAGACCCATCTTACACGCTCTGTGGTATGTGAGATTTTTCTGTGCTAAGAACTCTGATATTGTAACCTTGATTACGTATTTTTCCGAAGATAATTTCTCTGTTATCCGAAGATAATTGACAGTATTTCTCTGTTCCCAGAAGTATGAACAAAGCATGCAAGAAGAGGTTGATACATCAGCCTATGATGCTGCTGGAGGTATGCACAGTTCTTGGTTGTTTGAGCTCCATGTGCTGGTCAAGTACCTGCTGATTTTTTCTTTTATCTGCATTGTAGACACAGAATACAATGTCACTGCGTTCGATGAGGATGAAGGAGAAACAAGTACCTATTATCATCGTGGAGGTTTGGAATGTAGCAAATCATTTAATCTAGGCCACAAAAAACGGAAGAATTTGATGAAGTCTCACTCTGCCCGGTCATATGATATTGGAGCTGATTTACCATACGTCAACTATACAGGCGGGTCTAACTCATCGAATTTGATGGCTAGAAGGCCTGCCAATAATATGAATGCCGGGTCAGTTCCGACGAGGCGCGTGCGCACTGCTTCCAGACAGAGGGTTGTGAGTCCTTTTGGCTGTGCTACTGCTGGGAGTTTACCAGGGCCCTCAAAGACAGATGCGTCTAGTGGGGACACTAGTTCTTTTCAGGATGAGCAAAGTAGTTTGCATGGCGGGTCAGCAGTTCAAAAAGGCACAGAGGTTGAATCAAGAGGTAATTTTGAGAAGCAGTTACCTTATGACATGGCTGAAACGTCAGGAAAACCTAAAAAGAAGAAGAAGACTCATCTGGTAGTTTGCAATATGAGCATATCTCTTGCTTTTTTTCTGATAATAGTTGCTCTTTGTTTTAATTTACATTGCATTGTAATTTGCAATTTCATTTGTTGTAGGGATCTGCATATGACCAAACCTGGCATCTCGATTCGTCTGTCCATAATGAACAGGTGATTTCACTGGTTAAATTTTTAAGAATCATTTTGAACAAAAGTTTAGGGATTATAAGTTCAGGCGGTGTGTCGTTAATGCTCAACTAGCTTTGCTAAAATGAATCAATTTTGCTACATGCTGGATTGGTTTGATGCTTGAGCTCTGGCTGTTGACAGTTTCATATTTCTTGAAATGAGCATTTTAAGCTATATTAGCTCGTAATATGTACCCTGTAGTACCTGACTTCCCACAAAGGAATCTAATTCGTCCTTATTTTCGCAGAAGGACAACTGGAAGAAGCGAGCAGATACACATTTCGATATGAACGGTACTTTTTTGCAAATTCTTTTTTATTCTCTGGTGCATTGTAGGTTTTCCGCCCTTGGGGCGCTCAAGCCTCATTCTTCCTTTATAAATCAAACAAGTTCCTTAGAAATAAGTTTATAATCCTGTGACATATTTTAATTGTACTTTAGCAGGTCTGTATGGTCCTCATAGTGCAAAGAAGCAAAAGACCACCAAGCAATTGGTAGAGAATAAATTTGATAGTGCTATTCCTCTCACTGGATCAATTCCTTCTCCAGCAGCTTCCCAGATGAGCAACATGTCCAACCCCAACAAATCTATCAAATTTGTTGGAGGTCGCGATAGGGCCAGAAAAATAAAAGGCATGAAGGTATGTGCTGTTGAAGGTGTGCTAGCTCCTCCGTTTGCTTTATATTTGTTTTAAACTAGAAATTAAACCTACGCAGATTTCTCCTGGGCAGCATGGTTCGGAAAATCCGTGGTCACTATTTGAGGATCAGGTTTTTTATCCTCCATCTTCAGTAACATCAATATTCTGTAGGTTGCTCTATGAGTATCTAATTTATTTTCCACCATTTAGGCGCTTGTTGTCCTTGTGCATGACATGGGACCTAACTGGGAGCTCATTAGTGATGCAATGAACTGCACTCTTAAAATTAAGGTAAGTCCCTGTTTCTTGAAAAATATACTTTCATAGGTACATATCCAACCGAGGGGCAGAGCTACCCTTCAATAGATTATAGTTTTTAAATCTATTGTAGTGAACTGTTGTGCTGGTCATTGTTGTCTAGGATGTTACTTTCTCATATCTTTGAACAATTGGGATTTCTTTCTGGCTGATTGATTTTTCCGTTGTTTGATCCGCATTTTTTATTTATCTTTTCAGTGTATATATCGTAATTCGATTGAGTGCAAAGAGCGGCATAAGATTCTGATGGATAAGACTGCTGGTGATGGTGCTGATAGTGCTGAAGACTCGGGGACTTCTCAGTCTTATCCATCCACTTTGCCTGGCATCCCGAAGGTTTTTCTTTAGCTCTTAGCCAGGTCAATTAAGTGTCTTCTATGTTTAGACTAATTTAAATGCCGGGGATATGTCTGTGATATTCAGGGAAGTGCAAGACAGTTGTTTCAGCGACTGCAAGGGCCTATGGAGGAAGATACGTTGAAGTGCCATTTTGAGAAGATTTGTTTGATTGGGAAGAAGTTACATTGCAGAAAGACACAGGTTGGTTCACCTAGTGCTTTGCGGCCCTAATTCACTCTTCTTATTTGTCATAAGGGGCCTGCATGTTTCAAAGCATAGCTTCAGGGACCGTGACATTTTAGTTTGAAGTTTAAATCTTCTAAGGCCCTAATTCTCTATTCTTGTTGCTGCTTCTGTATGTTTGCTACTGTTTCATCGATCTTCAAGAATGATGGTCGGGATCCCAAGCAGATAGTACCAGTTCACAATTCACAAGTCATGGCTCTTTCTCAAGTATTTCCGAATAATCTGAACGGAGGTGTTCTAACGTAAGTTTCGTTGTTTCCTTTAGTTCATATAGTTCCTGATTATTACTTCCGCAATCCTAATATTTTGCTATTCTCTGGATGAAGGCCCCTTGACATCTGTGATGCGCCGTCAACTTCAGGTCAAGATCTATTTTCATTTGAAAATCAAGGTCATCCCATGTTGAATCAGGGGACGCCAGTGCTCCCTACTTCTGGAGCAAACCCATCCACTCCGGGGTCTTCTGGTGTGGTTCACAGCAACAATTCACCAACCACATCTGGCCTTCACAGTGCTTCTGTCAGGTTATAGCTGTAATGAATGGCTTGTGTTGGTAAAAGCACACATTTGTGCATACTCGAGGGTTATTACTTACTTTGGTTGGTGATATATTGTTTGCTTTTAGGGATGGTAGATTCAACATTGCTAGAGGGTCTTTACCACTTGATGAACAACACCGACTCCAACAATATAGTCAGATGTCATCAGGTAGAAACCTGCAGCAGCCTTCTTTATCAACTCCTGGAGCTGTCGCAGGAGCTGGACACCGCATGGTTCCTGGTGGAAATGGAATGAACAGAGGCACACCCATGCCAAGGCCTGGTTTTCAAGGTATGGGCTCACCAGCAATGCCAAATACTGGTAGCATGCTTTCCTCTGGTATGGTGGGAATTCCAAACACTGGAAGTATTCACCCTGGAGGAGGAGGAGCTTCTCAAGGAAACTCCATGGTCAGGCCTCGTGAAGCTGTGCAGCATATGATGCGGGTAAGCTATTTGCCTTTTATCTATTGCTGGTTGATTGGCATTTTGAACTTGTTTGACAACATTACGAACAATCCAGTTAAGATAAAAAACTGATGTGCGTGAGTGTCAGATGCAGGCTGCTCAAGGGAACAGTCAGGGGATCCCAGCATTCAGCAGTTTGAGTTCTGGATTCACCAACCAGACAACTTCTGTTCAGGCGTTCCCAGGACATCTTCCCCAACCGCATCAGATGTCACAGCAGTCGCATGTGCTTGGCAACGCGCATCATCCTCATCTCCAAAGCCCAAGTCATGCCACTGGGGCACAGCAGGAAGCATTTGCTCTCCGTCAAAGGCAAATGCACCAAAGGTATGTGCAGCAGCAACAGCAACTACAGCAGCAGCAGTTTCCAGCATCTGGTACTTTACTGCCACATGGACAACAACAACAACCTCAGGGGACTTCTGTTTCTTCTTCTCCACAAAACAGTCCTCAGACTCAACCACCCGTTTCGCCATCGCCCCCAGTGTCGACCTCTCCTAGTGTTAATGCAATGGCACAACAGAAACCTCAAAAATCTCAGTTGCCGCTTCATGGTCTGGGTAGGAATCTTCAGTCTGGTGCTTCTGGAGTGAACAATCAAGCTGGAAAACAACGGCAGCGACAACTCCAGCAGCAGTCTGGAAGACAACATCCACACCAGCGGCAGCCAACACAAGGTCAACAGCAGAATAAACAATTGAAGGGGATGGGTAGAGGAAAGACTATCCATCAGAACATCACTGTTGATCAGTCACACCTAAATGGTCTCACCATGGCCCCAGGAAATCAGGCTATCGAAAAAGGAGAAGCAGTGGTTCCAGTTAGGCCTGATCAGCAGTCTAATGCAGGGACTGCCACAAGCCTTAAACCGATAGTTCCTCCACAGCAACTGCCAAAAGCATTTCCTGGTGCTTCACCTCCGTCCCAACAACAACAGATGCAGTTACATTCAGACAGTAGCGTTCAAGGCCAGAGCTCACCTACAACCCCATGTAATATCGTATCCACCTCTACCACGTCAACTACACCTGCTGTTGCTCCTTCCAGCCATCAACATTTGTTGATACACCAAAAGCAGCGCAATCAAGTGCAGCCAACAGCTCAGCGAGTTGTTCATCATAATCATCTAGGGAACTCTGACTTATCGAGGAAGTCCCTAGCTGCACGTGTTCCACAGTCTGTCACCAGTACCTCCCAAACAGCTAGTATGAGTACGACCAAGGGTATATCTCAAGCGAGTAACGATTCGAAAAACATAAAAGCAGCTGGTTCTACTCCTGTGCCTTCTCCAAATTCATTGGAACCTCCACCTTCTGCCGCCTCTGTGCAAAGCTCTGATCCTAAAGTAGCAAACAACTCCAATACAGATTCAGCTGGAAGTGATCCAGTAGCAGCTCAGACGCATTTGCCTGGTGGCTTACAGAGGCAACAGTCTCTACCTTCAGTAGAAAATAGACCGAAGTTGCCGGAGCAGCTGACTGTACAAAATCAGAAACACCTTGCTTCTGATCAGCAGCCTCAGTTAGAAAAAGAAGCACAAGAACTATCATCTCCTAAGCCTCCTGATACAAAAGTGGAATGAGAGGCACACAACAGATGGAACCTAGAAACCTCGAGTAGCTGTAGAAATCCTGCAAGGGTTTATTCTGGCCCTTCACCGACAACCCCGTACAGGTATACCAAACTGGTTTTGTACATAGTCGGGGTCCTCACTTTGTGGCGGCATTAAACATCATCAAGTGGGGGTGGTCTTTGGATTTGGCTGAGATGCTGTATTAACATAACATTGGTTTTGGTCCAGCCAAAAGTGAAATTGTAAACTCTGCAGATTGAGTTTGCAAGATTGGAGGAGGAAGAAGGTGGATAGATAAATTAAAGATGGTCTTTGAACACCAAATAGAGAAAGGTATGATCATATGTAAATTTCCACTGCATCGTAGAGAAAAGACTCTTTGTTCTTCACATCATCTTTTTGGTTTTGGGAGAGTAGAAACAGTTCATAATGTTTTGTATAGAAGTCTGCTCTTCCACTTCCACCACCACTTCTTTTTTCTTCTTTTTCTACTAATTACTTCTCTTGTGGGTTTAGGTTAGTTTAATTTGAATGTATTATTGTTTGTTCTCCTTGTGGTTAAATGGAAAAAAAAAAAAAATTAATATCCTTCCATCACTTCGTGTACATCATAATGTTCATGACAATAGATTACAATTTCATATTTGTCGACCAAAAATAAAATATTACACTTTGCAATATCTAGATTAGAGAAGCACAATGGCTTCTCTTGTGTTGATGAAATAACACAACGGCTTCTCGACAATAGATAGTAAATTCTCTGCAATGGCAAAAAACTTTATAAACTTTCAGAAATATTTTTAAATGTGTAGAAGTATTGTGAGAATGTTTACAAGTTTTGGGAGAGATATTTCTGAAGGAATTTGAATTTTTCGACAAGGTTTTGGGAGATTTGGATACATAAAAAGGTTCATGACATTTAACATTAGATTACATTGGATTTCTAGAATTGTTAACTATGTTACAAATCTGAAATGAAGGAGAGAAGAAGAGAACAATGACATCTTTTTTTGTTCTGTTTTATTAGTTAAATCTCTCTAGTTAGAAAGAATCAAAGGCAGTGTTGAGAAATTGAAGAAGCTGAGCTTGAGAGCTCTGAATCAAATGTAGCCGTTGGATCTCCATCTCTTTCCGAAGCTTCACCGTCTCTCTCGCAAACTCCATCTTCTTCTTCTCCATCACCATCACTCTCTCAGCAAAAACCCTAATCTCAGCAGCCACTGCTCTCGCTCCTTTCCTCCTCCTCTCACCATCTTCTCCATCTCCCCTCTTCCTCTTCGATCTCTCCTTTTGTCCCCACGACAACAATCCACCACCAACGCCGGCGAATCTGTTAACCGTCCCCGGTCTTCTAAGTATGTAATTGATGCTTCTCGACTTGCTCTGTCTCTCATCCTCCTCGTAGTTCTCTTCTTCGTCTTCTTGCTCCTCTTCTTCTTCATCTTCTTCCTCGTAAGGATTACGCGGAGGAAGCCGTGTGAGAGGACGAGCTGAGATCGGAGCCGGAATGTTGCTGTCTAATTCCTCCATTTGAGAATAGAAAGGCCAAATCGAGATTGGTCCCATGCTCTGCCTCTCTGCTCGGAATCTTTTCCGCATCTTCTCGATCTTGTGCCGACACTGAGTAGCTGACCGGTCAACGCCGGAGCGACCTGAGACGGCGACGGCGATCTCTTCCCATTGGGTTGATTTGAGTGGACCGCGACCAATGGCGTCCCATTTCTCCTTGTAGGATTCGATTAGGAGGAGAGTCTCGTCGTGAGTCCAGAGCACCGGCTGGGTTTTTCTGGCGACGGCGGAGGTCGAGGCGGCTAAAGCTACGACGGTGATATGCGATGGGGGAGGGGTTGGAGTCGAGGTGGAGGGTGGTGGATCTTGCTGCGGCGGAGTAGCGGCGGAATTAGGGTTTGAATCAGAGCGAGGAGAGGAGGTCGGCGAAGGCGTCGCCATGGTTTTTGAGTGTAATGATGGCAATAGAGGAAAGGACCAAACAACAATGGCTTCGGCTTTAGTGAGTTTAACTCCAAACTCGGATCATTGGGCTTTGTCTGCTCATTAATTGTTTAACCTTTGGGCCCAATAAAGATCTAGTAGACCCATTACTGTCATTTGAAAATTATACTCTATTTTCCTTGGTACTGTATGTACTTCAGCATTCTTAAATGGAAACGAATACAAAAATCCCCAATTTACTAGTTTAGTTTTGGCCATAAAAGTTTCCAACAATTTCAATGACTACCTACTTATTTATTAGTTTGGCCGAATTACACAATTTCTCATTAATCCAGAGCCTATAGTGTCACTATCATCACATGGATTTAGATCTTCATAATACATGCTGACCAAATAACGTTTTTTCTTGCAAAATGTCAAACAAAACAAAATATAAATGTTATGTTTGACCAATTTGGTTTTATCTAAGTTGAATTTGTTTTTTGTCTGATAACAAACAATCAAGGATTTCTCTTTTTTTTGGGAAAAATGGTAAACTACTGATTTTGGTGGACTTCTTCTACCATCAAACGTAACTGTATTTGTAAATGGTAACACAATAGTGTATTAAGCATTTGTGTGGTGCCAATATATATATACTATATGACAATGATGTGCATTATAATCGTTATGGTATGGAAAAAGTAAATCACAAAATAGTTCACTAATTCCACTGTTTTCTACCCTAAAGATACTGGTACAAGTATAAACCTTTCCCTCTTCAATTCCACTTCCAATAACCATCTGCAAATAGATAAAACCATTGAAGGAAAAGAAGTTCCAAGTGAGAAAACAACAAAAGTATATGTTTTGTTGGAATATGACAAAGAGATGAGTAAGATGTCTCTCACCTGTAACATGATTGGTGGGTGAAGTACTAGATTCGGATATGAGATTCAAAGATATATATTTATTCCACTTGGAAATTTCTGCAGTGTCTTGGCCAACAAGAGCGCATTCCCTGCGTTTAGCAAAGAAGAATGGTTTCAAACTGAAGCACACACAGAGATCTCCAAGTGTTGTTCACATTAGAGAAAGACTTAAAGCACTTACCGTTGAGCTGCTCTCCTTCAAGCTCTCCAAAGACTCAGCGAGCTCAATTTGTTTTGACGCCGTCAAAAGGAGCGCCTGTCACAACATTTTGAAATCCCAATTAAATCCAAATGCACCGGAGCTAATATAGATTTTTGAAACAAGTGTTCAAATTTTACCTTCTTTGTCTTCTGTAAATCATACTCAATGGATTTGATGCGGTCTAATGAATCCCGAAGTATATCTTCTTTCTCCTGAGGAATGTTTGTGGGTTTATCAAGCAAAACTGTGACCATGCTCTCAAGGTTTTGCAACCTCAGCCAACATGGATGGAGAGACTCTCTTGCTACTTCCACCTGAGGAGGAAGAGGTGGAGGAACATGCTGCTGGGAGACTGAAACTGTTAGCTCCGGTCTCAAATGGTTCTCTGGTTGTTTATTTACAAGTCTTCGCAACGTGAGACACACAAACGCAAGAAGTTGGAAGATAAAACGAGCCAACGAACTTGCAACTTTCTGAAGAGAGTTATTTAAACTCCTCTCTACTGTCAGATTACTTGGTAACTGATCTGCAGGGAAAGTGTTGTAGAGACTATTAGGAACTTATCTGAAAATAGATCATGACATGAGAACACAGAGTTGCTTTCACCTACTTGTTAAATTAGACTGTACAATTCTCCCATTACCAACTGCTTCAGCTTGGTTGCTCAGCTGAGCACGTTTTTCCTGGAAACATAAGATAATCATTTCACTGACAATATCATAACCATGATGAACAAAACAGAGGAGCACTAGACTGTAATATGTAAACTAACATGTTCAGGATGCAAATTTCTCTCCCTCATTTGTCCTCCATCAGGTGACAATATTTCTTTATTCACATGCTCCTACAAGAAATGGGAAAGTGATATCAATATAAGTAACATAAGCCAATCACTGTTACACGTTGATGAGAACCAGAAACTCACCCGCAAGGCAAATAATTTAGTTACTTCTCCATTCTCTGGGAGGTCTATTTCCTTTGATTTGTACATTGCATCTCTCGAACGCACTAGCTACAAGTAACGACGTGATACAGAGATTAGCATCATATAATGCTTTTCAAGAGATACCAGTGTCTACGCAAAAACTTGAGCTGAAAAAAGGATCATACTTTCATTATCTCGGGATCATTCCAAGGCCCCTTGTTGAATTTCATACATCCACCCTCGTTCGCACACGTACAATTTCCTCCAAGAAATTCGGGAAGCTCACTGTTTAAAGAAAACAACAGAGACTTATCTGTATCAGCCTCCAAAATACTAAGCAAAAATGGATCATACATACAGTACAAATTCTGACCTTGGATCAATAATCTCGAGAAGGTGACTGCGAAATTTGTTTCCCAAAACCTGTGCAATAACCAATGTAAAATCATTGTTCAAGTTGAAACACCTCAAAAGTAGATATATGGTAGATGGTATACATGTATCTTAGAAGTAGTTTTAGGGTCGAGAAAGCCTTTCACTGCGTTCCAAATAAGCTTGAATCCGCCTCCAGCGTTAATGATGTACATCTGATTCAATGTCTGTCTTCAATGAACCAAAACCAGTGTTAGTGTTCTTCATCAGTGTATTACAAGGTCCAAAAACATTCACATAACTTTCATACACCCACCTCAGGATAGTTGTCGCCATCAATTTTCTGCATGCGCATTACAAGGTCCTGAGCTAATTTTCTAAAGCTCATCCAGCTCTGCATCAAAACAAGCACTCAACAAACTCAGACTTTCATCTCACTGAAACTTAAGGTTAAGAAAGGAATACATAAAGGTAACCAACCACTCCTGACACATCTATAATGGTCGTCGAAGAATTGATATGCCTCTTTGCTGCGATCGAACAAGCTGGAAACTTCTCAGCAAAAGTCTTTTCGAAACCTTGCACATGATATCTCAAGAACCGCTCCAACGTTGTAACCTTCATCAGCTTGGAAGGGTCTATTTTACCGAGCCGTTCAATGTAGACAGGACGTCCTTCTCTGTCTACACCATGGTAGCCATGTGGATAGTACTGTTGTACTTCTTCGTACTCTTCATAAACAAAATCCTGAAGAATGATATCAAATCATTTGCCATGTTAGTAACAGCAAAAGAAAACCATGTGGAAAGATTCTTTAAGTTTTTTTGTAACACTCTCATAAACAACAATTTTATATCTTTACCAACTCCAAGGAAGGTTCTTATGCTTCACCTGCATTATTGTATCAACTCCATTCTCTTTTCTCCACTTTAACATCTCTTCCCACATCTGAACCGCTTTGTCAATATCAAATCTCCTCGCCTTTAAGAATCTGCAACATCAAAAACCTTAAAAAATCTGCATACTTGACTGATTCTTAGATATATATTGAAGTTATTAGTTACCTCAACATTGTATGATAATCATCGTGTCGAGGTGGAAGCAAGTTCAGAGAAACCAAAGCTTTTCTAAACATACTCACTGCCTTTTCCTCTTCTGCATCTCTCACATCTTCGATCACAATTGGTACATACTGATCAGCTACACGCTTCCCTCGTTTCCTTAGACTATGCGTCAGTTTCGTTGAAGCTTTGATTGCTTTCTTCTTCAGCGATCTAGATCGAGCTCTTGGAATCTTTTCATCGTCTGAGTTCTCAATAATGTCTTTACTCTTTCCTTTATCAGTTTCTGGAACCGAAATGATCTCACCTAAAGCTGAGAGAGAACAGATGATCAGAGATGCTTTAAATTCATGTTAAATGCAATCAGATTTTTTTTTGTAGAATTGGAGCTGGGATTTACCTGGCATTTGATTTTAATCAAAGAAAGAGATGATACTGAAACAGAATCTCTGTATCTGCAGAGAGGATAAGAACCCAGAAATGTTATGAATGAAATCAGAAATGCAGATTCTAACTCAGATTTATAAAAGGAAAACAATTGGAAAAAATGGATCGAAATTGGAAAAATCAAATCCAACACGAAACAGATCAAGAAAAAACGAGAATCATGATCGATTCGAAAACAAAAAGCAAAAAAATTACCCAAAAAAAGATTTCAGAAACCCAGGAATGATTTACAGCACGAAAACGCATAAACATTATTATCAACCGCAATTCCTTTTTTCCTTACCTAATAAGCGATTTCGCGAAATCGCAATCTGATACGTTTAAACTCTCTTTTTATTTTTTCCAGATTTAGGTAAAGAATAAAAAAGCTCTCTCTCTCTCTCTCCCTTCAAACGAAAACGTTGCTTTCAGATTGCGAAGTCAAATCTTTTATATACACGACAAATCACATATATATTTTTATATATATACGTAAAAAACAGTTTTTCCTCGGAGCGTAGCTTGGAGAAAGAAGACGAAGCGTCGTTTTCAAACTAACATTTACGCAGAGAAGAAGAAAGAAGACGACGAAGAAGAAGAAGAGAGAGGAGAGGAAGCTTCACGCCGGTTTTGTTCGCCGTTTTTATAGCGAGAAATGAAACCGGAAATGAATTAAACGAGTAAACCGGATCGAACCGGAGATAGGTCAATGTTTTTTTTTTTAAGTCAATGCTTCGATAATTGCAGCAGTAATTACGGTACGGCAAACTAGTCAAAGAGAGAGAAGTGTTAATTAAACTTCGGTTAACGTCGCGATTAACGTCCGTTTGGTTGGTGTAGCTGGTGGTTACGGTCCGCGTAGGCGCTAAGCTAACTAACCATTTTACTGTTTGGTTTATGTGATTTTTATTTTTAATTGATTTCAATTAGATGTGGGTCCACCGACAGAATAGTTTATTCCACGTCATATCCATTAGGAGAGAGACACGTGGAAACTACCGACGTAGATTCTGAAATTCGCTGAGCGAAAAGTGCCACGTATCTAACTTTAGGTCCAAAAAGGAGAGAGCGACAGGTAGACCACGTGAGCTCATCAATTCATGGCCTTGCATTTGTAAGAATAAAAAACATTTTTCTCGTAACAAAATGTTTTTAATTTGATTATATAGAAAAAATTACGTAAAAGTCTTCATAATTTTAGCTCTGGCTTTACGGGTTTTGGGACGAGAATTGACAGGTTCGGGACAGGAATAGGAAATCAAAATATAATACCCGAAGTCTTAATAAATTGGGAAAATTGAAGATAATATGGGAAATTACGGAAAAATACAGAAAAATATGGAAAAATACGGGATCTTATGAGAAATTTTGGGAAATTATGGGAAAAATTGGGATATTTAAGAAAAAATGTCTAATTTTCAACTTTTAATTTTTTTAAAACGGGAAAATAGGGAAATCTCTTACCCTTTCCGAATCCGTTTGAATAAAAGAAATGTTTTCAAATGAGAAATTGCAAATTCTCATTCTCGAAAAGTTTGGAAAATTTTAAACAGAGATTGGAAACGGGATTCACGTCCCGAAATACCCAGGGGCCAGGGCTACTTCATATAATGAAAAATACACAAATCTGTTCTTTTTTTTGCAAAAGAAAAATGTTTTTTTTTCACCATCTTTTTTTCCCTTTTTGTGATTGTTTTGAATTCTGTTAATAGGGATGAGGACTGAAACAACGATAAATAAAAATAGGCTGAATAGATCAAAACAGGAAGCATAACAGATTGTATAGAACATTCGAAATACCAAAATGATTACTCTTTCCAATCTTTAAGTCTACAATGCTACGAAAATCAAAACCCAAATTCAAAGGTAGAATCAACAAGACGAGCTCCAAAGCAAAAGATAGATGCTGATTCTCAGTACTTGATCGGTGCAAGAACATCGAGCTGGGATCCAAGTTTCTCCTCTGCAACCTTCTCAGCCTTAGTCCTGAGCTTGATGAGCTGCTTCTTACGCTCATACACAGCCTGTGACCTCTCCTTTCTTTTGACCTCAAGCTCCTGCAAAAAATTATTATACCAAAATGTTAAATCACATTTTCAGTGAAAAGATGTTGGTTTTGTTCATAAATAAAATGATTCTGCAAATGATTTCATCCTAAAATCCGATCATCATGGTGGCATTCACACAAAGAAAACCGTCAGATCTATAACTAGATATGCTAGTGCTAAAAAATGTTTAGTTTTCTGATCAAAACTACTTCTGGTTATCATATAGGGTTGTTCAAATAAACTCATAAGATACATATGAACACTACTATAGTAAATGAAGCTGCTTCTGTTACATAAACTTCATATCCACAAAAGAAATGTATAATACGGTATAAAGAAAGAATGAACATTAAGGGCATACCTTGATGGTATCGTAATGGTTCCATCCAACCTCAGAAGACAGACGACCCAACAAGCAGTACTTGTGACCAGCTTGGAGTCTCAACACCCTGAGCAGAAACAGATGAACAAATCAGTATGATAGCTAAAAACACAGTGGACCATTATCTATCAAAATAGAAGAAATGTAAAGGAATATTACTTGAGTGCATCAGGAATGACCATTCTCTTGACTTTGTCGTATGGAGGTGGGACTCCTTCAAAAACCTTCAAACGGGCAAGAGCAGCAGCTCCACGCTTAGTCTTGTGTGGAATCATCCTGTCACGAACAACACAAACATGAATACAATGTCAACACACACAAATTACAAAGAAGAACATTTCTACATACAAAAGGAAGATAAAGTAACTGACTAGTCTAACCAAATCCAACCATTGGTACAATCTCTAATAAGCTGCCCAAAAGATCCCATTTTGAATACTATCAAGTGAAATTTAATTTGATAATCGCACATTTGCTGATTCAACTAACAGAGAGATCAACAATTCTAATTCAGATCATCATTTCCCAGATTCGAAACAAAACACATTAACAGCAAGTATAGAATTCTAAGTAAGAGAAAGGAGATTAGATTACGAACCCACGAACGGTACGCCAGAAGATCTTAGACGGAGCTCTGAAGTGAATGGGGCCATGAGAAGGCTTGGTGTTCATGCGCTTCCTGAGAAACCGCATGTACTTCATCTTCTGACGAACCAATCCACCGGAGAGGCAAATCTCCTCGCATCGGACGACGACGACTTTCTGCCCGTTGAGCAATTCCTTAGCGAGCACCGAGGCGAGGCGGCCCAACATGTGGTGCCTTGCGTCGACCACGACACGCTTCGCGCATATCCCTGACCCAGACACCATCTTCTCCGATTTCGATTTTTTTCTGCTTCCGCTCTTCGAGAAAGGTTACGAGTGGAGTTCAATGGAAGATTTATATATGAGGCGGCCTGTAAAAATTAGGGTTTCTTCTATAAAGGGTTTAGGGCTTCTTTAGAAAACCTAATTTAATTGGGCCTTTGGTATTATAATATAGGCCCAATAAAACCTGATGAAACTCTGTTTTAGTTTTCTGCTCTCTTCTCTTCGATTTTCTTCAACGGATCGGAATGAATATAGCTTCGAAGATTCGACGAAGTTTTTTCACAGAGAAGAAGAAACTTCCAAATGGAAATAGCTCGTTGAATGGATCATCGAGCAGAAAGGAAGAAGGTAAAGATGAATTGCTGGGAGTAACAGATGAATTAATCGATCATGTCAGATCCTTCACCATTGACACTTTTAAGGACTTCTCTCTTGACGGTAACTACGAATCCAGCTCCCGATTTTGCTCTTCTTTTCAATTCTCTCTCTCAATGAACAAGCATGAGCTTAACTTTAGTAATCGGGCTGAAAATTATGAATCAGATGAAGAAGAAGCGTCAGTGAATCCTTTGGAAGATGAAGATAATGGAGTGAGCTCATCTGCAAATGTGAAGAAGGATTTATCCGATTGGCAGGAGAGACACGCGGTTCTCGTATTATCGAAATCGAAGGTCTTTCCTCAAATTCTAATTTTGTTTTTGTTTTTGGTGATCGACTTTTATTTACTTCGAAATGAATGGAAGTGGTAGAGGTAGAGGTAGAGTTTTCAAATGAATAAAGATTAGCTCTTGGTCCAATTGGTATTGATTTTATTTAGATTCAAATAATAGCGTATGGTTTGAATCTTCTAGTCTCCATTTCAAAGCTGCTCTCTTCTTCATTTGCTTCTAATATGCTGATGCTTGTGTTACTGGAAATGGCAAAACTTTATCATGTTTTACTGTTCAGTTATATTTGTGTAGCCGTTGGTAGCATTTGGTTTGGTCAATTAGGATCAATGGCTTCAATCTTACAGAGAATACTCAAAGCTATTCTAAACAAGATAGATTTTGTGAGAGTTTGTCAAATTTTATAGCTCATACTTCACAACTACTTCCTGAAATGCTTGTAATCTGCTGAGGCTTATGTTACTGAAAATGACAAGCTTGCTCATGTTTTACTTTTACAGTTCAAGATGGTTTTTTCTTCCTGCTGATAAAACTGAATTTGGTCAATTTTGGAACATTTGGGTCGAATTTTATGGAATCTGCTCTAAACAAGGCTGATTTTGGTGTTACAGGAACTCTCACAGCTGAGGTTTAAGTTATGCCCTCGTCTCTTAAAAGAAGAGCAGTTCTGGAGGATTTACTTCCAGCTTGTGAGGAACCTTGTGGCAAAGTAAGCACTAAACTCTCTTATGCCAAGTTTTGTCTGAGATGCTTCCACGTGTAATGCCATGGAAACATGATAGTATTTGGAAATCCATTTTTGCAGATATGAGGTGCTAGCAATCCAACAAGCTAAAATCAGGAGGATGGCCATGGAAGAAACTTCAGAAACCAAAGTTGTATATGAAGTTGAAATGTCAGAGACAAGGCCAAAGTTGAGCAATGGACTTGCAACTCCATGAAGCTTTATGTTCAAGTGTCCTTGTGTGGCAAAGTTAGGGATTGAAAGTTTGAAACTTGACATGTATTGTAAAATTAGAGGTGACAAAACCAAGAAGGTTTGTCATCTACAAAGGTGTAAAATTTATCATGTTTATTTTAGAAAAAAGACATGATACATAGTGGTGTTTAAACGCTTTTGTAGTAAAAAGAATCGACATCATTATTTAATATTTTGATTCATCCGATGAGAGCCTAATGATCCAAAGAAGTGACATAATTTACATAAACCAAGAAAACCTAACTCTGCTGCTAACTTGGACTTTTGAGTGAAAATTTTACAGAAAGCGAGACAGTGACTGCAGTGCCAATAAAGAAGAGAGAGAGAGAGGGAGAGAGACGAAGCATATTGCTGCATCACAGAGGAATTGGTACAGTTTACACACGTGTGAAAAGTCTCCAGTTTCAGTCTCGCTTAAACAGAAGAGTATAGTACAGTATCAATAAAGAAGAAAGAGATAAAACCTGTGACCAACGTTTTTGTTCAGATGAGTTTGCTACTTTTGCAAACATGAATCCAAAGATTTATGACTTGTAAAGTGAATACGATGCAGAACCACAAAACTCATAGACCAAATAAGTAAATTCAATCAAGTAACTTCGCAGCAAGTGTGACTTATATAATTCGAAAACACAATGTAAAATTACAAAAAATGAAGAATCCAAGAAAATAAATTAGACTTTATTATCTTGCAAATGAGAGAGATTAAACATTAGACTTTATTATCTTTGAAATGAGAGAGATTAAGCATTACATTATCTTGACTAACAAGTTATCAACAATCCCTAAAACCCCCAACAAGCTCTTAACGATTCCCTCTAAGTCTTTGTTAGTCTTGTGTGCAATTTCGTCGCCTCTGTTCCAACACAGATGGTTCCTAAATCACACAGCTTTACATCGACATGTTACATCTTACAAGAACACATTCATGGCGCCACTTTGACCCATTCGTAACGTCCCGGCAGTGGATTTTCCGACACAATGTCAAAGTTATACCTGCAAAACCATTAAAAAAAACACCACAAAATCAGAAAAAAAAAATAATCTTAAAAAACTCTAAAACCCATAATCAGTTCAAGAGAAGATAACTTCCAAAAAGTCGACAGATTTTTACTTTTCAATGAAGAGTCTCTGTTGTTGCTGCTCTGCGAATGCAAAGAAGTCTTCAATCTCACGAGACGAAGGAATACTTTGTATAGCTTCTGAGTCTCTTCTCAAGCTACAATGCGCGGTTTCTCTGTAAAACAACCTCAATATCATCTCTCTGAATCAAAAAGCTGAAAGAAGAAAACAGAGTAAAGGTTTCACTTTTTACCTGTCTCCTGATTCGAAATCGAAACCTTTCTCTCCATAATTACAATCAGACCCAGATATCTCATCGTTATCACCAAGATTTTGTTCCTTCTCCGTGACCAGAGCCGTCATCTCCGGCTCAGATTTCTCCGCCGGAGGACCAAATTTAGCCCTAGGGCTTCTCATTTCACTTTGTACAAGCTGTTGCTTTTGCTGTTTCCCCGTATCCGCCAGAAATTGAAGCTTGACGAGGCGGCGGTTCCGGAGCTGGAGGTAGCGAAAGGAGTCTGCGTCGTCGGACGGCGCGGCGGAATGAGATCGGAGACGCTGCAGGGCGAGGTTTTTGGCGGCTCTGGTGCGGAAACCGAGAGTGATTGGGTGAGAGATGTCCTTGGTGGAAACATCTCCGGCGAGCTTTGACTTCTTTATGTATTTTCCCATCTCCGGGAAGCTAATCAGTCGAGAGCGAAAGGGAGGAGGGAAACGATGAAGAAGAAGAAAGAAGTGAATTTTAATCTGAAAAGTGAAAACTAAAAAGACAAAGGAAAAGATTTATGGAAAAAAAATAATAATAAAAAAAATATATTGAAAGAGAAATGGTTTAAACTTTATAGAGCTTACCTGATTTGTTTCTTCCTTTTGGTCATTAGGTCGAAATGGAGGGAGAAAGGACTACTAAATTTTTGATTGTTATATAAATTTAATTATTCGGCTACCATGATTTATGAGTGGTTGATGCAGCAACATTAAGAAAATGGTGCCGAAAGTAATAATTTCTTTGAGATTAAAGACCAAATTAGATAATCTTAATTATTGTGGTAGACCATCCCAATTACAGATTCCACACCTAAAATGTAAAAAAGGGGTCTAAAATTCTAAATACAAAGTTGACTGTTTTATATATTGTATTCAACCATATCTAAGCATTGGATTCTTCCAATTCTCTTTGATATATAGTATTTGGCTATTTGCTGCTGTTGAAACTTATTTTATTTTCCGGAGTTAGTTTGGTGTTAGTAAATCATAGTTTTCCCTGTGTTGTCATAGTTGATAACTTGATATTGCAAAATGATATTGAGATATTTTTTCTTTGTATTCTACCATAGCTAGACCCATAATTTATTCAGACAAGGGACCAAAACAAAATTACATGTCGTTGGTCATCGAACTCCTGGTTTTGAAATTTTTTACCTTTTAGATGTACACCATTGAGCTATATGGACATCAAATTTTAATGATTTCACCTTCTTTTTTTTTGGAAGTGCATGTGTGCCAGCATTATATTCGACCCGTGAATCAACAAGGTAAAAAATACTGGTGAGTAAAACATCCAACGCCCGTGCTACGGTGCAACAAAGAGATGTTTTATCATAATGGTTTATGAGCAGCAAGAAGAGAATTTGCTTTAAAAATACTCAAAAGCTTGGGGTAATTCAAATGTTTTTTTTTTATAATTCCAATCGCACGCATGACAAACACTTCCTTACAATCTTTACATACACTTTTATCATTCATCCAAAAAGAAATATACATAGAGAAAAGTAAAAGAGTATCGCAACAAGTGACCAGACTCTTTTTCTACTTTAAACCTGAAATTAACCGTACAATAAAAGCACACGTGAGATGACTCCGGCAATCATGAAACAGCTCAAATCTCGATCTAAACGAATCCCAAAATCCCTATCTCTTTTTTTTTTTTACTTTATCTGAAGAAAAGGACAGGAAAATTAAATCATACGCAATAACCCTTTTCACGTCCTCCCGCCCTTTTTTTTAGGGCGCCAAAAAAAACTGATATCGCACGCGCTCTTCTGTGCGTAGTTTCACCTTGAAAGTTAAATTAAAAACTTTTCTATGTAAATAAAATAGTGGAAAAAAGACAGAATCCTAGAAGCGATTTCCGACGTAAGAGCAGTTTGGGTCCCACCTACGACCAATCACATCCTAGCTGCCTCACACGCACTCAAAGGCGAATCTTTCACCAGTGGGTCCCCTAATCCAGTTACTGTTATTTCCAATCCTTTCAATCAAATTTTAACCCACACACTGTTTGGTTATTAACACAAGCATAAAATGCATAATATCCCACGATTTTCCAGTTTCGTTAATTCAATTGAAAGTTCACATTCAAACTCAGAGTTCCACATAACGTACAGTCCAAGATGTTTAGAGAATACAAATATAGATCATTCTCCAATTATTGTTTAGGAATGGGAATTATGAGATTAAGATTTTAAATTTCACAGATAATTTAAACATGAAACATGGACTTTTCATTGATAAAAACTTCCAAAATTTAGTGAATATTTCTACAAGTTTGACATTTGAAATGAAGAAGATAACAATATTTAAATGAGTGAATGACGTTAACACATACAGTTTCTAAAACACCTAAAACAGACATAGAAAATTGAAAACTTTCCCAATTGTTTTTGAGTACTTTTTACCAAGTTTTGATAGTTTCACGTGGTGAACAGTTCCATTGTCATCTCTAAACAATGAGTTTCTGTCAACTCATAGATATATTCGTAAAAACAATACGAGAATGTTAATCAATACTTAATTAGTTTGGAAAATGCTAAACGACTACAATACGAGAATGTTAATCAAGAGGTTGCGAGACTTTGGTCCATTGAGGTGAAAAAAAGGACCAAATGATTTGAGTTTGTGTTAGTCGCAAAATCTGCTCAATCCAAACTCCTTCGCATATGACAAATATTCTCCTTTTTTTTGTTTGTGAAAATTACATTTATTATTATAATATAAAATACTTTCAATTCTTTGTAAAATATTTTTGCAAAACACCAAAAACAAACAGAAGAATGGTTTTCAAATCCTTAAAACCATAGAAGTGAACTGAAAAAGAAAAATATACAATAAATGCAAACACAAACTAAAAAAAAACAGATCAACTATCGTCTCTCTCTAAAAGATTTCATGCTAAGTTTGGTGGTGGTGCTGATGACTCATTAGAATCAGGACCTTCGTCACCCTCACCCTCACCATCATCATCATCATCAGAATCATCATCGCTCCCATCATCCACGACATCATCTGCAGTAACCATCGGCCCGAGAAGGAAGCCAATAGAATTGTAATTCATCACAAGCTTAGGAACTTCCGCGCGCTCAAGCGTGTGGTCTGGAGTGTGTTGCTGGTTGAATCTCCCTGGAACTTTCGAAGGAGTCTCGTAACAGTCTTTGCAAAGGTCATAACCAACTTCTTCCTTGCAGTCTTTGCATCTGTATCTATCCCCAATGATCGGATACACCTTCAGAAAAACAAAACCACACAACAAATGTCAAACCACAGTATTCAGATCCTTCACATGTTTTGGTGTGAGAACAATGCACTTACTCCGCAAGCATCACAACCAGCTCCGATGTGAACATTAGATGCAGGATTTGCCCACCAGGGAACATCATTGCCGTTGTTGTCTTCCGATAAGGATGGTCCTTCTTTGTGATAGCTTTGGACATCTATACATCATGATAAAAAAATGATTACAAACTATGAGTCACTGCCTCACATAAACCTATGTAACTAGCAAGCACTAAGCTTTGAGAGCACAAGGACACTACGAGTTGATTCAAGACTATTGATGTAGAACTTACTTCCTTTGCTATTATGGGCAAGTGTTTTCTGAATCCCACTTTTCCTTGAATTGTACTCTTCAGGAAAGTTTTCCTCCACGAGCTCCTCAAGAACCAAACAAACTTTTGGAAACCCTCTTGGGTCGCAAATATGACACTCTTGACATCTGATCTTTTCGCTTTTCTCAGCCATGTCAACTACACATCCTTCGCAATACACTGGAAAATACAGGACAATGGTACATAAGAAAACTGTATGGAGAAATATTCTCAAGCAGCTGAGAGTTAAGATGATGATTACCATGTCCGCAATTGAGTACAACGGGTCGTACGAGCAGCTCCTTGCATGCTGTACAGAGCAAATCATCTTTTGAAATTTGCTTACTGACTTTGTCATTCTCATGAACATCAGGAGTTTTTGCATCTTTAGGTTCTTCATCGGCTGCATTAGAGCACTCTACCATCTTCCCCTCATCTAAACACATAGAATTGCAAGAAGTCAATATCTTAGAATGCAAAACTTTCAAACTCTGCCAATCTCATGTGTGGTACACTCACCAGAGACATTTGCAGACTCATCCTTAGCCTTTGGTTCATCCATAACAACATCAATCTGAGGAGAAAAACATTCTTGCTCTTGTTCTTCCTCTGAAACATGACAATGACAAATTACAATCAGTAAAAGTCACACACCTAAAAGAAAAACACTTTACGAAAGAATAAACATAAATGAAACCCAACATAGAGAAAATGTAAGCAAAGAACTCACTAAGAACTTGTTCTTCTCTCTTCTCATGGGCAAGAGGGTATATCTTCTTCAGCAGAAAATGAAGCTTCTTGCAGACAGACGGAAAATGAACATACGGGTCTCTACAAATGGGACAATGAGACTCACGCAGGCCGTTCATGGACTTGTGGACGCACCAGAAACATGACAGATGACCACATGCTGCATTGTGATACCAAAATAAGCATTAGAAACTAATACAATCAAAGCAGAAAAAAAAAAGAAGAATGAACAAAATGGTTGATGATCGTCTTGAGACTTGAGCAACTTACATAGAACAATTGGTTTGTAAAGAAGTTCCCTGCACAATGAAGCAACACAAAGTCCAAACTTTTAATGTCATCAACAAACTTGCTACGATTTGGGTATTTTGTAAGATACTTATAACACTACCATGACTTCACAAACCAACCACTTAAATTATTCAAATGGAAACGATAAATGAAGTTGTGCAAGAGTTTATAAGACGAGATTTTAGGAAAATTCACAATTTCGAAATTTGCGGAGACAACGAAATCAACAATCAAAAACAACTGAATCATGATGGGATTTTTCGAATTAGCAGCTCAAATTCCCTAGTCTCGATAAACCCAATCGAGATTTCTCCCCCCGAATCAACACATAGAAAAGGGTGAAAAGAGAGAGAGAGGCTTACAGGCAGACGCAGCAGAGAAACTTATCGGAGATTTCATCTTGTAGCTCACCGTCTTTCATCGTACAGTCCTCCATTGGGTAGAGATGATAATTTGCTCCACAAAGTTTAGGGATTTTTCTCTTCTTTCGAATTATCGGAGAACACGAAAAAGGAGAGAGAGAGAGAGAGAGAGAGAGAGAGAGATCTGAGATGTGAACGGCGCGAGATGTTTTTTGCTTAGCGGGGAAGGGCCAGAATCCACCGCCGCACCCACTTTTGCCTACGTTTTTATATTTAGGGATTAAACAATTAATTAATGTATAATTAATTACTACCATTGCCAAAAGCAAAAGCCTTTAAAGAAAGACTTTCGAAGATACCATTTTACACAAAAAATACTATTCCCGAATACTCTCTAAGAAGAATTTTCTAGTTTTTTCATACTTATTAAAAAAAAGTTACTTTTTAATTATAAGTGTATTGATTTTTGCAATTACACTATTTCTTATAACTTTAAAACGATAAAAATTTAAGAAATATAATTATTATTTCTTGAAATCTGAAAAAGTGAATCAAAAAGCTACTCCCTTTATTTATAAAAATTTGATATTGTAGGATTTTTACTTAAATAAGAAGTAATTAATACATAACTTTAAATGCATTTTGTAACTCACATAAGGAGTGATAAAAAAAGTTGACTAAGTGAATGAAAATTAGATAGCTCTACCACTTCTCACTAGCCACTTTATCATTAATATGAACCAATAACAATTTAACAATATTCTTGGATCTTAATGTCAAATTATTTTTGTTAATAAACAATAAAAAGACAAAATCAAATATTTTTGTGAAAGAAAATGAATCGGCGGGATAGAGGAACCGGAAAGACTCTCCATAGGGTATGGCTCCGCTGAGGTACCGACCCTCAAAATCGAAAGCTCCCAAATCAAGTTTTGTGGAACAAAGAAAAAATTATAAAATATCAAGTTTTTTTTTGAAATAGAGAGTACAAAATTTATCTTTATGAAACAACAGAAAATTGCTAGAAAATTCATCATAAAAAAAACGGAGGGAGTAGTTTTTTTTTAGCTTGTTTGATACTTTAATTCTATAATGAATATTTACAATTTTTAGCAGAAAAATAAAAATAAAATACATTTATGTCCTCCAATTATCTAAATCCACGCGATTTTACTATCCAATAAAAGAAAAACTGCCAAATATGCATACAATTATCAATTCTTTTCTACACACCAAAAAAAAAAAAATGATCAATTTTTTTCTAGTTCACTAGTAGAATATAGGTAGGCCCAGTGTCGGAAATTTTTGCTGGATCAAATGGGCTTCTGATCATAATGGGCCAAATAAATCGTGAAAGGGTTTGTTCTCTAGAGACTGATCATGAAGGGATCATGAAGAGAGACGATGGAACAGATCCATGAAATGAGTTTCCTTGTATATAAAAAGACTCCAATTTAGAGAGGCTACTCATGTTAGACGGGAGCATACCTTGGAACTGGTTAGAACCAATGGAGATCTCTGAGAGCTTGCTCAAATTGAGTAACAGAAAAGGAAAGTTCCCAGTGAGCTTGTTGCTGTCAAGTTGCAACTTTGTCAGCCGGTTTAGGTTGCCCATCGAATCAAGTAGAACACCAGAAAGACTATTGTAGCTAAGATCAAGACTCTGAAGATGTTGTAGTCTAAACAGACTACACTATTATATCTCAAAGGGCCACTAAGTCTGAGACTACCGTCCATGAGGTATAAGTTGTAGCTGAGATCTAACTCAATGACCATGCCCGTGTTGTCATCACAAGAGATACCATCCCAAGAACAGCAATCAGTGTTGTTTCTCCACCAGCAACCGTCCTATTAAAATGGAATCCACTCTTGAACTCCAAAAGGGCATCTCTCAGCTGGTCTGGACGACACAAGTGCCTTGCGGGAGAAGCAAAACCAAACACCGAGTTGAAAAGGGAGAAGATTAAACACAAGCTCCATATTATCTTCATCATCTTCCTCTCACCACAAGAATGCATCGTATTTTTTTTTTGGGTTCTTTTGCTGTGAAACAAGTTATGTTGGTGTCTCTAGATCATGGGGTTCTTTTAAAAATTTGTGGAGGAAATTAAAGCTTGACTTAACAAGTCTCTTGTGAAGACTAGCTGATGTCTAAGTCTCCTCTTGTTAAGAAAAGTAATCCTAGGAAATTGAAAATTCGTTAACACTACTAAGCCACAAATGCAATATTCATTGCCGTGTGGTGTGGACCACACCGTGTGGTTAATTTCTGAAACGCGTTATGCAGCCTTAATTAAGATTCCTTTGATTTTTTCAAAAACTGCAGACGTGATTTCTCTGCCGTGTGGTGTGATTCATCGTTCATACGCTTAAAACAATTCAGCATAATCTTGGATTCAAACCATTTTTCCTATGCTTTTGCTTATTGCGTATCTCATTCTTCTTCTTCTTCTTAAGATCAGCTCTAAGTCAATTAAGCAGATTATTACAGAAAAGTGTGATTTCAGATCAACCTAAATTTTTCTTACTCTAACAAGATATCAAATATCTATCCTACGTAACTTAAATACAAAATCAAAGTTTTTTCCAGTGTTTTCCATGAAGCATCTGACAAAAGACTAGAAACATTATCAAAGATTAAAATTCAAACTTAATTTTGTTGATTTGGAATTTGAGTACCGGCACAAAGATTTGCGAGAACGCTTCTCAGAATCTTAGTAACAAAAATCCCATAAACACAAATCACAAGACCTTGATACATAGCGATGATACTTAGTTGGAAAAGGAAACGGGACGAAACACAAACCCTTGAATACAAAGAGTTTATATATATCGAAAGCACAAGAATGTTTTGACTTGTGTTTTTTAGTTGACATCATGCATCTTCACCATCACCAGAGGGATCTTATTGTTAGGAATGTGTTTTCTATATTAATTTAAGGAATGATACAAGAGTTATTTATACAAAGAGGTAGAAGGATCTAGACACAAGTAATTACAGAAGATGCCCAAAACAGAGAGATTGAGTTATCAAGGCATATCTTGACTGAACCTCTAACACTTGTGTTATCTGTCCCGCATCAGCAAGGCTCACTTTCTCTTTACTACCATCCAACTCCTGAATATTCAAAACCAAAGGAATCAAAGTTTTGAATCTTTTGATCATGTTATTTTACATAGACCAATATTTACCGTAAATGGACTAATGGATGGAGCTATAAAATAACCTGTGCTCATTCATTCCTGACTATGAGGTCGGGATACTGAAATGTAGTTTATTCAGTTTAGGTTATCCTTCTTGTATTTTATTCAGTCTAGACGAGATATGTTAATTAAAAAAACGACAAAGAACATGCGCAATAATAAGCAAACAAATAGTTTTTTTTAAAATGAAAGAAACATACAATATGCTAATGAATCATCGGATAATTTTTGTATGTAAAAAAATAAATGTCTACGATATCGCCTTATCTATGCATCATAATACTTCCGTGACCGATCTTGTTGCAAATGGCTAGGAACGGTACTATTGGAGGAATCAGGATATGCACCAAGGAAGCTCAGTGCTGTAACAACGTCGCTCATTAGTGGTCGAACCGTAGGCTCTTCATGCAGACACATCGCCGCTACAGCTACAACTTGGTTCAAACTCTTCTCCGGGAATTTACCTCGGAGAAGTGGATCGGCTAGCGTCGCGAATCTAGTAGGGTCTCTGAAAATCGGTTGTGCCTATATAAGCCAAAGTTTAAAGATTTGTTGTTAGTTAGCGTTTATGTTTAATTCAAGAAATGAATCAAAGTACGTAGACTAATATAAAAAAAAACTCACCCAAGTAAGAAGATTCTGTTCATGGCTAGGTTTCATTGTGTCGATGACTCTTCTTCCGGTTACAAGCTCCAACAGCACAACTCCGAAGCTGTACACATCTGATTTAACCGTGAGATGACCGGTTCTTTGATACTCGGGTGCACAGTAACCGTAAGTTCCCATAACTCGGGAAGACACGTGAAGTGTGTCTCCAATAGGACCAAGCTTTGCTAAACCGAAATCGGATAGTTTGGCCTCGTAATCTCGGTCAAGCAAAATGTTTGACGATTTAAGATCTCGGTAAATCACTGGAGGACTGGCCTTGTCGTGGAGATACTCAAGTCCTTTTGCCGCTCCTAAAGCGACCTTGATACGTGAGTTCCAATCTAGTGGTTTCTGTTCCGGTTCAAGTTCTGTTTTCATCAAACCGGTTTTAGTTATCTTACTTTGGTTCGGATATTAAAATTGAATTATGAGATGATGATTTACGTACCGAGGAGATGATCTTCCAGGGAACCAAGAGGCATGTACTCGTAAACAAGAAGCCTTTGGTCTCCATCGGCGCAATAGCCGATGAGATTCACAAGATTCGAATGATGAAGAAGACTTAGCATCAAAACCTCGACCAAGAACTCTCTTTGGCCTTGTAGTCCATTCCTATCAAGCTGTTTCACTGCCACGACCTGATAACAAATTAAGAAAAAAATGGTAAATAAGTTTGACTCTAGTAATTTTTTGTTATTTTTGAAAGACAATAGAAGAAAATTGTTGGACCTGTCCTGTCTTTTCGAGCTTTCCTTTGTAAACACGCCCAAAACCGCCTTCTCCGATGAGGTTCTCTTGTCTGAAACTATTCGTCGCGGTGGCTAACTCACGGAACGTGAAAATCTCTGACTCGATGTTGTTTGGTGGAGAGTTTGCATTCTTGGCCACGACTTCTCTTGGTCTCTCTCTCAGATTCCCTACAAGAAGAAAAATATATAGCAGAATTCTTAATATTCATACCAAAAAAAAGATCTAGCAGAATTTGTTTTTAGATAATTTTTTTTAAAAAATATTAAAAAAAGAGTCAGCCAAAATATTTCCAAGGATTTGAGTTTAATTACTTGAGTTTTGCCTATACGGAGCAGGCATTGAAGAACCTTCATATTCGGTATTTTTCGAAGAGAAACACGAGAAACAACTCATTTTCCTTAGCATATATTGTTCTTCTTCGTCTAAATTGTTTTTGCAAGAACTCTCCTACTTTCAGATCCCTCGAGACTTCTGTTTATATGAAGAACAAAACAGTCCTACAAAAAACCAGAAATTGTTTAGTTTCCTGTTTCATTCAGTGTTTAATAGGTTATAACAGAAAGAAAAGAGAGGTTTTTGAAACAAAACAATATTGAGAAAGACAACCTCAAGATGAAACTAATTGGACAGTGATGCTTGCTGGCTACCATTTGCCATTAATAACAAAATATATATTTTAGTTTTACCAATTTGACAGATTATAAAAAGAAATGTTTATTTTTTATTTTTACCTATGTTGACCTGGTACAGGTATCATATTTTTTTTATAGGATCTTTCCTTACCTAGCTTTCTTTCTTTCTTGTGCTTATGAGGTGGCTTATTATTTAGGCATAAATCTGATAGTTGGCTAAACAAAAAATGATTCAAATCTATCCAAGGATACAATCTTTAATGGCAAATAAAAATTTAAAAATGAATATGCATCCATAATACATAAAACATTTGGGACATTTTCTGGAGAATGATTTTCTTTCTTGAATTGCCCAAGACAGCTAGATATATCTGGTTTACTTAAAATGGTAATAACGGTTTTGGACATATTCATGTACAGTATTTGACAGAATTTTACTGATAAATGATTGTGTTTTCTTTTTTTGATGGATTTGGACTCAGGTACATTTTTAGAAGAAAAAAAAAGTAATCAACAATAAATCGGAAAATTACAATTATATATAGTTTAAGTTATCCACAAATCCATTGTAATAGTCATACATGTACATAAACAAACCGTAAGTTAGTGGCACAGTTTCTACGAGATTAGCAATTGGGGATGTTGTTCTTCAAACAAAATAGGCCCATGGACTCCAGCAGCTTGTTTATCAAAGCATACTCAGTGATAAATCCGACGATGGCATAAAATGAGGTTGCCCATTGAGGGTATTAAAGATCAAAGGACTAAAATCTGGAAAACGAAAACCATGAACATCAGTGACATATATAAGAATACCATGAACATCAACGACATATATAAAAAATATATAGAGTACACATGTAAACAAAAGAATATACCAGAAGCAGGAGGTCTCCCAACACAAGAACTGGTAGAGGAGTAGCATCACCAAGACCTACTACAAGATGAGCCGGATCAAGACATGAGATTGAGGTATCTATATATCAAATTATCTTCTGATCTTGTAGCTGAAGAGACAAAAGATCTCTAGTTTTTTTTACCTTTTTCCCATGTACTTTAGAACATTCTGAATTTTATTGTCATATAACCAACAATGAATTGTTTATGCATTTTAATATTGAAGCCTTTCTATTTATTTTTACATTTTTTACATTCTTTTCCATGTTTAGAAGTCAGGATATTTTTGATGAAAGATGATAGCCAATTATCACAGTAGCTATAATATTTTGCCAAAATCTCAGTAACTTTTTTCTCCAAACATTATAAGATATAAACCTTCTTACATTGTGACAAAACATATTCATTCATGATAATACATATATGTACAATATTTCTTAGAAAATTAGAATCCATAATCTCTCGATCTAATTTTCGCGCACCAACTTCAAAGAAAGTAGTAAAGAACAAAAATATTTGTAGAACTAACTTGGGCAAATTGAAATATAAGCTATCTACCAGTTCTTAGGTGTCTTTTTTTTATTTTCGACATTGTTGTACATTCTAAAACGTACGTATAAATTCGAGTGATGCACGATCAGTTTCATCTCTTATTAAAGCTGTTTTATTTTTGGTAAATTGCAAATACAGAAGCTAGTGTTTGGTGTTCAAACAAAACTGTACTAGCTTCTAACGGCCGTTAACAAAAGAAAAATAAAATATACACGAAATAAAGAAAGAAAGAAAGAAAGAAGGGAAAGAAAAGTGGAACATCATAAAGCAAATGATTGATGGCATATAATTCAACAACAAGGAAATGATACGATTATAATTATCAAATCATCACTTTTTCTTATTTCTAGGAAACTGTGCTATGATAAGACATAAAGCTTTGTAGGAAGCGATTCTTGTCTAATAGTATTGCTGCTTCTCCTCTACAGTCTCTTGTCGTTCAACAAAACGAAAGAAAAAGCTGATCCACATTCCTTTTTGAAATATAAGTAAAAAATGAAAGATATTGGTCTTCTCACTTCTGTATCGAATCGTATAGCCTATGGTTGGGAATGAATATCGGAGGGTCCATCCATAGTAACCTGAATTATTATTATTGTAGCTATTATCTTTTTGTTTCAAGATTATTGCTACTTTTTCCGGTAGGGAAGATATTTGATTATAATTGATATAGCTGTTTTGAATTTCTTTTAAAATTATTCAGAAAGGAGACAGTTTTGTCCGGAGAAAATAGATATCAAACAATTATTTGGGAAATGCCTCGAGATCTTCATTGTCATTTACTAATGATACAAATAGGGTCTTTCTGTTCCTGCTCCAATAATTAAACTATCATTAGATAAATCTAGTGATAATGGATTCTTTATGCTCCAAATACTTTTGTGAAGGAAATATAGAGGTGGTTACATACACATGTGAACAAATAAGAGTATCTCTTCGATCTTTACAATTCTAACATCAAAACTTAAAAATGGAGGAAGCAAATATTAAAACGAACAAAAGATTTAAGAAGGAAACCAAACCAAGCGATCCAAAGATATATATACTAAATCGATAATATTTTTGTTCCCCTCTAATCTCCATCAATCACAAGTTTCCTCCATTATATAATAATATATTGATCTATATAATAACTCATCTCAAACTCACCGGTAAAGCCAGATGTGCCAAACCTCCTAGTTGGAAATAGGGTTTGGGCCACTAGGAACTTCATGAGCATCATTTCCAAACTCTCTCCTCCTAGAAGTGCGGCTGCGTCGTGTTCGAGCCTTTGGACGCAGATCCATTGTCGATGAAGCTGGAACCGAGGATTCCAGGAGAACCCTCTTGAAGGGAGCAACAATAGATGTGGATTGATGATGGTTCATAGGGATTGTAAGGCTAATGAAGAGGAGGCAAGATAAGAAGATGGCAAGGAGAAGAAGAAGAGTATGAGAATGTGATGATTTGGTATTGGTTTGTTCATTTGATGTTGCCATGCAATTTAGAAAAAGAAATAACCACCCCCCCAAGATCCCAAGAGGGTTCAATATCCATTAACCAGTGACGAACACTTCGAGAGCTGGTCAGAGCCGCGAGATAAGAGAAAGCAATGAAGAGAAGAAGAAGAATAAGATGAAACAAAAGAGAGATCTAGTAAATATGAAGAAGAATGAGCGTGAGATAAAAGAGAGAGAAAACTAGGAAGAGAAGAGAAGAGAGAGGTTTTCAAATTTTCACACTTTTGATTTTCATTAATAAAGTAAAACATAACACAATGTGTATGAAAGATGTATGCAGAATGGTCACGAGGTATGCAATTACCAAAGCACCCTTTTGTAGCAGCGCCTGGAGAGAATGTACATATATGGTGAATTCAGACTAGGGTTTGCATAACGCGAGACAAGACTTGTTCCAAATTTTTCTCTGGAATGATACTACGATTTTACCCCTGAAAAGACTTAGAATTGTCGGTAGGCATGCCACTATAGAACGAGAAATTTCAAGGAAGAGGACAAAGCATGTAATGGTAATTGTGTCATTAAGCAAATATCAACGAATCTTAAAAGCTTAGGCAAAAGGAAAAGGTGATCAAATAAATGAAATGAGAGGAGGTGGAAAAAAGCATGGTTCTCGCTTTTTTTTTCTTTAATTTCGCATTTCTTTTCATATTCTCTTTTCCCAATAAAATATTTTCTTTTGACTAACTTGACAAAACACATATTACATGCTAACGTGTATCAGTATTAGTCAAAGAGAGAAAATAATATTTATACATAAAATATGCATTGTTTTCTCATTAGGTAAGGGAATCGGAAATTAATCATATAACAAAAAGAGAAATTAATGTTAGTCAAAGAGTGAAATTAATATTTATACAAACTCTGCTGCGTATGTATATAAGAAACCCGTGACCACCTCTTCCTGATCAGATGTAAAGGTAAAGAACTAAAGATACGCGCACAGATTTGGGACATCACTCTTCACCGCTTGGGAAGCCATCCTAAACCAATTTCACACTTTGGCTTCCTTTCTTCATATATAGTTTTCCTCGTGTACCTAATCTCTCCTCCAGATCTTGCGGATTTGGCAAGAACGCAACTACAGGCTTCGTGATCTTTAAGGAAAGTCAACCGTTCAATTCGTGACTCACTGTTAATTAGCCTGACAAAGAAGAACAGCATTTGGCAATCGATCGCTAAAATCTTAACTTATCCACGAAATCTTATACCTTACCTTGTTTTGTTACTAAATTACAAACTTTTTCATTATATAAACAAAAACTTCGCAAATGTCCTCTATACAATTAATTATATATCAAATAAGTGGAATAATTAAAAATCATCGAAATATAATAATGAAGTGACACAGTTAGAAGAAACTGAGGAAAGTATTAGGAAAAAAACCAAACCACGTGGAAATTTGTATCGTGGAAGTTATCCCGATACTATTAAGTACGACATCACGATTTTTGTAGTGGCAGCTAGATAAAAAGACATGACAAAATAGTAGATATAAGTCAAGACTAATAAATTGACACTGTTAGGAAAAACGACGAAAGCAATGTAGGAGAAAAGAACCTAAATTTTGGTTTCCTTTTTCTTTCTTTCTAAGTTGTAATAAATAGTATATTATTAGATAAGATATAATTTTGTTGTTAACCATTTGGTAAGGCATAAAAAACATTTTCATGGAAGATGAATAAACATATACGTATATGTATTGAAAATTTTAAAGAAACATATATACTTAGATGTGTAATATATTCTAGTACATTTTTTTGGGGCGTAAGATAAAAGTGTATACATACATTACCTAAAGTATATATACATGGATGAAAGAATAAGAGTATGCGTAAATTTGGGCGGTGGCGTTAGTGTTTGGAAGAATCAGTCAGGTGATATCTTTCGATCTATCATTAAAATGAACATGAAAATATTATTCGATTATTAAAACAAAAGAATAAAGAATAATATTCGATTACGGAGAGGCTGTGCATGTCTCCGTTACGTGGATTGCATGGGTCCCTCGCTTTCTCGGAATGATGCCTACGAGAACGATTGTACGTCGTGGTCGTTTTCGTCATTTCAGCACTCTTTTTTTTTTTTTTTTCTCTCTATTTGTTAATGCCTCATTGTTAATTTTTCTTTTTTATGCCATTCACATTGACAACTGACAAGATACCGATATACACCGTAGGTATTATTTAGATAAACTGGTAAAAATAACAATATTTTGTAGATCAACAGAGACTAAAAGAATATAGTTAGAAAATTAAAAAAAAAAAAGCTAAGCAAAGTTTTTCTTCTTTTGGTAATTAACAAATTAAAAGATTTCTGAAAAGAATGACCCGAATGTTCTCTCAAAGCAATTCTGAATCGTCGGTGATTTTTTTTCATGTGACTTTTGTCGAGTGTAGCAGATGACTTGTATGTAATCTTTTAGATAAAGAAAACTAGTTTCTGTGCACAAAAATATCATGAATTGTATACCGTTTCCTAAATCAGTCAATAATAAGTAGCACACTTTTTTGCTATAGTGTGTGATGCTTAACAAATTGTGTTTATATATTTGGAGTTATCAGAGTGGTCCGATACTCTTTCAAGTAGCATAGTTGTAAGAAAATTGTGACGAACAACTGCAACAAGAATTCAATTTGATGGTGAGATAAGTTTACCCAAGTGAAGATGATCCATTTGATTCTATACAGATTATTGTAAAGAATTAAACGATAGTAAAATACAGACTAACTATATAAGTTAAACATAGATATATGTATGCAAGCGTGCGTGTATGCTTATAAATGTAAAAGTTGATGTATGGAGGCCACCAAATGGGTGATATCGATAAATCATAATTTGATTCAACATTTATCGAAAGGTATGATGAGCTGAAAGTTTGGTCCCATCGCGATCTCCCATTTTTAGACAAACTTTTTATCTTTACTTTTTTTTGTTCATCTTTATTTTACTTTACTTTTACCTTCGACGCTTTAGCCTGTTTGATTTCACAATTTAACGTATCCATTTTTCTTTTTTTCCTTTGTTGATGTTCACCCATTTTTGTATAACTGAAATCTACTTTGAAGTTTCCACAACAAGAATTTTCAACAATACTCACCAAGGCACCAACGGAACCATTAAGAGGTGGTTTAAGGAACTAAAAATAAGGCGATTGTATCTTAATTAGTAGAGTTTTTAAAGAAGAAAGATAGGCGCAAAATAAAATCACTAAAGGACTTTTTTTTGTCGTCAATAAAAGGACATATATAAATGCTTTGTAGTGTAGCTTTCACCGGTCAATTTGAAGAAATGTTAGGGAAATTATGGGGGACCGTAGGCCTCCACTACAATCCAACCAAACCATGCCAAGACGATTACATGACAATTATTTTACAATGATGGCATGTGATGTGGAACAGAAGTAAAATGTTCATGAAGAGTTTGCAACGATATTTTTCTCTAGCTAGATTATGGAGTCTTGGTTTTATTCTTCAGAATGATGATTCATCATCATTTTTTTTTTGTAATATTAAGTTAGATAGATAATAATGTTGGGTTTGAAGTAACATTAAATATAGAAATTAATATTCCATTTTTATTTCTAGGAAGTAACTTAAATACTGAGTCATCGATTTAGTGAAACAGTAAGGAAAAAATGTCCACGCGCGGTCATGTTTGGGATAAGGTTTGGAGATTGAACAATTTTCTTCTTCGTAGAAACAAATACTTTGGGTGGGGGGGGGGATCATAAGCAAATGGATGACTGATAAATTAAACATTGGAGGTAAAAAGAAAAAAGAATGAGAATAGAAAAGATAGCAAACTTTTTATTTTCTTTTCTCTTTAGTGCTTTATCTTTGTGTAGAAAAAACATACAATATATGATGCAAGTGTTAATGAATTGTTGTAGTCACTAGCTTTATGATTGGAGCACAAGACATTCGAGTTTAGATACATTCCTGTATAAAATCTAACCATTTCTTTTGAATATACTATTATCTTAAGTTCTTAACCCATGTGTTTTAGTTACTAACAAAAAACGCATAATTGGTAACAAATAAAAGAGTGGATTATCTGTAGCTGAATAACAACCACTGATGAATAAGGTGACAAGTTTGTGGCTAATGGCCATGGCAAATTAGCAGCTATAGGCTACAAATTTGGCAATTGAAAGAAACGATTTTGGCCACCATTAAAAGATATATCGAAACCTCCAAAAGTCTTTATAGTCTTGCATCCGTAATTACCCAGCAAGGTCCATAAAATTGGATTCGAGTGAAGTTTTTTCCACAAAAACTCATTTTTTGTAGAAATGAAGGCGACCAAGTTTGACTCTTCAAATTTATCGTATTCACCACTATACGCGTGCTTCAATCTATATGTACTGGTCGATGACAAGTGAGAGAGGAACAAACAAGCTGATAATGAAGCAAACAAAGCAAGCTTCTCTTCTTCTAAGTTTGCTTCTTATACTTCTTCTATGTCTATCCTTTCAGGTTTGCGTTACCGAGGCTGGATCCCGTCGCTTAGGTCAGTCTCTTCTTATTTCGAAAAGCTTAAGTCATAAAATTAACTTAAAAGTCAAGATACATTGTCAACAAAAAAGAAAGAAAAAAGGCCAAACAGGCTATCTTCTTTCTAAAAAATTGTATTTCTAACAAGTTATACTCGAGTGAAAATATGACCGGAATGCTTGTATTTCGCTCTTATTTCTGTACTTCTCTTTAGCACTATAGTCCATCAAATTCACCAAAATCATTTCATTTTTTTATATTATATGTATAAATAATCCACTATCTAAAGAAAATCTCTAGTTATTTTAACTTGTAAATAATCTAAATCCGGTGTTGTTGTTCTCTTATACCATATTGACTCATGCGTGTTGTGTTAAAAGGTGAGGAAAGGACAAACGTAAACCCCTCCTTGGCATGTCGGGGTTCTCCTAGGGCAAGTCAAGTTGCATCACAACTAAGCGAGTACTGTAAAACAATTCGAAGAGGAAGACCTCCTCCTCGTGCAAATTAGTGCGTCTCTAATGTAATTTGAAGGCATCCATATCAAACCGCACGACATCAAACCGAACCAAAGTTCCAAACCAAAGCAATCGTTTGAAGAAATCGTTTCATGACTTCATGTTATCCTTTACTTGAATAAATTCAGTTATATTTGTTTCAGTTTTCTAAGAATTCTGTTATTTGTTTCAGTTTACTTTAAGCTAAGCACTTGAGATGATTGTTTTTTAGTTTCACTCTTAAAAACCTATATTGCATAATGGAATGCAAAGTAAATATGTAAAAGAAACTAAGCAAAAGCAAACAAAAATGCAAATGAAAGAGACAAAGCTAATTAACAGTAAGGATTAAGAACAATTAACAATGTGTACTTAAAAATTCCAATCCAATCTGCTAAAATCTCATCACTCAAGAAACTGATCATCAGAGAATAGAATCATCATCTCATCTTCCATGTAAGCCAAGATCGAGTTCTTCACAACTGTGTTCTTCTCTTCTAACACACGAACTTCATTCTCCAGAAACTCCTTCTCCGATAATAAACTCTTTAATTCATCATCTTCATCAACACATATATCCTTCTGGAAATCAATGCACATCTTCACAAACTCTTCCCTGTGTTTACAAAATTCAATATTAAACAAAAACAAATTGAGATTTATTTACAATGCAATTCGATATTTTACCGTTTCTGTGTTATCCTTTGAAGAAGCTCACAGTGTTCACTTCTCAGTCGCGAAATCTCATCCTCCAATAGCTTCACAGAGTTTCTCGAATCGGCTGATAGCGAAAACAAAACTTCAATTGAAATTTTTGATTCAGAAATTCGATTGAAGTAATTTGGGGATGAAGTAGTAACTTGTTACGGAGATCAAGCCGCGGATTTCGAACTGAGAAGCAAGGAACGATTTCGTGAGCTCGGATTCCTTTGCGGAAAGATTCGATTCGATCTCTGAGCATTTCACGATCTCTGATTCGATCTCTCGGGTCACCTTAATGTTCGATTCGATTTCCGAATTGACCTTTCGACGAACGAAACCGAATCACGTTCGTTCTCAAATGCTAATGGCGAGAAACTAACGAGAGAAGAAGAAGAAGACGACGAAGAAGGAGGAGAAGAGCAAAACCTGATCAAGCATGTCCTTGTAAATGGAGATTTGACATAGAATCGCACCTGAATCGTCCATCTCGAATCAATCTCTCTCTCTCTCTCGCTCTCGCTTCTTTTCTGATTCAAATTTCCGGCGTGTAGTTCCGGCCTCCGGTATGAGATGATTGAATGGGCCTTGTGGGCTTATATTGTCACAGTGAACATGTCTATGGGCTTTTAAAGCTTCCGTCATTAGTTTTGTTGGCCCAAGTTGAAAACAGCAAAATCATAAGCATTGTTTTACCTTTACCATTAAAGGACACTAGGTTCCCGTTCTTCTAATACAGCATATTTTAGCAATGTATTATTGTAGCTAATCAAGGTTTCAAATCAATTAGATTTAAGTAATGTTATAACTTGTAATGATTAGTGTAGCTAATCAAGATTATCTTAAGCAAGGCTGGATCGGTTTGTTACCTAGATTCATAAATAACAACCTATGATCTAGAGTTTGTTTGGTTTTATAATTTTTTATCGTCTACACTATCCGTGCACATCAAAATTCAGCCCATAAAATGTGGCAGTTGTTTACAAACGCGAGATTCTGTTCATCATTTTAGAAATTTCTTAATTAATTTTATTTTATTTTTTAGAAGAAAAGTATATAAGTTATTAATGAATATACCATGATTTCAACATATCTTGTAACAAGTTGGAGGGACAATAATTTTCCATTGGCTAAGTTTCAAAACCCTATGTAACTATGTAATGAACTCAGTATGTCATCTTTTTCCAGCCACTCTACCGCCGATCGATTTAACATTTGTATAATATGATTTTCTCATCCAGATAGAAAATAAAATGTATCAAATAAATATATTAAATATATATATATATATATATTGCTATTTACATATTGAAAACTCCATAATTACATATATAAGATAAGTAGTTGTAATATATGTACACAGTTGTCTCAATTCTCATGTTAGATCCGTTCATCCTTAGGAACGAGTAACGCCAATATTGTAACAAAATCAATAATTTATCACTCATATTTATTGAGAGACGCCATTTCTTTTAATTAACTCATGACGTGGAATGATAAATTATTGATTTTGTAATCTAATTGGATACAATTTTATTTTGGTTATCGTATTTATTATAAACATGAGGTTATTTAAATATGTTTCCAACGAATAGTCGAGATTTTCGTCGACCACTTCAATAAGATGCAGCGATTGAGAAGACATGAGCGTATGTCTCTGAGCATGTATTGTATCAGCATCCAAGAAATTTGTCACCTCATCGTAACTTTCCCAACAAGTTAGGTGTTTTCATCATTCTAATTTCAGTCACATAGGACGTAAATCTTGCTACGCAAGGAACATTCCAGTAAGTTGCAAATGCTTTATTGCAGATTAAATGATATTTGTTTTCATTTTATAGTAATGGTAAAATGTACATAACAAGAAAAACAAAACCAACAATTGCGTTTTGTAGAAAGATTTGTATCGACAAAATGGAAAATTCGATTTATTGTTTGTTCTAGTAATAGTTAAAAAAAAGGTAACAGAGAAAATCTCAGCAGCTTCCATCTTCATATTCATCGCTTTGTCATTTTTTCGTGTTAACAAATGGCGTTGTATTTAAAAACCACACATTTAAACAAAGAGATCACTGATTGGTGTTATTAAGATCGAAACATGTGTATTTTGATACATTTGATAAGAAAAGTAGCACCCAAGTAAAAACATTGCAGAAACAGAAACCCCACCCAATATTTTTAAGAAAATAAGGCATTACAGTAATTGAAGCAAAATAACGTTCTACTGAATCAATGACATTACATTACAAATATCTAAAATCGTCTAAGTATCTTATCGTACTAAAAAAAAAAAACAAAAATAGAAACAAAGAATTAACATAAACATATAAACGAAGAATCACAAATCAGTTTTCACCAATATCACCTAGTTACATGCCAATGATTACCATCATAAATCGATAACCATTTTTTGTTCTTTCCACATTTCTCATTATTTCTCGTCTCCTTTCTTCTCCACTTACATTATCACTGCCAAATCACAAAAGCCTATCAGTCATTTAGTAAACAGAGAAACTACACCAATACATCAATGGACGTAAGCACCAAGAACCCTAAATAGCTGACCATGCAACACAAAGATCCAGACCAAATCGGTTTCTCAAATCCCTTTTTGAGCAATAGAGAAACTAACAAAGAATGCTCATTGTTGTTTCACCATCACAAGAAAGCTCCACTATACAGTAAACTCTATCATTGTAAGAGACGATCATACCAGTGGGAGAAGAAGCAAGCAAACTCAATTGTGGATGGAACCAATCTGAGTCTCATCGGAGTGGAAAACGTCGTTAACCGATACCGTCGAACAAAAGCTAACGAGTTTATGAAACTTGTTCACCGGAGAAGGCAAATGAGGCACTCTTCTCCATCTACATTTGCCTTTCTCTCCTCCATCATCAATCTCACAGATACAAGCTGGATACTTCTTATGGCAATCTTCATTGAACACATAGATAACATTCCCAGAGCCAACGCATTTCAAACTCCTAAACTTATCTTCCTCATCCTCATTATCATCAACCAATCCACAAAGCAAATCTCCAGGCATGATCGCGATCTCGCTGAACTCCATCGAACCTTCCTCGATTCTCCACAGGTTAAACGAGAATCCGCTAGTCGAATTACACATCCCGCCGAGAACAAGCATGCCGTCGCACGAATTGAGGAACGCGAACGAGAGCCCAGGCGGTCTCAGCGTTTGCACATCGCTCCATGTGTAAGTATCCAAGCAAAACGAGGAGATGAAGTAGGAGTTGATTCCGAAGACGTAGAACTTTCTATTGAACAAAGCGGAGCTTAAGGCTTGATCACCTGATCGGAAATCGGCGGGGAGCGGCGGACAAAGCTCCCAGAAATCGAGAACCGGATCGTAGACCTGAACGGCTAATCGATCCTCGATGTCGACTAATCTTCCGATGAATTCGTCTCCGCCGACGAGGATGAGCTTGGAAGAGCCGGAGCGAGTCGCGAAAACGCCTAAAAGAGGACTAATCCTGGGAAATCGAACAGGGGAAGTGAATCGCCAGCGAGGTTTGAGGATCGGCGAGAAGGAGAATCTAGGAGCGGTGGTGAAGAGGAATCGATCGGATCCGACGAGGTGGACGGAAGGGAAGGAAGCGGCGGGGAGGCGGAGCCAGGAGTCGGAGAGAGGATCGAAAGCGAATGACTGGTTGTGGAAGGAGGAAGTGTTGTGGATGCCGAAGAGGAAGAGCCATGGGGAAGAGGTGGAAGAAGGAGAAGGAGGAAGAGAGATGATGATTGAGCGCCATAGCTTGGAGACGGAAGAGAAACGGACGAGGGAAGGGATTGGGAGGAGGGAGAGGATTGATTCAGTGACATCGATGTTTAGAGCATTGAAGCTTGAGGATTCAGGAGGAGGATTCGTGTCTGACATTTTTTGCGTGCCTCTGTTTTTCTCTTTCTGTTGATTTTCCGAAGAAGAGAAGAAGACACAGATTTTTGAGGGTGATGAGTGAAAAGTGCAACGATGGAGAACGTGTGACGGAAAATTCGCAATATTTTTGGAGATTACGGAAAACAAAATTAAAACAAGAAATCATTTATAAGTCCATTTCACTTAAAATTATGGATATTTTTAGCGTATTTTTATTTATTTATACTGACTTATGTTTACAGTTTATCGATTTTTCTAGTGTATTTTAATTTATTTATTACTGACTTAGGGAAAGGATTTCTTTCAGTAATGATTATTTTCCATAATCAGTAATGCAAAACGAGTTGGATGAAATATATTATTGGAAACTTCCACAGTGACATTAAAGTTGGTTGAAGATTTTATTCCACGAGGTGGTTGAAGGATAAGGCAAAGGACATAAATGTTTGGAGGTTTACACTCTAAAGTTTAGGATCTCATTTGCAAAGTTTGGAGTTAATTTAGAAAATGACAACAGAGATTTTATAGTATTTATTTAAAAAAAGAAAATAAATTTGGGATGAAATTTAGCGTGACATATTTTGATTTTTTTCCTGCTTTTGGAATTATGAAGTGACAAAAGGAACTTGAAATTACCAAAAACAATAATGGTTATAAATTAATTACAAATGGCAATGACTTGCAAAAACTATCTACCGACGAGAATTAATTGGTGCTTGTCCATTGTCGTCATCCACATCTATCTTCGCTTCACAACTCTAATACCACAACTGCAAAATCCAAAACACATATGTTCAAATAATATTCAGTATTGTTTTGTGAAAAAGAGAAATTTGTAAGTTTAAGAAAAAAAAAACATTATTTTGTTAAAAATGGAAAGGAAAAAATGAAATCTGAATAATGTGGTCTTACATTCGGAATCAGTAGTGATCCAGTTATATTTCCTGGATCGACATCGATAGAGTGGCGTAGGACCCAAGGAAACAAAGATTGCTGGTGAAGAATCTATAGAGATATGATCTGAGGAAGATAGAGTTGTGCAACTCTCATCACAACTCTCCCATCTCAAACTTATCTTTGCAGATTCACTAGTACTCATCCTTTTCGATTCTTCATTCACATCTCTCGTTATCTTCAACTTTCTTTGGTTTCTTATCTCCATTTTCTGCAAGTTTATGTTTTCATCAAGAACAATGTTTAAACCTAGCAATCTGAGTTCTAATGGGTCTGATGAACATACCTTAGGTGTAAAGAATTTGACAGCTTTGTCGGATTTGGCTGCTGCAGCCCATTTGATGAGCTCCTTCATCTTTAAAAGCGTGGCCTTACCTTTGCTATGCTCGCTTTTCGCCTTCTCGTTGTTGCTTTCTTCATGTTTCTCCGGTTCCAAGACCTTTGTAGTCTTTTTCGGATCGAACCTTGTTGATATCACTTCTTTTTCTTCTCCTACTTGTGCCTTCATCTTTGCCATGGCGCGAAGCAATTGTTCTCTCTTTAAGTTGCTAAGTCTTCTTAGAGTCAGTGTGCTATGGAAACACGCTTCGGGTACATCTTTTCTACACCATAACCAGATTCCTTTGTAGTTATTCTGTTTTCTCTGTTTGGACCCTCTTGTTGATGATGACTTTCTTGTTCTTTGATCTGCGAAACCTGGATGACATCAAGAAAGCAAAATGTTTATTGGATTAGCCAATAAGCTTGTTAATTTATAGATAATTCTAACTTAACCTACAAGTTATTTAGATATAATGATGATTATATATGAAATCTATTTAAGTTCATAAGGAAATGAAAAGAGAGAGTTAATTATACGACAATATGTCGATCTTGTAATCTCCAAGATTTTATGGTTATATCTCTACAAAGTGCAATAGAGTTTAAAGATCAAGAAATGTTTTGCTACTTACTTGTTAGAGTTGTGGTGGATTCATGACCAGTGGAATTGGTTGAACAAGACTCCTCTGACGTCCTTGGTGCCTTTCCTAAGTTGAAGAGCCTCTGAAAGATCTGGTCAAAACCCAAAAATTTAAACTCTTGTAAGTATGGTGCTTAGTGTTGTAGGCACATGTGAATGATGCATAACACATGTGACTATGACAAACCTCCATGTTCTGGCTGAAGATGCCTTTGAGTTTAATATATTATAGAGCTTATGTGTGTGTGATTATTCGCCTATGAATGTGTCTGGTGGGTCAAACACAGATCTGTCTCCAAATGTGTGAAACAGATTCTCCCTTACACATATGATTAGAGACTTTGGATCGGGAAATGAAGACAAGAGATGACTTGGGAAATACAAAAAGGATATAAAGTGTTTTAAATAATTTGTTTGACTCGATCTAATTTGGGATTGTATATGGAAACACAACGTGACATTGTGTGACATTGTATCAAAGTGGGTTTTTATACATACACATACATGCTTGGTAGGGTTGGTTGTGTGGATTTTAGCTATTACATGTAATAAAAGGATGTTCTTTCGTTTCAAGGCTTTGTTGCCATTACTTGTTGCCACACACTTGTAAGTTATGCCATTTAATTCCATAGTGTCCCTAAATTGAAATGTTTTGAAGTTTCTAGACCATTTAAGCATATGTAGGTTCACCTTGACCTTGCTCTACTAGATTATTTATACTCAAGTTACTTATTCCGAGACAGTGTGAATCATGAAATGAAAAAGAATACTAAAACTGTTTATCTTAAACAAGAAAAAGAATCTGCAATATTAGCAAATGAAATGAAAAGAGCTACAAACCCCCCAATTACTTTACTTCCTTTTGAGACAAGATAATCAATCATGTTTGGAGTTGAGCAATTATTCACAAAATGATACTATGTTGCCTCCTTAATCAAGAGCTATTAGTGGAACATATTAAAATATTATATAGAACGACAATTATTTTGGAATTTTAATATAATTTCTCTGAGGGGATGTACTCTACATTTCAGTGTCGCTTTAAATTCTGAGAGAGATCAAACATGTCATATGGTTCATGCCATCGCCGAATTCTGCGGGATCGAACGTGTAGTGGTTCATGCCCGCATGTCATTTACATGTGTAACGTGGCCATATCTCAACCTTCTACATATCATCAACCACATTAGCCAATAAGGCCATAGGGGTCCCAAGTAACAGCTACAGATCATCAACCACTGTAGGTCGGTCCAAAGTTCTCAGAAGCAAGTTTATAATCTATTATGCCGTAATTTAGATGTATTTCTCAATTTTTATATCATTTTGTTTAGAGGAAAGTACCTACCATTTCATAGATAATAAGAAACTTCATAAGAACAAATTGACAACAACACCAAACAAAAGAAAAAAAAACCAATTTTCCATGTGTGAACAATAAATAAAAAAGACATTGCATAAAGATTAAAAAACCATACTTAGAATACATTTACATAAAACACCAACAAATCCTACTTGGCTCTCGGGGCTTTCAGCAAAACATTTTCCCTTTTTGCATCGGCCTGGTTCTGACCCGAGAGAGTGATTACCTGATTTAGCACCTATAACAAAAAACCATTCTTTTTAAACAAATCTCAAATCTTCCTACAAAGCAACAAAAAACCTAATGATTCTTCATATCGAATTTTTACCAGACAGTTAAAAGTGCGGCTCATCGCGGATGGTTTCCGCTCGAACCAGGACGTCCAAACCTCCGTCTTCTTCTTGGCACATGGCTCGACGCATTCCCCGTTTCAGCCTCTAACCGCAGCTCTTCACCATCATTGTGGTTATCATTATGCTCGTCTTGCAGACCCAACAGATTCTCACCCCAAAGGTATCGTCTATCAGAAGAAGAACGCCGATGATTCCTCCACGCTCTAGACCTATGAGATCTTGATCCTCCTCCACCATTGCCACCACCACTACCACTACCACCACTAGAGCCTCCATTGTTGTCAAGAGAACCAATCATCTGAAACAACACCAAAGTCGTCCAAAGATCGCTTCCTCCTCCGTTTCCAGCTTCCCTCTCCCCTGAGAACCTATCTCCACCGTTCTCTATCACATAGTCTCCTACCACAACAGCACCAGGCATCGCAGAACGTATCGCACTGACTATATCTCCGTACTCTCTCTGGTTCTCGAGGCGTCTCCAAGCTCTCTCTCTCGACGGATCAGTGTCTGAAGGACGAGTAGACGGGTGTGTTCTTCTCGCATGGCGGCGCAAGTCCTGGTAGTGACCGGTAAACGAGCAAGACTCTCGAGAGCAGCTTCTGTTCTTCAAATCGAGATAGCTTCTCACTTCTTCTACAACTTTAAATCCTAACACAGAGCCCCTACAAAGCGGACATTTCAAGTTTGTGCTCTCCTCAGAGTGTTCTTCTTCTTCCACTCTCCTTCTCCTCCGCAGAGGTTCCGAATCTCCACCAGAGACTCGGTGGAAACTGCTTCGCTCGTTCTGAGACTCATTAGCCTCGGGAGCAGAAGGGTCGTTAGGGGATTCGGATTGCAGTTTCTTGAACCGGTCGAGGCAGTTGGAGTGGCGGTAACTGGTGTCGCAGATGTAGGATCTGCAGCCTTTGTCGTGAGAGCTGCACAGCAGGAGAACAGCATTATGTGGGTGGTCCATGCAAACAGGACATGAGACCTCATCCAGTTCTTTGTGAAGAGCATGAACATCTGACTCGGTACTTAATTTTCGCTTTACACCAGCCATCTTGCTAAGCACACTGTGTAAAGCTACTCACATCATCAAGTTAGAAAACACACAAATACCATGTTTTTTGTCAAGAAAAAAAAGTCATTTGCCTTACTTCAATCAATCATGTAGCAGCAAAAACAAATCAAGAACAGATGAAATTAACAGAGAGTTACGGACACCAAAAGCAGAAGCAAAAGATATTGTATACTGACTCATAGTCTTGAAACTAGCACAGAAACTTAGCATATCTTGACACATGAAAAGTGGCAACAAATTGCTAACTTTGCAAATAGAGTTAGCTGAAAATAAGCTTACCAAAAAGAGATTAATCTTTATTGCAAGCCTGTTGAAAATCTACTTTCTTACTATTTGAGCACCAAACTTTTAAGACGCAGATCACTTTGTCAAATTGCTGAACCAAATGTAACCACCAACGAAGTAAAAAGTATCTGAACAGAAATATCCTTTAGGAGACTGAAGAACAGCAAATTTGGCATAAATATCTAAACCAAAGTGTCCTTAAACCTGCATTAACATACCAAAAAGAGAAGTAGCGATCAAATTTAAGAAAATTATCGCATACAGAATCATTAAGCATCATCATGGAAGATAACAACATAGAATCCTAAAACCATTGACAAATTTTTCATCTTACGACATTAGGTTAGTGAAAAACGAGATTGTGAACAAATCTACGTCATTAGTTCAATACAAAACCAATGATAAATTGACAGTTTTGGCTAAAACTAGAAACTTTCAACTTTCAACTTTAATTCCAAAAGTTCAAAAAACCCACAACAACCCTGGAGAAGAAAGCACCCAAAAATCAAACTTAATCATAAGTAACATCTCGAATATGATCAGAAGAAAAATTCAGATTCCTTATTCTTACCCTAAAACCCGAATCTAACATCCCAAAATTTCAACGACAATCGGCTTCAAATATATCGATACTCACAACCACAACAACCCAAATTTTCACAAAATCAATCGATCCATCACAAGTAGATTCCGATCAAAAGTAAAGGACATAAATTAGGTGAAGAAAAAAAAAAAGACGAGGAAATTACAAATTGGAGTTTCAGGAGATTTTTCTCTTTCGTCTCTCCAAAGGATTTGATAATAATCTCCGATTCTCTCTCTCGCGCTCGCTTCCTCTCTATTTGAGATGATGAAGATGCTGAGATTTAGGAATTTGGGTTAGGCGAAACAAAGGAGAATCGATGATTTTCACTTATTTATTATAGTTATCACCGAAAAACATCGCACTTGCAATATTCACATTTCTTCACATTATTTAAATGAAAAACTAAAATAATAAACCGCACGCTGTATATTCTACTAAACGACGACGTACTAGTTGCGTCTCTTCTTCTCTTTTTTCATCATCGTCGTGACTCGTCGTCATCGTCAGAGAGGAGGAGAGAGATGGAATATTTGCTTCCGACGCTGACGAAGAAGGCGGAGATCGATAGGATCATCAGAGACACGATCGATAAAGTGCTTGTGCTGAGATTCGGGCGTTTCTCCGACGAAGATTGTCGTCAGCTTGATCTCATTGTAATTTTTAGTCCCTTTTTCTGTTTATCTGATTTTTCAATTTTTCTTCTTCTTCACCCAAATTATTTCGATGTTCTTCAGCTTTCGAAAACGGCGAGAGATGTTTCGAAATTCGCTACGGTAGCTTTGGTGGACGTTGATTCGGAGGAAGTTCAAGTTTATGTGAAGTACTTCGACATTACTTTATTCCCTTCCACTGTCTTCTTCTTCAACGCTCATCACATGAAATTGGATTCTGGGTAAAATTCTTATTCCCAGATTAAGCTGAAAGCTTTGATTTTTTAGTGAATTCTGATTTTGTAACTTTTTTTTTTTAACAGAACTGCTGATCATACGAAGTGGATAGGTAAATTCCACAGAAAACAAGACTTTATTGATGTTGTTGAGGTACAAACAATTCAATTTCATTAATCTCTACAAACATTTGCAGAAATGTTTTCAAAAATGAAGAATTCAAAATCCTCTGTTTGTTTTTCTCTCCTGTAGGTAATTTTTAGAGGAGCGATGAAAGGGAAGATGATTGTTCAATGCCCAATTCCGCCGGAGAGAATACCAAAGTACCAGCTCTTATACAAGGATGTGTAGAAACTAAAAGTAAAATTGGAGTTTATTGTTCTTTTAGTTGCAAAATCTGTTTCTCTCATCCCTTATGTTGGAACAATATTTACATGATTTTACATATAAGCTTTTGTACACAGTTAAAGAATGAGATAAATATTGAATTAGATGGAAAATATCAACCAGATGTGACAATGTCGATGAACTACTAACCGAGTCTTCTTGATTCTGAATGTTGTAAGTCAGGATTTGTTTTCTCTTTTCTTGGTTTTAGCTACGAGTTCCATCGACATGGATCGAAGCCGGCTTGTTATCTCGGTGAACGGAGGACGTGAGTCCGGGTCTATAGACCAGCATTGTTCCATCAGATTTCTCCATTCCGGAGAACAGGTTTTTGGTATGGTTGGTCGAAGTGTGTTCTTCACAATCCCACCTTAGTGTTTGAAAATATTGAATATAGAGATGAGCAAAGACAGCGAGGTAAGTGATAAATAAAGCTGGTGGAAGTTAGTGATAGTGTTTGACATACCAATGATTGCTCCACAATGCATATCTGCATAAGGTTCCTCTCCGGTTAGAATCTCCCACAGCGAGATCCCATATGAAAAAACATCCACCTGACGGAAAAAAAAAATATGAGTTTTGTATACTAATGGAAGATTCAAATCAAAGTTCTTGAAACTGAAAAGATATTGTTTTACTTTCTCTGAAACTCTGGTGCTGCTTCCGTTCAAGAGTTCTGGTGCCATCCATGGAAGTGTTCCTCTCACTCCTCCTGATACCAATGTGTTACGTTTGATTCTAGATAAGCCAAGATCTCCCACCTGCAGAAGAAATCAGGTTAAGTAGTGGATGCTTGGAACAACAATGGGAATGAGATTTTTAATCAATAAATGTTAAACCTTGCATATAGGTCGTTGTGGATCCCTTAAGTTAACGAGTAAGTTCTCGCATTTAAGATCAAAGTGGACAATGTTCTTCGAATGCAAATACTCCATCCCAAAAGCAGCGTCCATTGCGATTATTATCTTTTTCCGAGCGTCAAGCAACCTGTCCTTTTTGAGAAGAGCATGCCTGAGTGACCCATTCACCATGAACTCTGTTACAGTTGCCAAAGTTCCTCCAGTTCCATCAGGGACTATTCCGTAGAATGCAACAACGTTCGGGTGATGAAGATTTGAGAGTATCTGTGCTTCCCTCCAGAAATCCTTGGTCTGATAAATCAAAAACAAAATTTAGCAACTTTTATCTCAAGATTCAAAGACGCAAAAGACTTTGAGGACTAACCAAGCGTTCTTGTTCAGATGATCTCCCTGCAAAGCAGCTTTTCCTTATTCTCTTTATAGCGACATCTGTTCCTCGCCATTTTCCATGGAAGACAGTTCCATATGTCCCTGATCCCAGTTCCGTTAGCTCTTCAAGATCGGCGTTCTTTACCATCTGAAGGTTTAGAATAGGTAAAAAAAAAGTCAATTTCTAAAGCATGAGTTGTTTTGAAAATAAGCATTGTCAAATAAAATCTGAAAGAGACAGTATGCCTCAGGATTTAGTATTTTCAATTTTCTAAGCAACAAGCTGGAGTTACCTGCAAACCATAAACACCGGCTTCCATTTCAACAATGAGTGTGTCGTTAAAACTGTTGTCGTTCTCGTTCTCGCTCTCGCTGACATTCGCTTCACCGTCCTGTCAACAAGTGAATATAATGAGAACAATACCCTCTCCCTTAACTTAAATTATAGGTTTGTAAACAAGTGAATCACTATACCTCGGAAAGGAACACAGTATCACTGCTATTTATCTTTGTGTGTCGAACAGATGGGATCTCCAAATCGTTTGTTTCACTAGTTGTTCTTGTGAGTGGTGCTGGTTGATTCAGATCCATGCTTCGGATTCTCACAAGGCCTGATCCACCTTCCCTTTGTGTTCGCTGCATTTTCAGTCATTATTTTAAGAATTTGATAGAGAGTCATATGTAATTAGAGACATGAATCTTGCAAGACTCACATTCTTTAGAGTTGGATCAAGTTCCAAGCTCCCTATCTCACGTCCTATATGCTTGTTTGCTGATTCTGAGGAGATGTTGAACAAGAAATCGTCATCAGACCCCATTCTCTTATTCAAAAAAGCCCCTGAAACTTCCAAATTCCTTTCCCTAACAGCAGAAGTTCCAGCTTCTTGATTTGAGGCATCAGCTGCAATACCTTCCTCTAAAGATATTAAACTAGCGGATAACGTTCCAGCTATCAAACGCTCACTATCTTGCTGTACTTGCTTCCATGGATCAACATCAACCACTGAAGTAGTCTGGTTTCCACTAATAGGCATAGGCAGCTTATTGCATTCCATGTCAGTAGGGATTTCTCTTGTCCCCATCACTTTCCCACCTTGATTCAGATACATTTCATCATAATGATTGCCTGCACAAGAAATGTCTATAGGCATTGCCTTGTTTTCTCCTGCTGGACTTGGGGAGAAGTTAAACATAGGCTCTCCTCCATCAGTGGACTTAAAATCAAGTATATTGCTCTGTGTGCGACGGTCAGCAAGATCGTTATTCCTATGCACCTGCACTGGCTTCTCTTGCGTTTGTTTCTTTGTAAAGTGCAACGGCGAAGAAGGGCTCTGTCTCTCTTGTGAAAAGTAACTAGACTGTCCACCATTAATCTCCAGTGTAGAGTCTGAGTACGAGTGAGGGATCCCCAAGAACGAATCATTCGAATTCGTAGACCCTGAAAACGAGACCTTAGATTCTTCAGGTGCGCCGTAGAACCTCCCATTACTCGCTGACGACCTCTCGGTGTTTAAGCTAACAGTACTATCAACATGACCAAGATTGTGAGTAGTCTCAACGTTCTTGTTGAAGCCACTTTGGAATTGATGAATCCCATATGGTTGCTCTGCCTCTTGCTTGTAAGCCTGGAAGTTCACCGGTCGTTGTTGATGATATCTAGAATCAATCGTCTCAACGCTAGAGGGATGATCTTGCTGTGCTGCATTTAAGGAATTGTTGCTCTCGGAGCTGGAGTTGTTGTTTCCATGGAACTGTGAGTATCCACTGTTTGAATTGTCTCTGTGATGCTGGAATGGTGATGGAGAAATAGGAGGTGATGGATAAGCAGACATGTTGTACTGAACTCCATTAAAGAGTGGATTCGAGTGCATTCCACTAGTAGTCTCCACTCGGAGCATCTGACTCGGTGGCCGTTTGCAGAAACTCGGATTCCGGTCCAAGTGGTTTACATGGTAACTTGTAAAGTCAGCGTTACGATTCATCGCTGCAACGTATTGGCAATCAGAATTGCTCTGTGGAGGTTTGGTTTCAGGCTCTCCGATAGGAATCAAGAACAGCCGTGGCCGTTGAGAACCTTCGGGTCTTTCCAACACATTGTACTCCTCAATCATATTCTGAAGATCCTCGTCGGAAGAAACCGAGATTAACGAGTCAAGCTCATCCCCTGGAAGCTGATACTTGATTGAGTGCAACTGTTGGCATATAGCTGATGTCTTCTTCTTGAGCTCTTCCCAAGAAAGGTTCTTGCGGATGGAAACAATATGCGTCTCTCCTCCAACGTATTTCAGCTTCTCATCGATTGATCTTGGCATGATTTTCCCACCGAAGCTGCAAAGAAACTTCACTTTCCCAAACCTATCAAAATCTCCTCCTCCGGTGAAGTTGTTGTTGGACTGAGCACGCTCTGGTAAGTACACAGAAGGCGGAGACCTCCCTTGGTTTGGATTGGTTTCACCAAAAGCTTTCCTTGTTGTTATGACTTCTTTCTCACCACCAACGTTGTGGTATGCGTTGAAATGAGGCATGTAACCACCAGGGTCACGTCCGAAGTCATATGCATCGGAGGGACATTCGGATTCGATCCTCCTCAGCTCATGAAACCGAGCGACACTGTCGTACCCCAATGGCTGATTCTGATAGTAAAGGTCACCGAATCTATGGACGTCATTGTGAGTTTTAGGAGTATGGTCCCTGAGAAACTCCATGGAAAACTCTTCCCCGGTCTGAAGTGAAACGTTTTTGTTCACGTTTCTTCTCTCAGCCAGGGCAGGTGGTTCTTCGTTTTGCCTAGCCCATTTGTCTGACATAGTTGATGCTCTCTCTCAAACAAACAACGCTATGAGTTGAATCTCTGAGCTGCCATTAAAGAAAGAAGCCTTGAACAGGGATGTTCACTTTCTATGCAAACCAAGAAAAGACGTAATCACAGCACCGAGCAAGTAAGCCAAACAGTGGAGATCTTAAACTTAGAAATAACTTTGCACCTGAAACAGAGAGAGATCATTCATCAGAATCAGTAATGACATAGAAAAGAAAGAAAAGCAGAGACAGGAAAATTAAATATCCACTTACAAAACCATACCTGCATGTGACATTCCCAAAAATAATAGTATAAAAATAAACACTTTCTAATGTTTGTAAAGAAGCTGCATCAATTATGGCCAGCCCAAAAAAGCTAAAGAAGACAGCTCAAAAACTTCACGTGTAGGACCTGGAAAGATCACTTGTATCTCGCCTCCTTATTTTTATTTAAGAAACATATAATCATAAAGTATCTCTGGAATCTCTCATTAGCAACTTTGTTTTTGTGAATCATGAACAACCGAATTCAAATAAGAATCGAATCCCAATAATCATATCAAAAAAGTTGCAGCATCTGGAAAAATGAGGAAAATTCTACCACTTGGAGAATCCCAGAATTTAATAGCAATGTGGAATCAACTTAGCTGAAACCAATCTAACATTTCATTTCTTTTAAAGAGAAAATCATCGAAATCGATCGCAATTTCCTTGAAAACTAAAAAAAAAGAACACGATTAGCAGGTTTCTAGCAATGCATTTCTCTGGGTAAATTTGAATTTCTAACACGATTGGGCGGAGATAAATTACCTTGACACTGAACATTCGAACTGAGGAAGGCGGAGATTCAAAAATTAGAGGAGAAAAAAAGAGAGTCGATTTTTCTCCAGGAAAAAAAAAAAGAGGGAGTCGATGAAGAGAGAAGAAAACGGAAGACGAGAAGGAGGAAGAGAGGAGGAGAGAGCGTTGATTACAGTTGCGTTGCGAGACCGAAGAAGATCAACATTTCCGATAATTAAGCGCCATCGAACCTTACCGGGACTTGCGCTGATTTTTCAAAATTCGCATTTCAAAGGAAAAGGAAGAAAATATTTGGAGAACGCAAAGGAGAACGATGAGTCAAACTACGTCGTTTCTATTAGATACCGGTACTACATTATCCGGCCCATACTTTGGGCGTTACGGCCCAGTCTCGGTTTCGTTTGTTTGTCTCTGCGTTTGGGCTCATGTTTTATTTTCTTTCCTGACATGAAATCTTTTCAGTTTATAAGTTTTTTTCTCTAAACTACTAGTGAATTTAGGCCTCTTCTTCATATATGATTAAAAAAAAATCATTTTATATTGCCATATGCATACAGAGTACAAAAGTAAAAAGGATTCTAGAAAAAAAAAAGATCATTATGTAATCTATATATGTATAAAAAATAAAAAGAAGATAAAGATTGTTAACAAAGAAGAAGATATAGCTCTTTGTGGAGAACGATATATTTATATAGCCTAAAGTTTAATCGAGCAATCAAGATTTGATTGAATTGGCTAGTTACATACAAGAGGTATTTGACCAAACCGAGGGAGTCGTGTTAGGTTGTCACTGATCGTATCACCACCAAGTTGCATTTGCAACAACCACTTTCTTCAGTTTTGTTACTTTTAAAAATCTCAATTGGTTTTGACTTTTTGATACATAATCTTGTTGAATATATCTGAATTTAGCTAAAATAAATGTCTCCACTTCTGTTCATTACTCAACCCAATTGCAACATTTGGGGATCACATTACAATTTACATCATTTTAGAAAAACGTGTATATTAGCTAAGTGGTCGATTGGGTTGCGTTATTCAAACAAAACTGAATCAAAACGTTTTCTATTTCTTGTAGTGTGTTTGAATGAGACATGTTTTTATCCTATTACGTACGAGAAAACAAAATTTTCATATTACTCTTAAGAAACACAAATATGTAACCATAGATCGAACAAGTTGTAGATATTGGTGTTCCGTGTTCAAGTTCTATAATCAATCACAGTTTGGTGTGCTTTTTTTTTTACGTCAAAATATGATTTCATTCATGAAGAAATTGTTACAAAATCATGGTACAACAAAGATGACAACCACAAAGGTGGATTCAGTCTAGATGAATAAAAAGAATCATTCACAGGTACATTACTTGCTAAAGCATGTGCAACACTATTGTTTTCCCTCCTAACAAAACAAAAAGAACATTCTCTAAATTCTTCTTTCCACTTCAAAATATTCCAGCAGATATTTTCAATGGTGAATCCTTCCCTCTCCCATGTAGAATGTCAATTAGGACTTTACAATCCCCTTCAAAGATCAAGTGATCTAAACCCAAACTCCAAGCTTGTTGCATTGCCACTAGTAAAGCTTTTGCCTCTGCTTCAATAGGAGAACTTGATGTACCCATAACTGTCGTACCCCAATGAGTAACCGTTCCTAAATAATCTCGAATTACCCAACCAGCCATTGAATGATTTGTATGAAGATCATAGCTTGCATCGATGTTACATTTGTCAAATATGTAAAGTTTGGTGTGCTTATAAACTCGAAATATGTCATAATGGGAAAATATGTCGTGATTTGACCACCACGATTTGAAAATATTACACGACTCTTTTTCTAGTTCTACAATGTCTTTTAATCGGCCTATATAATATTTAGAACTTTATTTTAAAAACTCCAGAGCAAACTTTATTAAAAGACATCGTAGAAATAGAAAAGGAGTCGTGTTTGACTTGTTATTTGTTAAATATTCAACCGAAGAAATATGGAGCCAAGGAATTAACGAAAAGTATAGCGCTAATCAAGTGGATTATCTAATAAAATTAATCGAATTAGTATTCATCTGTCTTGATTAACGGTGATAACCGGCCAACCATATGGCTTGTCTTAGGTGCAAAAGTCAATGCCAAAACAAATGTGCTCCGAGGAATGCTCTCCTTAAACTTCCCACTATTTTCATATATATAATTTTCTACTCATTTCTCTCAAATCGAAATTCAGTTGCATTCTTTTCCAGGGGCCATGTAATTTATGAAACTTTAACAATCGCAATTTTTTTCATTACAAAAGTTTTTCAAATCATAAATCGATGGTATTTTTCTTTGAGAAAAATTCCCATAAGTATAGTTTAAAATGCACATGGGGAACAAAAAATATCCTTATTCTTTTGACAGCCGCATAAATATATACTATATAAGTCCATGCTATATTAGTAGCTCCGCTTATCCATAATGAGATGTCTTTTCTTGATTTGAAGCTACCATTATAATTTTTAGCTAGTGACAAATGATTCCAAATGATAATACTCGTACGGCAAATGGATGAGTTGGCTTCTCAATGATGAATTATGCATATATTACTCCCTACGTAATGCATGATGTTCAAGGTATACAGACTATGCGCAACGCATATAGCATTTTAAATTGGCGATTCGCCAAATAATTGGTTTACCGTTTTAGTTTTTACTCTGAGGTAAAGTAGGCGACTTATACCTAGATTGCTCGATTAGGAGGATAAATGGTGCCAAGTTGCATTGGAACTCACTCTCAAACCGGAAATAGCCGATGATGGCTCTTGCCGGTCCCTCGAGCTTTTTTATTTAAATAGTGCTCAAGCTTCCCATGAATCAACTTGTCGGCTTAAGTCATAAACACTATATCGCACGTGAAGCTAAAAATACTAGCGTAAACTAGATGATGATATATATATATGACACTAAGATTTTCCCAAACTAAATTACATGTCACAATACTAGAGATTCACCCAAATTTGCGTTAATACTATTAACCAAACAAATCGCTTACTTGTACTTAAAACATCAGGTCCAGTTCCATCAGAAAGTTATTGATCCGTGGGATATCCGTCTTTTGCCATTTAGAATCAGAAATTAGTCGAGAAAAGGCAAAATGTAAGGTCAAAACTTTGGAGAAATGAGAAATCATTGATATTCACCAAAAAGTCATATAATGTACTTTGCATAGTTTAATCGATCGATATTATCATTTATAAGTTAAGTTTCCGACCACAAATTTTCATGGATTCTTTGATTTTTTCATTCGTACCTATAAAGATATTGCATGCAGGTAATTCTTATTTTCATATTGAGAGTTTATATTTGTGTTATGGTTGGAAGTGGCATATAAAAAAGGAATAAATCGGCTCGAGCCAAACGTGTACTCATTGTAGATTTTGGTACAAGTGTACAAGATATAAACCTTATAATTAGAAATAGTACATAGGAACTGACTTCCGTAGACAAAAATCACATGCAAAAGATAATTGCAAGTTTTGTTTGTTTGCTTTGATAAGCGCTTAAGATTCTTGTAAGTTTGAGCACCATTGTGACATTCTTTGAGTCAATATTATAATATCATTTATTTGGGCATATGAATGTTACAACGTACTTATTAAACATGCAAATATATAAATTCATGCATGGAATAAGAATTATCCATAACACGGCGTCAAAACTCTTATTATAAACGCTATACCTAACCTCAAAGATTCGCAAGTCGGCGTTTCAATTGACAATAATTATAATTAATTTACGTTCAATACATTATATGAATGATCCAAGCATGAAAACTAGACGTGGTTGCCATGCAGTTTGTAGTACTCCGTACCCGAATCGACGACCATAAGAAACTTAAAACTATGTATGTAAACTATTTATTTATTTATCAAGAATTGGCTATTCATACTCAATTAATGCCAATCCAATAATTAAAAGGTATTGTATTGTGGAGTTGGAGACACCAAAGTTCAAATTATTTCATTGTAACCTGGATCATAGACTCATATTTTTTATTTTTTTTTGTTAAAGATCATAGACTCATAGTTAGTTGTTATCAACGTCGAAAATGACAACAAGTCCGGTTTTTATAGGTCTTACAGGTTAATTAGTTTGAATTTTACTTCATGATTTTCAAGCTATCTAAAGAAAATTGCATGTTCTTATTAAAGCATATTTTTGTCAGTGGTGCTTTTTTTTTGGGTTAAATGTGATAATTAATAGTGATACAAATATTATTAATGTAAGGTACACATTAACATGAGATCAAACAAAAACAAAACTTTAAGATTGTGAAAAAGTATTAAGAATTTCGTAAGAAGTAAGACCAAACTGCAAAAGTGGCTATTTACCTCCCACAAAAACACAATTAAATTCGTAAAAGCTGGAAATAATGGTTTGAAGTCAAACAACAGTTAAAAGACGCCGTTAAAAGAAACTGATCCCACCGTAAGAGAAATCTGAAAATCCTAACGTCGAGCCGAATATAATAGTTAACGGAGTTAGGCTGCTTCTTCCCACCTTCGTTAGCTTGCCTGTATAAATAAGCAGCTTTCATTCTTCAGCTTCTCCAAGTTACATCTCTCTCTCTCTCTGTCCTCCTCCTTCATTCTTCAAACACAAAAGGATAGAGAGAGCTTAAATCTATCCAACAATGGCGGTCTACAAAAGCCTTTTAGCTCTCTCAGCAACTCTACTCATTCTTGCATTCTTTGTCTCTGTTCATGCATCGACAATGTAAGCTCGGGAATTTTCCAAAAAGAACTCAAATCTTCCAATTAGATCTAATGTCATCAAAGAAGTAACTTTTGTCTTTGCATTTTTGTGTAACAGAGCTCATGAAACAGAGGAGCTAAAGTCTCATAGCTCCAGCAATTCATCAACGGCTGATAAGTACGTAATTCACATCCTGGTCGATCTCAACCGTCCAGATTTGATCAAAGAGAACTTCCAGTAATGCTTATACGATGTCGTTTTTTAATACTCTGTTTTTTCTCAGGTTAAGTGACGGTGCATGGAACGAACACGCCGTTAAAAACCCAGATGAAGTCGCTGCAATGGTCGACATGTAAGATCATTCACATTTTCCTCCTAAATACTAAACTTTTTCTAAGCATTTTTTCTAAGCAAATGCTACAAAAAGTAATAATTTGCCTGCATTAGAAGAAAATATTTTGATTATTGGATGGTTCGACGTTCTGTCCCATCTCACTTTCATATTAATAACGTTTTCAGATGGTCAAACATTGTGTTTCCTTAAACTTTAATCTACATAAGTTATTACACCCATAATCTTAAAAGAGTTCGTCTCATAAATGTTAATTCTCTTCTCTACATTAAATTTAGAAACCTGTTTTATGAGTACAGAAGTTTCCTTACAACTATATACGTGACACAGACACGCCGTGATCGCCATTTAAAGCGCCTCTGTCGTCGCTATTTTCTCCACCGACGCAAAAAATGTATTTAATGTATATACACAGATTTGTGTATAAATATATCTGATTCTTGAGGTTCTGCATTTATTTAAAACATCACAAAAATAGAAACTTAAAGGAAAAAAAGAAAAAGGAATGATCTAAAATTTTCCGTATTGTCCGTATCATAAGTTATATGATTCCGTATAAACATTATTCAGTCACATTTATTACACCACATGGGTCCCTCTTCTCTCTTTGGTCCTCCCCACGTGATCTTGTCAATCCTAAAGGTTTCTTTAAATGATTTAAACCTTTAGGATTTAGAAATACAGCTCTCTTTCTGTTATTTTAAACTAATTAGAGTGAATTTGGATTTTTGTTTTCGCGTGCAGGAGCATTAAGAACAGTACGGAGCGGAGGAAGTTAGGATTCTTCTCCTGCGCCACCGGAAACCCAATCGACGACTGTTGGCGATGCGATCGGAAATGGCATCTCCGTCGAAAGCATCTCGCGAATTGCGCGATTGGTTTCGGTCGTAACGCGGTCGGAGGTCGAGACGGCCGTTACTACGTCGTCACGGATCCATCGGATCACGACGCGGTGAATCCGAGACCCGGGACGCTGCGACACGCCGTGATTCAGGACCGTCCGCTATGGATCGTGTTCAAGCGCGACATGGTGATCACTCTGAAGCAGGAGCTGATCATGAACAGCTTCAAAACGATCGACGGAAGAGGCGCGAACGTCGCGATCGCCGGAGGCGCGTGTATCACGATCCAGTACGTGACGAACATCATCATCCATGGGGTTAATATCCATGACTGTAGGCGCACCGGTAACGCCATGGTGAGAAGCTCGCCGACGCATTACGGGTGGCGGACTATGGCGGACGGTGACGCGATATCGATTTTCGGGTCGAGTCATATTTGGATCGATCACAATTCCTTGTCTAATTGCGCTGATGGATTGGTTGATGCGATTATGGGATCTACCGCCATTACCATCTCCAATAACTATCTCACTCACCACAACGAGGTTAGATTCTTCGTCCATTATAATGCCTTTACATTGCCAATTTAGCTGTGCATTTGATCGAAATTCAGTGGAAACAGTGCTAAATTTGTTGAAGAATCATGATTTTGTGGTGTTTTAAGACTTTTTGGGAGTGGTTTAAGCCAAGTTAGCTAGTATAATGAGCTAAATTGCACATGTTTCTCTGCGTTTGATCAACAAGCTGTGATATCGTTTTCACTAGGATAGTTATGGACGATTTTCTTATGAACCTTCAAAAGTTGAGACGAGTTATCTTGATGTGGAAATGCAGGTTATGTTGATGGGGCATAGTGATTCCTACACTAGAGACAAGATGATGCAAGTGACAATAGCATACAACCATTTTGGGGAAGGGCTTATACAGAGAATGCCAAGGTTCTTCATCCACTTCCCTAGTTTTTTTGCATCAGAAATCAGGAATTTTAATCCTTTAGCTGATATTTTCAGGTGCAGGCATGGTTATTTCCACGTTGTAAACAATGATTACACTCACTGGGTTATGTATGCAATTGGTGGAAGTGCTAATCCTACCATCAACAGCCAAGGAAATCGGTTCCTTGCCCCAGCAAATCCTTTTGCCAAAGAGGTATCCCCATAAGTTCTCTCCTTGATTCAATTCCACTCTTTTCAGATTGTAATGGTTCTGAAGTAGGAGATACTGAGAAAGGATGGATCTTTGATATGATATATGATTTGGCAGATCACAAAGAGAGTAGGTTCATGGCAAGGAGAATGGAAGCGATGGAACTGGAGATCTCAGGGAGACTTAATGCTCAACGGTGCCTACTTCACTAGATCTGGAGCTGCTGCTCCTGCGAGCTATGCCAGAGCCTCTAGCTTGGGAGCTAAACCATCTTCCGTTGTAAGTATGCTTACCTACAGCTCCGGTGCACTTAGATGCAGGATCGGTATGCGTTGTTAGCTAAGTGAAACAAAAGAAGAAACCATGTTTTACATTATCATTCTCTCCTTTTCTCTTTTACCATCTTAGACTTTTCTCTGTTATCTCACTCGTCAACCTCGGCCAAGCTTTCACGAGCCACAGTGTTGTTCGACTCCAAAATTGTAGTACAGTGCATTCTTGTTCTGGTGAATCATCAATCATCATTGTATCATATAATTCTTCTATCAATGTAATGCTTTTGAAACTGCTTCTGTTACACCATTCTCATTGACAGATATATAATATAAAATCAAATCAGACTAGTCCCTTTCTTCCCTATGAAACCAAAATGGAGTTACAGAAAAAGCTTGTACAAACAGAAATCGGCTTAAAACGGAGTTTCAGCATCGCTCCTGGTTTCAGTCGGGCTGTACAACGCGGAACGATTCCTCGGTCTGTTCTCCTCCAGCTGCTTCACAACCTCTTCCATGGTGGGTCTAACCGTTGTAACAGGAGCACAACATCCCATAGCTAGCTTCAACGCATGAACCAAACCTTCCTCCATCGGGCTCCTGATCCCTTTCATAGCCTCCAAGTCGAAAACCTCCATCGTCGTCTCTTCCAACACCGCGGCTTTAACCAAAGAAGGCAGATCAACAAACTCGTTACCGTTCCTTCCACTCTTCCCTGGCTTCTTGCCCATCAGTATCTCCAAGAGAAGGATCCCAAACGCGTAGACATCGCTCCTCGGGTTGCATTTCTTCATCTTGTGTAGCTCAGGCGCTTTGTACCCGTCGGATTTCGCCTGCGAGACGATCTCGTCTGCTACCGCCTGTACCATGATCTTGTCAAGTCCGAACTCAGTGAGCCTAGCGAAGAAGAAGTCGTCCACTAGCACGTTCTTTGATCTGATATTGCCGTGGATGATAGGAACTTCTTGCCCTGTGTGAAGATAAGCAAGCCCTCTCGCTATCCCAAGTGCAATCTTGTGCCTCCTCGCCCAATTCAGAGGTGGCTTTCCTGGTTTACTCTCTGCAACATCATTCAAACAACAAGTCACAAACACAAGAACACAACTAAAATCAAGAAAGATCATGAGCAAGAAGATGAATGAAGGAAAGCAAATACCGTGCAACAAATCATGTAAGCTAATGTTGGGGATATAGTCATAGATGAGAAGCTTCTCTCCTCTCTTTCCCTGATAGAAAGCTCTCAAAGGAACCAAATTCTCTTGCCGAATGCGTCCCAACTGCTTTATAACAGGCAAGCAAGAGCTTCTATCTTTACAAGTACCTTCTCTCAACAGCCTCAATGCAATGTTCCCTCCATCACTAAGCTTTGCCTTATAGACTGTACCGTAGCTCGTCTTCTCCATAACCTGACCGGTCGCATTCAAAACCTCCTCCAACGTCAGATTCTCACCACCTTGGAACACAATCAGCTTCCCTTCACCGCCGCCGCCACCGTCGATCTCATCTTCTTCATCGCCTTCTTCCAAATCATCTTCACTCTCTATACTACTCTTTCTTTTCTTGTTCTGCAGATACCCAATCAACAACGAGGCCACAACAACAGCTCCTGACATTAAACCAATCACTAGACCAGCAACAGCACCAGGACTCAAACCAGAGGAGCCTAGACAGGGCTTCAAAGGCACACCACAGAGACTAGGATTGTTCCCTTGGAATGATTCTGCACCAAACTTCGACTCACCAAAACTTGGCAACATCCCACTGAAGTTATTGTGAGAAAGATTGAGACTTTCTAGTTGTAATACAGCTAAACCCTCAGGAACAAGACCTTCAAGGACATTACTTGAAAGATCAAGTGATTTCAGACCCTTAAACCTGGTTACAAACTCAGGGAACTCGCCTGAGAACTTATTCCCACCCAAATCAAGAACTTGGAGATTGCTGCAAGATGAATTTGGCAAAGCAGGCTCAGGCAAATCCCCAAACAAGGAGTTACCATGAATCTTGAGGGAGACTAGCTTATCACAGAGGTTCCAAATCGATGGAGGTAAAACCCCAGTTAGGGCATTACCACTCAAATCAACATCAGAGAGAGAAGAAGTGTAACCAAGCTCAAGTGGGATTGATCCGGTCAAGGAATTGATGTTGAGGAACACGCTTTGAAGCATAGAGAACTCACCAAGCTCTCTAGGGAGCGAGCCGGTGAGATTAGCAGATGGGAGCTGGAGAGAGAGAAGGTGAAGTGAAGAGTCGTTGAAGAGAGAGACGTTGGTCCGTTGCGGTGAAGAGAGGTCGCTGCATTGAAGAGGAGACCCGTCTGAAAATACCCACTTTACCCCTCTCCATTGACAGATTGGAACAGACGAGTTCCAAGAAGACAACAGTAAACTCTCAGTGTTCCCTTGGAGTGAAGTTTTGATCTTTCCCATGAGAAGCTTCACATCAGAAGAGCCTGAGAGAGATGTTCCACAATGGCAATGGAGAATCAGCTCGAGGAAGAAGAAAACGTGAAGAAATCTCAAAGATTCCATGCCCATTTGAGAGAGGAAGAGAGAGAGAGAGTGAGAGAGAGGTAAGAGAAGGGAAAGGTGATGACTTTGGGTTTCAAGTCTGCTCCTTTGTAGCGGAAAGAGTGTATTGACTATTTTGTAGGACACTTTGGTCAAATATTTCAACGGCTAGGATTCTAAACAATACGGGGTTAGTTTCTTACCGTCCGATGTAGACAAAAGCTGGAGTCTTTTTTTTATCAGAAAGTAAAAAAAAAGTGTGAAATAACTCAAAGCGATGGACAAGAATGGCATAAATGTACTGATTACTACTGATTTTATAAAGTTGCTTTTCTTTATCCCTTTAATTGATTAAACTATTAGCACGCTCAAATTTCGAATTAAGACTTTTTGGTTTGCCAAAATGATAAAAGATGGTTTGTTTTATCAAAGTGAAGTGTTTTTCTGTATTGTGACTCACGGGATGTTCCCTACTCATTGCATCATGCCCGTACATGAGTCATCGAAGATGAATCAACGGTGGATGATGGAGAAGGTGGACGAATCTAAGATGGTTCTGGTTTCTAAGAGACAATTTGGTTGAAGAATGGACCCAATGGACTTTGGGACAAAGAGGAATATGCAGAGCCAAAATTTTGAAAATTAAAAAAGGAAAACGTGAATACCTAAGTGAGAAGAAGTTTTTGTATGACTTTTGTTTCTGTCCTTTTATGTTTTTGCACATTTCAAAAATTCAAGGGTGTCAATCGAGTAGATCGGTACACAATCCGGTTTGAGTAATTTGATTTCATTAGTAGAGTATTTTTCTTCATAAACTATCCTAGTTCGTTTTACACCGAATCAAAACTTATGAATCTAGATTGCTTTATCATTCAAAGCTAGTTTTGAGTCCGTTTAGATTTAAAAATCATAAAGAGAATCATGAAAAGAAGTCCAAAGAAATGTTAAATATATTCTTGTATATCGATCATGTTGGAAAGAAAAATAAAATAAAAATAAAACAAGTCTCGATCCGCTGTAAAAAAGGCATATTTTGATGATATTAAGACCACATGATTAGAGCAATTTATGTTTTCAGATAGTAATCTCATGTAACTTTATAGAGAAGAAAGATAAAAACATGAGGAAACTATAATTAGATTAAGACACTACTGTGTCCCGTCTTTATCAAGTACCTGAAACTGTTCCACTCCCACGCTGTTTCTTATGTAATCAACTTCACTTTCATAAGATCATATTTCTCCATCAATACCACCCTTTTTTGTAACATGTTTTCGACCCGCATGAGTCATGACTTATTAACAGGTGGGCAGGTCAATTATCTTGAATATCTATTAGTATATGATAGTTTTTGGTTTTATTAATTAAAAAAATAACGAAGAGAGTGATGTGCCGCAAAACGTACACATTATTGAGTAATACATCTTCATTTTTGGTATGATATGTGCAGATGTTTGTTTTCTTACTTACTTCTCAAAAGTTTGTATGGTTTTAACTTTTAAACACTACAATTATTGTCCAGTAACATAGAAAATGTCATGTGTTGGATGTTGAATCAATGTTTTCATTATTTTTTTGTGTACAAGAAAGTAAATTTTCATTATAACAAAAGTTTGTTTTTTTTGTTTTTTTTTAATTATTGAAATGCATCGGTACTATTGTGGTCAAAGATGAAAGAAAACAAGAGTGATTTTGAAAATAAAATCATTCACAAGAATATACAGTCTCAAAACATCTCACAAGAATCTCTTTGTCGCCTATTGCTCCATCAAAGCAGTTAATCAGAAAACAACCACACGCGTTACTCCATACGAAAGTAATCAATGAAATTAGTACCCAAAATTGAAATTTTATCCAAATAAATAAAATATGTAACCAAAATCGAACAAAAGACATATCACGAAAGGCTTTTGAAACAGATATAGTGAGTAGTTCAAGGAAATGATGGGAATTCGAGCTTTGATACAATACTAAAATATGATTTATACGATCCAAACGACCCTAGGTATTTCCGTATTTGATATGGATATGGTCGTACAATCCTAAAAAAGCATGGGCTGTAACCAAACTCTCCCTGGGCTTTGGTTTCCTCTTCTTTTATGTAAACAAATCAAATAGCTAACTATTTAGCCAAGAAAACCCACACAATAGATCTAACACCAAACTGAGCTTCGAAATGCGTTGCTCTAAGAATAACTACAACTTCCCTTTCATACAAGCACAACAAATAACGCAAAGGACTGTACAAATCACTACGTAATTATCATCTTTATTTTATTATAGCTATCCATAAAAACATTATACGCACAATTAACTCACATCATAACTAAGAAATGAGTCTAAATGTAAAAAAGGAAAAAAAAGTTACAACAAAAACACTATAATCATCTCTCCTGATAATATAACACAAACCACCATTTCCAGAATTAATAATCTCTACAATATATTCTGAACGTAGAAAAACAAAGACGAGAGTTAAAAACGACTCGAGAGAAGAAAAGAAAAAATAGAGTAAAAACCCAAAGATCCCGAACGAAACTGCTTCAATCTTGACGGTCCATTTGTCTGCGAGATCCCATGCATGCACGAGAAGTGGCACACTCCGGTACGCTGCTATATTTTCCTTTTGCCTCTTCATTATTTTGGTACATAATAATACTATACTTTCTTTTGTTTTTTCTTTCCTTATTTTACTGCTTGAGAAGTTGGTGATGCAACCACATTCGCCGAGGGAGAGTTGTTGTTAATGCTCCTTTGAGACTTGCTTTGTCTCTTCGTGGCAGCTACTGATGACGGCGGAGGCTCCGGCTTCTGTCCCGCCGGTTGTCTTACTTTAACCCCTCGTATCAACTGTCGTTGAATATATAGTTATTTTTAATTAATTTAATATTGAGATGTAAAATATAACAAAACTTGAATGGGAAGAAATGTTATGTTTGTCTTACATATTTTCCACACTTGACATCGGAGTATATGACTATGAAATCACCTTCTTGGAGCCCATTTGTTTTCACAAAATCGCCTGTAAAACGTTAACATCAAGGAAAATAAGATATGTATCGATACAAATTATTAATTACCAAAAAGAACAAACTAATTTAATCCGTTTTATATTTTCAAAATCGTACCAGTGTTCTCGAGGAGATACATCCTGCTTTTGTTATTAGGCCAAAATCTGCAACCAATTAGAGAACAAACTTTAAATAACTAAATATTGGTCGAATAGTTGAAGTTCTTGAAAATTACACGATCAATAACTAAAGATATTCAACATTAACAATTTCATTGATCATCGTAAATCGTAACTACCTATAGCGCATGTTCCAGACACGAGAGGTTCCGATGTCTTCCATGGCGAGAGAGATGCCGTCTCTTGCCTCTAGCTCCGGCAAGTGCGTCTCAGCTTCTTTCTGATTTTTGTCATTTCCATAAAATTAAATTAGTAAAATGAAATTTAAGCAAAAGAGTGAAAATAATTTAGATGACAATATGTTTTTACATAAACGAAGAAACTAAAAATAATTAGAAAAAGGAAGACAAAGGCTACAAGTAATTAGAAGTTAATTACTTTTGGCAAGACGATTCTTCCGAGGTTACCCACATCGCTTTGCTTCAAGACTTTCTGCAAGAGAAACCGCAAATTCTTCTCTGGTTTCCATCCCTAAAATTAAACATAAGCCACCAAAAAAACAAAATCAAAACCATTTCATTTTCATTGCAAATACCAATAAAAATCAAGATCATCTTCATCAACCATAACGATTTTTGCAATTACACAAGTACTATTTTCACGGTTCTGAAGTACAATGAGAAGACTGATAATGCATGTCTACCTGCCGGCGATCAGGTGCCACCTGCTGACGTGGCAAAGCAGAAGCAGAGCCAGCTCGGTCCATGGTGGGTAACTGAGTCTCAATCGCCGGTAACTGAGCTGATCCAGGCGGTGGCACAGCAGGTACATTAGGCCAATACATCCATGTCCCACCGGTGGCATTTGTTCCCACCGGGTTAAGCTGTGGAGCCACCGCAGCGGCACAGTTCTCTACCATTTGAGTCTGGTTCTGGTTATTATTGTTGTTGTGTCGATGGTGGTGAGACAAGAACCTCCTCTGTCTTGCCATCCGTTTCTTTCTTGCTTCTTTAGTAGCCGAGGAACACAACCGTAGCAGTCTCTGATCTCTCATTTGACCAGAAGGAAGATAAGGATACTGATAAGGATTCATGTTGTATCCTGTGAAACCACCTCCGGGGTCTTGAAACGGACCAAACTGTGAGTTTGGCATAGCGAATTGCTGATGTGGCATGGGACCGGACTGTGGCTGTGGCCATGACGGTGGAGATTCCAATAAAGGAAGATACTCCGGCGGTGGCGGATAATTGGGTGCTGGCATGTAACCGAAACCAGGATCCGAGACAAAAGCTTGTTGTGGTGGTGGCGGCTGTGGAGGAGGAGGAACCCATGTGGACGGTGAGAAACAGGTTTGATCAGACGGTGTGATTAGGTTGTTGTTGTTGTTACTAGGGTTAGGGTTTTGAAATGGGTCTTGTTGGTATGATTGTTGATAAGAGAGATTGTTGTTGCTGTTGTTGGTTGTGGTGGTGGTGCGTCTTCTTTGTAGATGATTAGTTTGGACCCATTCAAGAATCAGCTTCAAAAGCTGTTTCATTGCTTCTTTCCCACCGCCTAGCCTTCTAGCAGCTGACTCAATCGTAGCCTTCTTTATCTTCACTTTCCTCAAATCCTCAGCCGACACAGTCTCTTTGTTGTTCTTTAGCCACTCCAAGAACACAGTCGCAAGATCATCATCTTGTTCCAATGACGAATTCAGCATTTGCATGTCTTCTCCACTGTTATTGTTCTCCATCATTGGAACAACGACCTGGTCTTGCCTCTCCAGAGTTTGGTCCATCAGGTTAGGGTTTTGGGTGTCGTCATCTTGGCTAAAGATGGCTGAAGTATCGAAGAACTCATTGCTATCGAGTAGATCCATGTACCCAAAAGTCTCCATCATATCAATGCAATCACCACCACCTTCACCACATCCGAAACCTTGACTGTTATCTAACGGAATCTCCATGGAAGCTGTGGATTGCAATGCAGCGGAAGAGTCGTCACAGTTTGCTGATCCGTATTGGTTTTGGTTAGGAGTTGGATCTTCTCCGTCTGATCTCAATATAGCCCAAGAAGCAGCCGAGGAAGTTGAGGAAGAAGCTGCGGAAGAAGAAGATGCTGAGGAGACTATTGCGTTGACAGGAGCTGGAGATGTTGAAGAAGATGATGATGACGACATGCATGGGAAATCGGGAAGCGTTGGGAGATCTCCGTAGAAGATTGAAGGGTCATGATGAACAATCAAATCATCATTTTCATGACCATGGTGTTGGTTATGGTCTCCTCCATGGTCATCTAGCCAGATCTCTCTACCGACCTCATTCATTCCATCCATCAAAACTGCCTCATCAGCGTCTCCGGCGAGTATTCCGGCCAGATCTCCGCCGTTTTCCGCAACATGCAAGCTCTTCATCGGTGTGATGGACCCGTGAGTAATCCTTTCCCGTGGAAGTAGAAATGATAATCTCCTTTAGAGAGAAAGAGGGAAAGTTAGGGTTTTAAGTATTTTGTACGGACAGATAGGGTTTGTATGTGAGAAAGGAGGCAAGGAAAAAGGAAAACTAACCCAACTTGGCTATAAATCTAATCCTCAAACAACATAAACTATCTGGCTATCCATCTCCGTATACATATACATATATAATCTCATACATACTACTATATAAGCTTCTGAGAATCTGAAAGAGCTTGATGAGGTCAAGATTACTCAAAAGAGAGAAAAGAGGATCCAAAACATATGAAGAGATCCGACCAAAACTATTCCCATAAACTTCAGATGAACAAAGACCAATTATAAGTTTATAACACGGTCCAAATTTTTCTTGTTGCTAGATCTGAAGGACAAGAGATGTAATTTGATTACAAAGATTGGTTTGTTCTAATGAAAGAGGTTTAGGTCTTTTTGACCAAAAAAGAAAGAAAGAGGTTTAGGCTTTTAGAGAGGAAAGAACATATGAACAGGCCAATATCTAATCGAAAACCGTTTGTGTTACTCCGAGGAAGGATAAATACAAGAAGACTCTCTCTTATTTTATTTTTATCAAATTATGGAGAGATAGTTAAAGCAATAGTATTATATAATAAACATGGTTAAAAATCACCCGAAGAAGAAAATAACTTAAACAAGAGAGGACCATGTGTGTTCCAGTTTGTTCCATGATGTATATGTAGATAAAAAAATATCTTAGATTGAATTGAACTCTTTTTCTGGCGATAAGTGCAAATTTGGTTTTAAGTTATTCTGTTTCTCTTTTGTAGCATTCAATTAACTCACCGGAAAGAAAAGGAGAGAGACAAGAGTATTTAAGAAAAAGAGATGTTACAGTTTTTCAGCATTTGATTTTTCAAAGAAGACAACCAGCAAACGTTCAGATTCGTGACAATATTGACAAAATTGTTGTGCTCATCAAAAATGTTTAAAACATTTAATGCTCTATTTAGAAACTAAAATTTCTCTCTAGTAATAAAAAAAATGTAGAGAAAAGACATTGGTTTTGAAATTAAACGGTGCTAAAAAACCGAATAAATTCACATTATTAATTGATCAAATTTACGATTTTTACGATTTTTTTCTATAAAAACGGAACTCCCCTCGTGCCGCTAGTATCTAAAGGTTGGTACAGAAGTTTGTGCCCACGAGACATACGTTCGAACTTGAGTGGTGAGACCAAGCGGTGGCTATAACCTTTTTTTAATTTATATAAGTATAAAATTTCCAATTATCGACTTTCTACTTCTTATGCGCAATCTCACTTTTACAAAAGTAAGTTTCTCCGGTCGGTTTTAAAATTTATCTGGCCGAAAAACTTGCACTTTCCTCATGAAGTGGAAGAGGTATATACGGATTTTTTGAACCTGTGAAAACAACATACATGCACTGTGAGATTTTCTTTAAAAACATTCTATGAAAAAACTGTTTTAATAATTTATAATGAGACTCAAACACCTGTTTTAGAAAAACTAAATTGTATTTTTTTATTTATAACAAATAAATGACATTAAATTTTGTAGTATTTTGAAAAAATGACATCCTTAATTCATAAACTTCTAACTAACGACCAAATGTATTTTTATTTATTTTTATTCTTAGCAAAAACACACAAATTAAAAAAAAAAATTAGTTATTTTTGTAAGTGTCTATTTTAAATGTTCAATATTAGTTCTATTAAAATAACATCCATTTTTATTTAAGTTATGTTTATAAGTTATCTAGATACAGTTTAATTGAATAAACTTGATATATCTTTAAGTAAAAAAAATATTTTAAATCTATTATAAATCGGAAATATTGATATTTTCTCTTATTTCATTTCAATTTGATAATAATCATCTTTTATAATTATTTTTTTGAATCTACGAAAGCGTTTGATAAAATTTAAACTTTTCAAAAAGTTATAATTAATTTTTATTCATTTTCATTCATAAAATATTAATTTTGAAAAAGAAAAAAATATAATTGCGGAGATTTCGAAAGAAGAAGAGAAAAGACAAACTACGGATTTAAAATTAATATATAAGAAAGGCGTTTCAAACAATAAATGTTTAGATATAAAGACCGGAAAATAGGTATTTTGTTAGTACTTCTGCCCGAAATTTGTGGTTGTATTGTCCGTTGCCTTAATTACAGACTGTACATGTGAAACAACATAATTTTTTTTAATCTAGAGACCATAAAAGACAACTTTTTTGAAACAACATAAAAATTTAACATTGAGAAAGAAAAGCGGAGTCCAATGCTATTTCTTACAAGTGAACGATTTCTCCCATTTTTCTTATGAGAAATATCCATTGGACATTAGTTTCTAAAAAGAGACTATATGAAGTCATTTTCGCTTTTTATTTTATTTAACAAAGTCATTATTTTCAGCTTTTAGATCTAAAGATTTCTTATTTGAAACAAATAAACGCTAATTTTGAATTTATTTACATATCCACATATAATATTGAAGGAGCTTAAACTGAAAATTAACTTTTTTTTAATGATTAACTATATGATAAAAGAAGTATAAATGGTGATTCATTTTCTTATCATTCACCAAAAACCAAAGTTTTAAGCTATTATACTATATTACATGGCTTCTAACATTAGCAATGTTGATTTATTATCATTCATATTATTCAATATTCTAGAAACTATATTTGAGTTAGAAAAATGTAAAATGTGAAATAAAGAACCATCTAACAAGATGATGTGATATGTACTTGTAAAACCATAAAATCTTATATTGATTCACTACTCATGTGTGACCATCTGATTTGTCAATGTTCCATGGTCAATTATTTAGCTGTAGTAAAAACAAAAAACCAAAAATAGGATAAGAATCCATTTACTCTTGTCGATATCATTTTCTTTTCCTTTCGCTCTTTATAGGATCATGTTTTCTTCTAAAAATCATGATATGTTGTTGCACAAAATCGTAAGTTTACTTCCCATTTGCACATTGGCATCTCTCAAATTAGAAAATACTAACTTGATATAGAGAAAATCATTACGCTGAATGCATATTTCCGATCAATACCATTTGTTAGTCCAACTTCAAACATTTTATGTTGAAAACTTTTATAAACGTGGATTTATCCTATATGATTTATTTATTTATTTAAATGATATTTTAGTTTTTGAGAATACGAGAGTATAGATGTGCATTCGGTTATTCATTTTGGTTCGGTTCATATTTTTCAGGTTTTAGATGTTCCAAGTACTATTTTTTTCTGGATTTTTAGTTTTATTTGGGTTCTAAATTATTCGGATTCTAGAAAATAAGTTTTATATGAGATTAAATTATGTTTTGGTTTTGTTTGATTCGAATTTAATAAAAAATTATAATAAAACAAAAAGAATTAGCTGTTATTAGATTTTTAATATATGTTTCTATATGTTTAACTAAAAATACTACAGTATTATAATGAATTTTTAGTATTTTCGTTTTTTATAAAGTTTGGATTTAGTTCTGTATGAGATCAAGCAATTCGGTTTAGACATTTCTACTCAATTAAAATTATTTCATATGACTCCATATTGATTAACTCTATAAATTTAACCGATTTGACATACTACATAATCTAATGGAGTCACAAAAAAATCTAAAACATTGAAAGTTTGAAACAGATCTTGTTTGAATGAAATAAATCTTGTTTCAATGATATACCAGTTTCTCCTCTTTCATTCAATCATCTCATATTTAATTTTTTGATTTTTTTCTGTTAAAATATTTAATCTTTTGATATTTGGAGAGTTTCGTTTTGATAAAAGAGATTTTACTGGTTTCATCTACTAAATGGAAACATATTTTCATATTGTTCTTAGATCAAAACCCATTAATTTTCTTAAATCCAAAGCCAAAATAACTCTAACTAACAGAAAAAAAAAAAAAAAAAAAACTCGGAACCAAAATCTATGATATGATCTTGTCTACTTTGTCAATAGTTTCTTATATTAGTTATATATATATATAACTATTATATGTTGAGTAATAGAAGCGGATGGTTGGTATTCATTCTCTTAGAGTCGTACATAACTAAATATTTATCTATTCTTCTCTTCTTCCAATATTCTAAAGAAGTACCAAAATTGGAGGTATGCGATCAGCTCACAAGTTGGAGGTATGCGATCAGCTCACAAGTGCGATAGCAAGATTCTGGTGGAGCTCTGACGCAGAAAGAAGAGGAATTCATTGGGCAACTTGGGATAAAATGTGCATATCAAAAGAGGAGGGTGGAACAGGTTTCAGAGACATCCATGACTTTAATCTAGCCCTGTTAGCAAAGCAATTATGGAGACTCTTACGGTTTCCGGACTCCTTGTTGGCAAGAGTCTTGCGAGGAAAATACTTCCCTTACAGCACACCACTTAGAGCTGGCCACACTGACTCTCCGTCGTACGGATGGAGAAGTATTCTAGCGGCTAGACCATTGCTAACAATGGGAATCCTGCAGAAAGTTCACTCTGGACTCAATACTAGAGCTTGGGAGGATCCTTGGATCCCAACTATCCCAGCTAGACATGCAAATCCAAGGATCCCAGTTGTCCATCCTAGAATGACCGTTAGCGACTTCATAAACAGAGAGATAAAGGCATGGAATGTAGAGATGTTAGAAGAATATATGGAGCCAGAGGACATTCCCCTGATACGAAGTATAGCCATCAACAAGACTTTCCACATGGATAGCTTTAGTTGGGGCTATACTAAGAGCGGTCTCTATACAGTAAAATCAGGGTATTGGGTGGCAAAAAATTTACTCAATCCAGCAGAAGAAACATGTTCGGAACCAAGTATCCGACCTTTACAAGTTCAAGCTTGGAAGAGCAAGGCCCCTTACAAGATTAAGCACCTCTTATGGCAAATCATTTCAGGTTACTTAGCGGTTACTAAAAACCTCAATCACAGAGGGATGAGATGTGATAATCACTGCCCTCGCTGCGGAGCTCCTGAAGAAACGATTAACCACGCCATATTTGAATGTCCACCAGCTCTTCAAACGTGGGCCCTTGCCCCCATTCTTACGCCACCAAGCTTATTTCCCTCGTCTGGGATATACACGAACATGGACTATCTATTCTGGAGAAGACCTAACATGGATAATGCTGAGGATGATTGTGATCCCTTTCCATGGATCATATGGTTCATATGGAAAGCCCGCAATGAGAAACTCTTCCGTGGAATCAACAGAGACCCATTAGGGACTGTTCGCCATGCAGTAGCTGAATGTCGAGCTTGGCACCAAGCCAATTCTAAAGCTCCACTTCTTTCAACGACGGGAACCCAAGCCATACGCTTGAGAGATGTATGTATTGTCGATGGCTCTTGGCACCGAGAACAAGCCCACAGCGGAGCTGGATGGATTTGGATAGATCCAGATGGAACTCAACGCTTACTAGGCATCCATAACCAACCACGACGCATCTCCCCTCTTCATGCAGAATTAGAAGCATTAATGTGGGCTATGGAATGTGCAGCGCAGTATACCAACGTTCAAGCCTTTGCAACTGACTGCCAAGACGTCTTAAAGATGATCGAGAAACCAGAGGACTGGCCAAAGTTCTCAACGGAGTTGCAGGAGTTCAGTAGTCTACGAAAACTTTTCTCCTCCTTCTCTATTTCGTATCTCCCTCGTGCTTCAACTAGTAAAGCTGATCATCTGGCTAAGCTTGCTAGGTTGTACCCTAGGTCCTTATCTTTTGTTGGTTATTCTGTTCCGGGGTGGGTAACCACACCAACTCGAGTTTGAGTAATAGAATAGCCGTTTGTCGTAAAAAAAAGAAAAAGAAGTACCAAAATTAGTAAGACAGAGAGAGATTGGTTGCACATGCAAACAAGAGGGCCTTTCGTCACCATTCGTGGTTTAAGCGGCGGGTTGTCTTCACATGCAGCCACGTGTCGACGTTTCTGACTTCAAAGCAACCTCTTTTATCTTTTCCTCCAATAAACTACGATTTCGGATTTTCCTCTTGTCTTGTTTTCTTCTTCGTGGACCTTTCTTCACATCTCTCACCATCTTCGCTTATGTTTATTTTTTTATTCCATTAGTTCATTTGTTAACATGTTTATTTAGTTGACAAAAATCATGTTAAACTTACGAGGATTTGCAACTTAATGTTTTTCTGTTAGTTTTTCTTTCGACTTTTAAGTTAGAGTGTTAGACGTTTTTCTTGGACGTTTCTATACATAAACTTATAGACGTACACCTACGGTCATACCCGTATATATAAAATAGTACAATTATTGACGAGTAATATGGAGCCACATAGCCTTTTGCGTATGCCTCGTTTGGTCCCTATACAAGCCGCCACGTCTACTGTTCACTATTTTTTTGTTTTTCTCCCCTTTTGTCATCAAGTTTTGATGATATATAGCTTTTTTTGGTAAAATTGATGATATATAGTTGCATTAAAAACTATGTCGACGTAATATCATTGCTTCAATACTTCTCTTTGTTTCTTTTGTCAAGTCATCTTTCATCTATGTTACTTTCTTCTTTGTTTCTTTTGTCAAGTCATCTTATAATGTTATATCGAGATTATCGTAAACGAAAACTTGTGTCAGAAAAAGTTTAGTTTTTTATTTGGTGGTAAGGTACTAAGGTGATAAGATAGTTTTGGTTTGTGAGATGATGCTATGGTGCTACCAGAATTATAAAACAAACTTGTAGAAGTAGGTATTCCTTGCTTAAGGAGGTATTCCTTGCTTAAGGAAAATTTTCAAGTGTCGCTATACTTAGCATGCATGTGGTGATGGCTACATAGCCTATATATAACTCATATTTTGTTCGCGTTCCTTTAGACTTTATTTGAAGTTCACAAATGAGATGATAAACTAATCTGAAATAGATGTTTGGATCTCAACAATATATAACCGTGTAGAACATTTCAACTTTTTTCTTATAAATAAATAAATGTAGATTGATATATTGAACGCTTACATTTTGGCCCCTCGCATCTTTGGGTCCTTCTTGCCTGCTGCTATCATCATGGTTTGATAATTAGATTGTTACTCCAAAAATGTGTAAAGTACTAGTATATCTTTAGACTTTAGGAGTACTATATCTTATGCATCGGTGGCTTTATCAGAAACAAAATTCCTCGTACTCACCTTTGATTAATAATTCCAGCAGGATAATTAATAATCCCGTAATCATAATAAATATGTGATGGAAGTAATTAAAAAAAAAAACAAACAATAGTTACGTGGAAGTGTTTTGTCGTGACGGGAAGAAGAACTCTGGGGGTTGCACCTGTGATGAGTGCATTGTTGCGAAGGAAAGCTGCGATGGATAAACTTGCCATTTTGGGATTCTCTTTTGTCGTCTTCTGTCTAGGATAAAACTGTGATTAGTTTGTTAATTAGGTTGCAGTTTTGTGATTATAGTTAATAGTATAAAAATGGAAACCGCAAAGGAGTTGTGGCTAACACGTCACGATTTGGAAAACGAGACGTGGCGTGTTTGACTCGGAGGAGCCATTGTGAAATTTTCAGTTATGCTTTGCTAATTTACAGCTGTGTGACCAGTTCCTTTGTGGCTCCTCTTTCTTTCTTTCCATATATCTTACTCGACTATACAACGATTCCATATTCGTTTGTTACAATTTTGTATTACCAACAAACAAGTAAATTACTATATTCGCATGGATACAAATGAAAGCTACATTTTTCAAGTCATGATCCTTTTTTTCTTTTCTTTTTCTGTTTTTGTTTTCTTGTCTTTGTTCTTACAAACATAGCAAAAAAATCCAATCATTTATGGATCATGAGAAAAAGGTATATACTTAAAAATCTGGTTGTAAGTCCCCGACCTGACAAAACTATTCTTACAAACATACAGAACCTCTATAAAATAATACTCGATAAAACAATAAACACTATAAGATAATAAATTTCTCCGGTCCCAACTCGGGCCAATGTAAAAAATAGCATAATGCGATAAGATGATAAGACAATAATATTTTTGAAACTCCTATGTAAAAATATAGTCCCAACAATAGGCTAAGATAATAATTATAAAACTAAGGCATATATATCTAAGGCAATTTAGTAAAATATGACTCCAATGTAGTTTGTCTTTTATGAAAGTTGGATTCTCGTTGGAGCTCATCTCGAATTTTTCTTATTGCATCAACAATTTATGGGGCCAAAAGTTGTGAAGAGTTTTCGAAGCCACAATTGATTCCTTACGTGTACCTACTTACATATATTTCTATAAAGTTTCTTGTTTTTTATAGAATATTTTTATAAAATAATAATTATTATTTTATCGATAAAACAATAACTCGATAAGATAATAAATTTTCAAAGTCCCAACATTATTGTTTTATAGAGGTTTTACTGTAGTATGATACTAGCAAACAATGTCTGAATGACGTATATACTTAACAAGAAAGATGTGGTTATGAGTCCCCGACCTGACAAACAAATCAAACACAAGTGAGGATCAAATTTGGAAATTCTCATAAAATTGTTTTCTTGCAAAAAAAAAAAATGCTCTTTTCGTATTATTCATTGTTAATGCTGCTTAGGAGTTAGGACATGTTTGATTTCATTTTCAGATCAACTAAATTGCTTTTGTAAGTTCGAGACCAAAATTTAAAGTTGGGTTAAAAATATATTTATACTTAAAACATTTGTTTTAGAGCCTCAAGAGAGAATTTCATGGATCAAACCGGATAAGATAAGTTTCTCTAAGTCAACTACAGCTTGATAAGTTTCATCAATCTGAAACTCACTTCTCCAACCCAAATCCCAAACTCCACTTGTTGTCATCTCTGTCTTCATACTCTTTAAATCCTTCTCCAACACCATGTCAATGCTCTCTTTGACAAAACTGTCTTGTCCTAAAAAATTGTCTCTATAACTTCTCAAAGACTCAAACCCATCACAGACTTCCATTAACAACTCATCAATGTGCACAGAGCTTCTTTGGGGACAAGTTGGTTCCTCAATGTGAAGAAGGCTTCTGCGTTTGGCTACTTCTTTGGCAAAGTCTAGTGCAAGTCTTTGGTCCGAGATCACAATGCTGTCTCTATTTTGAAAAGTTGATTCTTGGCTTCTTTTGGTGTTGGTGTTCAAGTCGAAGAGATTCTCTGCATAGCTGAGGAAATCTTGGGAGTTGGATAGGAATGACTTAAGAGAGATTTGGGAGGTTTCTGGCTCAAGAGAATGCTGAATTGTAGGAGCACTAGAAGTAACTTCACCGTTGTCACAATGACCTTAACAAGAACAAAAGTAACAAAGTTTATATATATGAGGAGATGCTTAAAAAGATTCAAACTTTGAAAACCTCCCTGAGAGTTGAGAGATAACCTTGAATGTTAAACTCTGAAGAAGTAGCTTCCTCTGTAGAAAGTTGGGTTACCGATCCACGAGTGTCCTGCGAAGAACCTGAATTATTTTCTGAAGCGAGGTCATTGTCTTGTTGATGGAGTTTCTTCTTGGCCTAGATGAGAAACAGAGTTAATCAAAGTATGTAAAAAATTTTAGAAATGAAGAGTTAGTGAGAAAGATTGCTCACATTTGGTTTCTTAGCCTCACCGGACTTCTTTTCTCGGCTACTACTTCTCTGCTCATCACTACTTGAGCTAGAGCTCAACCTGGAACGTCTAATCTTGTTTCTTGACATGTCTGAAGAACTGTTCGGTTTCTTGTGAGTCACAGGAGGATTATTCTGTGGCTTAAGAGCTTTTTCATGAGGTCTATCTCTTACTTTACATTCACCAACATCCTCTTTCTTGACAAGAACCTTTTTCTTGGTTTCCATCGGTATTCGTTCTCTGGTTACAGCTTTGGCATTGCTCGGAGACACCTTACCACCTTCATTCTCTTCTACTTTCCGCACCATTTCTTTCGGTTCTCTATCTTTCTTGATCAGACTTGATGGTAACTTCATCTTCTTGCTGCTCTTGGCTTGATGATCTTTTCTCTGGTTCATCATTCTTGGATGAACTTCTCCTTGCATTCTCGGTTTCTTGGGTGAAACCTGCTTCTTGTTTCCCGGTTTTTCCTCCATTCCCGGTTGTACAACACGCATAGGTCTGATGAGTACTATATCTTCACTTGGAATCTCTTCAGGCAAAGATTGTAGAACAGCTTCTCTTGCTTTGTTACATCTCACAGTTTCAAGACTCTCTTTCTTCTCCTTCTTCAGCTTCTCTGATGGCATCACAGAGGTTTTACTCTGTTCTTGAGGAGAAACATCCAAACCCATAAGCCTAGCAATCAAACTAGGACCTCTCCGTGTTACATCAGACGATGCAGATGACTTTGTAGAGCCAGAAACCATAGAAGACTGGCTTGAGCTCGTTGACGACGAAGCAGCTCCAGAAGAAGATGCAAAATCACTTCGAAAAACCCTAGCTCTACTCTCTTTAGCCGTTGTTGCTTGAGGCAAAAGATTCTGCCTAAGAAAGCTCTCTCTAATCACTTTCCTCAGCTCCTCATAACAATCCTTTGACGCTGCTGCATTCTCTTGACTCACCATCATCCGTTTCTCAATCCTCTCTCCGAATCTATCAGACATCGATCTCTGAAACCGCAAATCCCGTCTTCCTCCTCCGTCTTTAACAACAACCCTAGGTTTCTTCTTGACATCATCACTTTCTTGAATGCTACTAAGCATGGCTAAAGACTCTTCCAAATCAAGTGCTCCTCTTAACAAATCTTTCGCTATGTCCTCAGGCCTAAACGCTTTAGACCACGAATCAATCGCAACGTTTAGTTTCTGTATCCCTTTAGACACTCTCAAGAGCTGCAAAGAAGAAGAAGAAGAAGGAGGAGGAGGAGGAGCTAACTCTACGCTCTTTCTTGGTGCTGTTTCGGATCTTTCTTTCGGTTTTGTTGGATGGTCACAACTTTGGTTAGTGGTACTACAAATGCTGCTACTACGGAGCTTACTCTGTTTCTTGATTGCTCCACTTTCAACAACTCCTCTTGGATCATCACACATTATGAATGATCTGTATACTCCTGATCTTAGTTTTCCTTCAGGCATTTTTGTTTCTTGACTGTTAACAAAAAAAAAAAATCAAGAAACTGAGTCAAACTCTCTAATGAGTAATGACAACAAATTTAGATCTCAGACATAACTATTTCACAAACATTTCAGGATCTTTGAAACAGATCAAAGCCATAGTCGAATTTTTTCGATCTGGTTTTTCATAATTGAAGCAGAGAGATGGGAAAAAAAAAAAACATGATTCTTGTTTTCTTCTTAAATTTTTCATACAACACAAACAAAATACAAATATTATAATTAAGTGAGACAATATTTTCCTACAAAATTTTTGGAGAAACTTACCAAAATTGGATTTTTTTGTTTTCCTTTCACAGTTCCTCTTCCTCTGAACCAAAAATTTATCAGAAATTCCCAAAAAAATCTGTAAGATTACATGTGGAAAATGTGAGAAGAGATTCCGATCAAATCCAACGAAGAGTCTTTATCTTGCACCGCCTGCAAGTGACAAGAAGAGAGATAGAGAGAGAGACAGAGAGGGAGAGAGAGGGCTAAGCAAGAGAGTCAAACTCAAGATCCAGCTTCTGACTTCGTCGAGGCTTCGTGAGCTTACACGATAGGATCATCTGGGGACAAGCGGATTCAATGTTTCTGCAGAGAAATTGTCTTAATGAATTGAAATCTAAAGAGTATCAATTTTTTTTTTTTTTTTTCGGTAAATGAAGAGAGATAGGAAAATGAAGCGAAAGTCCACGTCATCTGAAGAACGGTGTTACAGTTTCTAAAAAGGACAAAACTACCTTCCGTTATTCTCTTAACTAATCAAAAGCTTTCTTCATTATTCGTTTGTTTAATTATTTAATCATTAATTTAAAATTATTTAACTACTAAATCTTTCGTATTCGTACCAAAATCGGGTTGTTTAATAAATTTACAGTGCCATTTGCTGGCAAGAGAATCAAATGTGAGTAGAAAAAAATCATTATAAATGAAGAGAATATCTTCTCTAAGAAATTAATTTATATTATTGGAACAACTCGTGTTGGTTACAATATTATTATTAGTAACAGCTACAGAACGGCCTTGCGGTAATAAAGTATAGAAAGATCAGATTAATTTATAATTATTTGCAAATTTGGTTTTGACTGATGATCCGTGGGATATAAATGGATTTTAAACGGTGGAAAACGGAATTTAAGTTCACAAAAAGTATGTGATGATTTGTGGTAGGAAATACATGTTGATTTATAATTTTGATGTTTTTGTAATGATCATGTAGGGTGAGAAAAAAAGTGGAGAATAAATACAAGAGCAAACAACAAAAGACAACGGATAATTGAGTGTGTAATCAATCGATATTCCCATTTAGGAGAAGCCAATTTCAATGGCACTTTTTGTCTAGTTTCCCCACAATTGTGCACATGATTAGGTTAACATTGATTGCTTGAATATCACCATTCTTGATCATTTATTATATATCCAACGACTTCTCAATTTGTATCATAACAAATGAATCCAGTGTAGATCTTTTGTATGAGTCATTATAGTTTAAATCGATAGGTGTTGACTAGCGGCGTGATTGCAACGTAAGTACACTTCCAAGAGTTTGTTAGATGCGATTTCGCACCTGAACATGAGTTTATAATTAAGATTCTCTAATATTCACGTAATAAAATCCTCAGTTTTACTATAAGTTGCATTTTCTTAACTACAAGTATAAACTTTAATTAAGTGGTCCATATTATACCCTAATCTAGCTCGATAGCATTAAATAAAGAGGGGAACCTTTTAATTTTAAAAGTTTGAACTTTGAAAGTGAGGAAATGGAATGTAGTTTTTGAATTGCACACATTTATTAGGGTTTACAAAAGTCGGAAACATTTTCAGAACATGCACTGCGTATGACCCGTGTCAAAAAATGGCAAATATTTCAATTTCGAATGTTAAAACAACCACAAAACTGTTAACTTTTCTTCGTCTTCTATTATTTATCTAGAAAATGTGCAAAAACGATAGAGAAATGGACTCCTAAAATTTAATTATCAGAATTTGTTGATATCATTTCCAAAGAATTGGTTTAAATTTGAAAAAAAAAGAGAGAAGTGATTATGAGTTAATAATAGTCACATGGTCCTTGCAAATAATGACCGCCTTTGCGGCAGCAATAAATGCATATACCCATCTTTGGTTGCTTCGGGGGCAAGCGTGAAATTATTGAAAGAGTTGTATCTTATTTTCATACTCCACAAACAATTCATGTCCAATGTTGCCTTTAGATTCACATTGCTTATTGAAAAAGCTTACTCATTTAGATTTGTAGTCACCGAACATTTAGGGTACAAATACAATATGGTAGCAGGAATTTTCGCTGCTTTTGCGTCTTGATTTTACCCTAAGTAAGAAAGTTCGACATGCACGAACAAGTAAAAAACGTATCTATTATATAAAGTTGCAATATTCAGAATTTCAACTCCATTAGTTTTGAATCTGATTAACCGGATTAATTTGGATTTAAAGTCGATTATCATCCAATAGAGCTTTCAAAGATCATCATCCATGAAGATCCTTTTAACAAAAAAAAAAGATCATCATGCAATGATCGATGGTTTGGAGCTTTGGCTTTCTATGCGAGCTTTTGGTTTGAATATAATTTACATTTAATTTAAGAAGACAAAAAACTAATCAAGAGTAACTAACTAAGTCAAAATTCAATATAATAGTTTATTTGGTTTGGTAGATTAAATTGTAATAGTTCTCTCTCGAATAGTCGCAACCAATTTTGGGGCCAGTATCTTTCGCAAATTTGGGTTATGGAGTTGTCCCACTCATGAAAATTTTCCATATTCTGGTTTTGGTATGATCGATCTATTGTATTTCCTCTCTTACTTATTTGTATCAATTTGTATAACACTATGTTTATGCCATCTGTTTTTTTTTTTTTTTTTTTTTTTTCAACTTCAAGTTTAGGCATCTTTGCTCAAAGATTCTACCCATTTTCTACATTTTCATATTTTTTTTTCTGGCCAATGTGATAGTTTCACGACCCCTACATTATATCTTTTAATATCTCAAGTACTTGTGATCGGTATATTTATTGCTTTCTTTGTGAAAGTGAAAGTACTAGAAAAGTCAATTTACTTGGAACAATCCCATTTCAAGTATAAATATACAATGAATTTAGGTACTTCTTGCAAGATAATAAGAGCTTTCTTGCTTAATTTTCATGTGGTGAAATTTTCCATGCAGATTTCAGCTTGAAGGATGCATGAGCTCCTGAACTTGAATACATTTTCGAAAACACTTGCGAAAATAATGGGGGTGTGTTTGTAGTTTCTAAGAGAAATTCTATGTTGCTAGGCAAAAGAGATTAATACTACTGCAATTGCAAGAAGATATATATACATGTAGTTGCAATTTGCAAACCTTTGTAGAGAGCGTCATGGAGAAAGATCTTTGGGAGCTACTCCTTCTTGTAGTGTTCCACATAATATGTTCTTACCAATACATCAAAAGTCCTTACCAATCAGGACCATAATATGTTCCTTAATTTTAGTTTGAAAAATTGTTCTTTTTTTTTTTTTTTTGGACGAAAAATTGTTCTAGAAGAAAACAAATTCTATTCAAGCTTATATAATTTCACTTGTTATCACATTGTCTTTTAATTAAATAAAATCGACGCAGATATATACTTCAATTTAAATTCTAATCGTGACTAATTGAAATAGTGTGATTAAGGAATGACAAAATTTGGAGGATAACTAAATACTCTATTTGATGAGTGGTAGGTCTCCAATGAGAGAGTTGAAATCCGTTGTGGAGTTTTATCGTCTATTCCGTGCTTTGTGGAACTTCACTTTTACCACAAACCATCAATTTTATTTATAACACGAAAGAGAAGAAAACAAATCCTAAAATAAGCCAACTTTCCTAAATTTTGATTACTATTTTCTTATTTGAAATGTTTCTAATCCTTAAATCCAAGACAATCGTTTGTTCTTTAGAATTTTGTTTCATTTAAAAAAAAAAAGAGCCTTATTAATTTTTATTTATTTAAATGTTTAACCAAAAACCTACAATACTTTTGTAGAAGTTTGTATCAACTCTAGATCAGCTGGATTTTAAAGGAATTAAGGGTTTTAACTTGCGGGGCAAGAAAACAAGCGAACGTTGTCGTACCATGGTTGCAGCGTTGGAACGAGGACTAAGCGTTTCCAAATCATTCAATTTCAAAAGAATGTTTGATTCATCCTCGACAAAACATCATCAACAATCTCAAACCTTAGTCGTGGAGAACGTAGATTCTCATATCGTCGAATCCAACACGCCTGAAAGCCAAAACTCCGACAGCTTCGCAGAAAGCCCCGTTGAGAGCAGCATTCCTCCCATGATTTCCCCTCTTAACCGGCCGGGAAAACGACCCGACCGACAACAAGCAGGTGAATCTTGTCTTTTTGGTTAAGGTTTTATCAAAGAGTTTAAGACAAAAGTTTCCTAATTACTTGTTCCGAAAGAAACCCTAATAATGACTTAAACCATTGCAGATACGGAGAATATGAAGGATAGATTCGCGAAGTTACTTCTCGGAGAAGATATGTCCGGTGGCGGAAAAGGCGTATCTTCTGCTCTTGCTCTTTCCAATGCCATTACAAATCTTGCGGGTAAAGTCTTATTCTTTTGTCTCTCGTCTTTCTTCCTTCGCAAGTAATTATTGTGAGGGTTTCTAATTTGGTACGATGAATTTGCAGCGTCTATATTTGGGGAACAAACAAAGCTGCAACCGATGCCGCAAGATAGACAAGCGAGGTGGAAGAAAGAGATCGATTGGTTATTGTCTGTAACTGATCACATCGTCGAGTTTGTTCCTTCTCAGCAAACGAGCAAAGAAGGAGTTTGCACCGAGGTTAGAATTTTCTCAAAAGAAGAATAATATCACTTCTTTCTTCCAATATTTATATACAAATTAATATTTTGTAATGAATCTGTGTAGATTATGGTGACAAGACAAAGAGGTGATCTTCTCATGAACATCCCTGCTCTTCGAAAACTCGACGCCATGCTTATCGTAAGTGCCATCACTTTGATTATTTTCAATCAAGAAAAAAACACTAACCTAGAAAATAAACTTAGATACTTACAATCATGTTGTTAGTATAATTAGCTAGGTTATAATGGATTAATGGTGATGAAAACATTTTTCAGGATACACTTGACAATTTCAGAGGACACAACGAGTTTTGGTATGTGTCGAGAGATTCAGAAGAAGGGAAGCAAGCAAGGAATGCTCGTACAAACGACAAGTGGTGGCTCCCTCCGGTGAAAGTTCCTCCCGGCGGTTTATCTGAGCCTGCCCGGAGAATGCTTTACTTCCAAAAAGACTCAGTTACACAAGTCCAAAAAGCTGCAATGGCCATCAATGCTCAAGTCCTCTCCGAAATGGCAATACCCGAGAGTTACATCGACTCTCTCCCAAAGGTAAAATCAATCATTCACATTTTTCTTTTATTTTCCTACCTTTGTTATTACATGCATGGCTTTTTAAGGCTTTGATTTCTGTTGATAGAACGGAAGAGCCAGCCTCGGGGATTCAATCTACAAGAGCATAACAGAAGAGTGGTTTGATCCGGAGCAGTTCTTGTCGATGTTGGACTTGTCAACAGAGCACAAAGTGTTGGATTTGAAGAACAGGATTGAGGCATCCGTTGTGATTTGGAAGAGGAAGCTTAACGTAAAGGACAGCAAATCTTCTTGGGGCTCAGCTGTTAGCTTGGAGAAAAGAGAACTTTTCGAAGAGAGAGCAGAGACAATCTTGGTCTTGCTCAAACAGAAATTCCCCGGCCTTCCTCAATCTTCCCTTGACATCTCCAAGATTCAGTTTAACAAGGTCAAAATTGCATATCAATGTATTAACTAGTCCATCATGATTATGCCTTGGAGAGCAAGAAACAAAAGATAACCTAAACTATTGATTTTGGTGGTAATGATGAATACAGGACGTAGGGCAAGCGGTGTTGGAGAGTTACTCGAGGATTCTTGAAAGCTTGGCGTACACGGTGATGTCAAGGATAGAAGATGTTCTTTACACGGACACATTGGCTCTAAAGCAGTCTTCAATGGCTGAAGAAACGGATGGTGGGAGAACAACGGAGACGGATTCAGAGGGATCGTCAAACTCGGGAGAAGACACCGAGAAGCTTGACCCACACTACTCCAAGACACTGTTGGATTTCATGGGTTGGAATGAGAATAGTTCCAAAGGCGGCGAGAAACATACAAAGTCTCCAAACCTTACGCCGAAGAAGCTCTCGCACTTGGAGAAGTTAGAGAATCTCAACGGTTTTAGAAGCCCCAAAGATAGACATTGATCATGAGAATGTGAGATTACTATTGAAGAGGACATAAAGAGTGTTAGATAGGGAACAAAAAGGAATGAAAGCTGAGAGTAGCAAAATGAAATAATCACTCACCCCTTCCTTCCTCGGATAGAGAAGTCTTTAGCTTAAGGAGTTGTTTAAACTCTTAAAACGAAGATTAACTATGTCTCAATTTGTACATCATGTTGTTGTTCTAAATATAATAATCTCTATATGTTTTCTTTGTTATCTTAAAAGACGATCCAAATCTTTCAAATGATTCATATTTTTACAAATGTGTACAATGTTATAATCAACAATAAACATGAAGATAAAAAGCGTATAACATCGATTAAACCAAGTATTTATCTTAAAATATCCAAGATGTTATGAGTATTGTTTACACATAATCCATGTGAGTGTGAATGATTAGAAGAAGTTTCATGTTATTTTTCGTCCCAAGTCCAATGCTATCGAACAAAAACATCATAGAAAATTGCTTTCCGATAAATAATTAAAATGGATTAAAGACATTTTATATGTTTTTTGTTTTCTTCTGTGAAATGCTAAAACGAAGATTAATACAAAAACAAAATAATTAATAAGTTAATAACAAATTTCCCGAAACAGACTGGAAACAGATAGCTTCTCTCTCTCTCTCTCTTTCTCGCTGTGACCGTCGAATTAGAGTCAGCTTTTGGGATTTTTTCTTCGTCGTTGAATCTTTGACCCTTCTTCCATTTTCGATCTTCCTTCCTTGTTCATCGTCTCTTCATTGCTGGGTTTTCAATTTCCGCTCTTCCTCACTGTTTATGGGCGACGCGAAACCCGGGATCGTGATGGCTAACAGAGATCGGGAGCTTCTGATTCCGGTTGCTCATTCCGGTGAAGACGATGACGATTCTTCACCCAAACCCTCCTCTTCTTCTTCGTCTTCTTCTCATCACACTGGTCAGGAGGTTAATTAATCAATTTCCCCCCTTTTCCTCTCGATTCGGAAATTCGTCGTTAGGGTTTTTATAGGTTGTGCTGTTCGTAAGTTCTGCGATTGAGGGTTTCGATGGCGAAATTCCTCACATTTCTAATTGGGTTTTGTTGGGATTAGTTCGGAATTGTAGTTTTTGATGAGAATTCGAAAGTTTTTAGCTTAGCTTTGATCAGATCAAGATTTTGAGAAACAACGATCCGTTTTCGCTTTTAGTAGTTTTCTCAAAGCCTTATTGAAGTTTTGAGATTGCTCTGTTTAGTTCCTTGATGATTCAGTGATTACCGAGAAATGAAACTCTTTACAAGTTTGGTTTTTGATCTCTTTCCCTGAATCTTGATAAAAGAATTTGGTTTTTCATGTTTAGACGTTTTACAAGTTGATCAGAAGCTGGGCATCGAAGAAGTTCATGACTGGATGGTAAAATCTTCCGTCTTTCTTGTTTATCCAAAGCTGGTGTCTTTGATACTTGTTCTCTTGTTCACAAGTTCTTCAATATATTTGCAGTGTGATCTTGCTTCCGATGGCGATCACTTTCTATGTGACGTGGTGGTTTATTCATTTCGTTGATGGATTTTTCTCCCCAATATATGCTCAACTCGGAATTGATATCTTTGGTTAGCTTCTTATCATTCTAGTAACTGAAGTACCTCTTATGTTATCTATGAATATCAAATACCAAATCATTTGGTTCTGAGTCTTCTGTGTAAATTTGCTTTCCAGGACTTGGATTTATCACATCCATCACATTTATCTTCTTGGTTGGAGTGTTCATGTCATCATGGTTGGGGACATCGGTTCTGAATTTGGGAGAGTGGTTTATCAAGAGAATGCCCTTCGTTCGCCATATCTACAATGCGTCTAAGCAAATCAGTACTGCCATATCACCAGGTATCGTTAGGTTTCTTTCTTTTAGTATCTCGCTGGTTTGGTCGTTTTTTTTGATGGAGTCTTGATGATGTCAACACTATATATATCAGATCAAAACACTCAAGCTTTCAAGGAAGTAGCCATCATAAGGCATCCACGTATTGGTGAATACGCGATTGGATTCATCACATCGACCGTTGTTCTCCAGGTTTGTTTACATTGAAACCACAACTTTTCTTTGTAGGGTTTTAAACAAAAACCTAATGATGTTTAAAAGTCCTCCTTGAACAGACTTACTCAGATGAAGAGGAGCTTTGCTGTGTGTATGTGCCGACGAATCACCTTTACATTGGAGATGTGTTCCTTGTAAGTACTAAGGATGTGATCAGACCGAATCTCTCAGTAAGGGAAGGCATAGGTGAGGAAAAATATCAAATTTACTTTTGAAAATGTTGAAAGATTTGATGTTTCTGAATCTCTGTGGTGTGTTTTGTTTATGTGCAGAGATCGTTGTGTCCGGAGGAATGTCGATGCCGCAAGTTCTGTCAACGCTTGATATGAGAATGGCTCCAGAGAGAAGTAGAAGTAGTAGAGTTGAAAGAAAGTGAGAAGAAGAATTAGTCTTTGCAGGAAACAAACATATTCTCATAACTTTTACTTTTTAATGTCTTTTGTTTGGATTCAGTTTAATTTCGCATTTGATGTTGAAGCATTAGAAAGCAATGGTGTTCTTAGAAGTGTTTGTTCTTGAGACTTTGTGTTAACATTGTTTGTGTCTATATCACTAGACTCCTTAGTAAGCTGAAAAATATATTAGTTATTATATTTTGGTGTTTCTTCCTAAAACTATCAGGACTATGATTCCTAGTATAGATTTCTTTCTATATAAATACGGCACAAAAGAAGATTATCTTATTCCGCATAGTTTCCTCTATATATCTCTCTCTCCATGTACTCCTGATCTTTACAACAAAAAATCGAGCATTAGGTCAAAACACAATGATACCGATGAATCGTCTGTCGTGTCTACTTTATGCGTTGGCCTCTAGCCTTATCATAATGAGTAACACAGGCGTGTCGGCCCAGACAAGCACCGTGTGGATCAGAAACTCCTTGCATAGCCACAAAGATCTCATAGTCCACTGCAAATCCTACATGGAAGATATGGGATACCATAGAGTGCATTCCACAGGATCCTACAGTTTGCGTTACAGAGAAGTAGAAAATGATGATGATTACACAGTATTCTGTCGTCTATGGCAAGGACCTAATTTCAAGCATCACCAAGTCTTTGATGTTGACAACGGCAACATATGGGAAGCTAGAGAAGACGGTATATACCTATCTTTAGACCTCCGCAAGCCCGCGTTCGTGTATAGTTGGGATGATCGTACATCAAAAGCCTCTTCGTTGAGGTCGACTTACGTTTCTTTAAGTTTGTTGTTTAGTTTCTTCCTTGCTTTTCTTTGATGTTTTTATCTAGTTTTTGGTTAGTTGATTTTTGGAGTTTTGAATTATTTTTACTGTCGAGATTTCCTAAGTGAACTTGGAGTTTTTTTGTTTTATTCTTTCTTTTTTTTTATATATATATATATATTAATCATTACGTTCACTATATTCAAGAATGAAGAATAGGGTTTTGTTGTAAGGTTCGATCAGAGAGTAAATCGGAATATATGGGAAAAAGAGAAGAAAAAAAATCAAACCTTGAAGCCATCTCAATTTAAAGATTTCACTGATTATAAACTATAGAGATATAATGGATGGGAAAAAACAACTTTATCTATATCTAATAGCAAACTCACTTTTTGTGTTTGGTGACGTTAACATTTTTTTGTAGGAAAAAAAAAACATATCTAATGGTTGAAACTTCATCCCCTAATCTAATCAATAGTTAAGATTAATCTAGAAATTCACTTTTTGTTTTCGCTGATGTCAGCATTTTTTTTAGAAAAAAAAAACACATCTAACGGTTGAAACTCAATCTCGTGAATCATATGAATGGTTAAGATTAATTCAGAAAAAACCTTCAATTAGACGCTTACAAGATTGACGAGAAGGTTTAATCCGTAGCAAGGGATGCCTTACTAAAAGTCGTGTCTTTTGCATTGCCAACAATCGCTTCTTTTCAATCAGAGATCCTAAGAGTTGCATACTTGCATCTACTTACAATTATATATAGAATCCAAGTGACTGATAATTATTATTATTCCCTTAAAATTCTCAAACGACTGCGGTTCATCGACGAGTCGGCTAAAATTGTAACGGTTAACGGCGATGTCCGGAAATACGATGTCGCAGTGTTAGCGTCTCAGGTTCTGGAAGCGGAATTGATGGCTTCTTCTTCTTCCTCATCGTCTCGGTCTTCTTTTGATTTTCTCTGCAATTCGGATTTCTCTATTACGACGATTTCATCCCGGCGATCGAATTGGAAGATATTCTCCAGGCTGATCAAATTTATTTCGTTCTACCGATCTCCAAACGCCAGTACCGCCTCACGGCCTCCGACATGGCAGTTCTCGCGGTGAAGGAAAATTACGTACCCTCACTTCTTTTTGAATGCAACACTCATTATTTTTTATAAACTGTAGGTTTCGTTCAAAAAAGAGATCATGATTCAAGTTCTCACCACATTCCATATGATATGAGATTTCGGCAATCATTCGACGATGATAGTGGAGGCTTCATTAGAATACAACTCGGCTACACTGCCTACTCTAAAGTCACTTTTCTTCATTGTTCGTTATTTTTTATACGAGTCTGGAACCACAGACAAAAACTTCTTTGACGAATCCATACGGAATGAAGATGTTGATGATGCGTAAAGAAACGTCGTGTCTTTTGCACTAAGAACAATAAGCCTCTTTAAATAGAAGATGGAAGAGTTGCATCTGTTCAACATATAAATAGACTGCATATAGTTACTAGATACCTTTTTCCCCTCTCAAAGTTACCATCGACCATCGTTGTTGTTACGAATACTTAATCGTTATTACCCTTTCCGTTCTAGCTTTCGCTATAATCTACAACATTTCCGTTGACAACGTCTGGTCCCGTTCAGCTCTTTGAATCAAGAAGAGGCGAAAGAGCGCTTCTTTTGAATTGCAGCCATTTGAGTAGCATCTCCTCACATATATATAGAATCCAATTATTACTCTTTTCCCATAAAAATTCTCACAACAATTGTCGTCAAACGATTACGGTGGTTATCTCCGGCGTTCATCATCACCATTCCTTATAATCGTTAATTACAATCACCATCTGAATCTCATTCCCACAGTTTCGTAGAACGAGACTAGAAGCACTCTACTAGAGCAAGGTTTACCGAGACATGCATATACGTAAGCAGCAGCCGCGCGTTTCCGGGACGCCACGGTTTGGGTATGTTGACGTGGAATCGGATTGCCTTTCCGGAGCAGCAGATCCCGCTTTTCTGCGGGTGCGTTACAGCCGATGAAAGACGTTTACGTTCTGGAATTCTCCGGAGAAGGAAGTGGAAGGAGGTGGAGACGAGGAGCGCCGATGAATGAACCGCGGTCGTTCTTCGCCTGCGCTTCCATGATTCGACGAAAGTGTACGTCGCCAGAGGTCACGGCGACCAGAAGAACGCCTTACGCTAGTCTGAGGTTTACGACGTGGAGAAAAACGAGAGTGGTCGATGATTCCGCCGATGACGGAAGGAAGAGACGAATGTCAAGGATTCGCCATGGGAATGGATCTCAGTCACAAAATGCTTATCTTCAATATCAAGAAATGTCTGTACCTGTTCATGATGGCTTGGCCATCGGCAAAATCTGATGTCGCCTGCCACAAAGTATGCTTTCTAGGCCGAGGGTTTGTTTCCCGGAAAAATAAGATTTCTTTTAATCCACGCCTCCACCCTCCAAAGCATTACATTACATCAATTAATATTGTAATAAAATATCGAATCTTCTAAAAATTTCTATATGACTCTCTCAACCTTAAAGCGGTGACGAAGGGGAGAGGAGAACAAAGGTTGACCATAGAATTTGCCATTTTGATGGTAACGTGTTTAAGAAGAGTGATATGTAACTATATGGAAATAGGGAAGGAATTCGAATCTTGTCAAAATCCCAAGTAAGTATATAACAGACACCAGAAGCAGAAATGAAAAGGGATATTTGAAAGAAGTCGTTTGTGGCTATCCAGTTATGAAAAGATGAAGAACATTCTATCTACCTAATCATCAAAAGAGGAACTAAAAACTGTTGAAGAGAGAAAATCCTTATAAAAGGAAGGACAATGGAGGAAGAGAGAAAGACAATCAATAAGCAACGAGTTTTTAGAAGTTACTGTAGCCTACAAGTTTGCAGTGTCCTTTTCACTATTGTGTAGAAACCGATTAAAAGAAAGAAAAACCTGTGACTCTATCCATGTTTTTCTAAGTTCTTCAAGTAATCGAATACTATTAGTCCACAACTAATCTGATTCATTTTATTTTCTTAATGCATCTAAATTTAATTAGAGATAGAGAGAATTCTGAAATTTGTTGTCTCATACATTTTCAAAAACGTATGAACCAAGTATAATACTCATTCCTTTTCAGTAATTCCTTTTCTTAGTCACACACATAGAGATATAACTTTACGATAATTCTACTAACCTTTTTTTCTTTTTATATAATGAATAATTCTACTAACCTTCAGAAGTGTAAATACAATTTTTTTCCCCCTAATTAGGGAAAAGCATTATGGATTTTGCATTCCTGGTAAATAAATTTTGCTAAAATTGTGGCTTGCACGCCCAAAAGTTTCATTGTCAAATGGCCAGGTTTCAAAGAACCAAATCGAATAATTTTGTGAAATCCTTTTTATCACAAATGTTTTTAGACAATTCATACAAGCGAAATCTTCCTTGTCAGGAGAGAAATTGCATCATTCACGAAACCCTCACTTAGTTGTGAGATAATCGAATCCTGAGAAAAATACTTCTGAAAGTGAGTGGGATAGTATATATAATAAGGCTCCTTCGAAAGAAATGAGATTTAAACATGAAATTAATAAATACTTCTCCATTTCTGTTTTGAATTTAGTTCACGACAATTAACTCTATTTTGAAAGACGAATCATTAGTTAATTTATTATTAGGTTGGTATCATCTGTCTAATTAATTGTTAAAATATGTTATGGCAAAGGGTATGATTAGGAGACATAATTTAGGCGTAAGAGTACTTTACAAAGAGGCAGAAGAAAGAATAGTTGCAACTTTTTTTTGTTGGGGTGCAAATGTGAAGAATAGTTGAATAGTTACAGCTCTTACCTTCTGTACTTGTTGAAGACTATTAATTGCTGTTGTTGAAATATGAAAAACATTTGTAAAATATATTCTGCTAATAAGGTTACGTTCTTTTGTGATATAAAACAGATTATATTTCTCTTCGTACTCAAACAGATTCATGACTTATAATATTTTTTATCACTTAAATTTTTCGAATCCAACATTTTCTGAATCGAACATACTGTATTTCGAGTTTGTTTGGGGATTGGGATATCAATATTCAAGCTTAGATAAATTTAAATATTTATTTGATTGTTAATTTAGTTAATATTGCTTGTATTTTTTCAAATATTTGATTATGGTTGATTGTTTTATTATTATTAGATGCATAGCAAAATAAAATATGAGATATTTGATATCAAGAATATATTATATTTCCAAGAAAAAAACAGATATATATGGGTCAAAAATGTTATTTGAATTAATTTTGAACTTTATAAAAATAAAATAAAATCTGTCCAAATTAAAACCCATATGTTGTATATTGTAAAATAAAATAAATATTTTAAAAGATATAATATTATGGGATAATTTAAATTTTAATTATGAATGTTAATGTACCGCGCGTTGACGCGCAGGTTCCATTCCTAGTAAGTATAATAATAATCAGTATAATACGTTGAAGCCATATGAATTACAATGTAGAAGTTTCTCTCGTTTTTGGACTGTTTGCCCAAATATGAAAATTGGTGACATGTAGTGTTCTTAGATATATTTGGGTTTTAATGAGTTTTCGTAGATTCATGGGAAACCTATGTTCCTTAACTAGATCTTAATTATTTTCCTTGGTAGCTCAATACAAGTCTAAGAACAATTGAAATATGCTTAGAGTCTTTATAAATAAAAAGTAGTTGGTTTCCTCAAACTTCATAAAGTCCAGAATATTACTCATCATGAATCTTCTATATACATCAGAGCCTCCAAAACACACAAAAACACCACCTACAATATTTTGCATAAGTTGGATGGAGTTAAATCCCCATACTTTTTTTTTTGGTAGCAAAATCCCATTCTATCATACTTTAGAAGTAACCCAAATCATCGACAAGTAGTAACTATAAAATAAATAAACAAGCTACAAAATACAATATTCTTAATACTCTGATATATATACATGAAATTATTATGTACGGCTTAATTTGAAATTCACCAAAGATAATGTTGTTAGTACTTTGGTTACCTAAAACTAACAGGAGTATGATTAGTTGATTACTAGTTTACTACTACTATCAGGACTATGATAATTTCCTTTTTATAATATAAAGAGGTACAAAACCTTCTAACATTCTATCAACTAAGATTTTCTTCATCCGCATAGTTTCTTGAATATCTCTCTCTCCATATACTCCTGAATCTTCGTTTCATATAATCAGAAAAATAACGAGCATTAGCTCAAAACACAATGATATCGATGAATCGTCGTCTATCGTGTCTATTTTTTGGTTTGGCCTTAAGCCTAACCATGATGAGTAACACAGCCTTGTCGTCCCACACAAGCACCGTGTCGATCAGAAACTCCCTGCCTAGCCACAAAGATCTCAAAGTCCAATGCCAATCCTTTAGCCAAGATTTGGGATACCATATAGTGCATCCCACAGGATCCTACACTTTCCGTTACGCAGAATGGGGTCAAGGTGATGACGAGCACAAATTCTGTCGTCTATGGCAAGGACCTAACTTCAAGCATCACCAAGTCTTTGATGTTGACAATGGCGACGTATGGGAAGCTAGAGAAGACGGTATATACCTATCTTTGGATCACTTGGAGGATCACCGTGATCAGTTTGCGTTCCTGTATCCTTGGGATGATGTTCCTTTATTATCATCAAAAGCTTCTTCGTTGGGATCAAGTTACATCTCTTTGATCTTGTTGTTTAGCTTCTTCCTTGTTTTTCTTTGTTTTTTTTTTTTTTAGTTTTGGGTTAGTTTAGAGTTTTGATTTTGATTTTCTTTTTGTGTTGGAAGATTTTTCTACCGAGATTGAAATTGGAGTGTGTTTATTTTGTTTTTCTTTCTTATATTAACTCGTTCTCTATATTCAAGAGTAGGGTTACTTTATTTGTTGCAATGTTGGAACAGCAAAGTGTTAAGTTACATGGGCTTCCAATTCAAAACCAATTGGCAATGAGTGGAGAGGCCCACATCCCTTATATACTACTTGAGATCCCTTCCAATTTCCGATGTGGGATATTTATCCCTAATATACCCCCTCGAGACGATGGCCAGAGTG